GACTGCTTGAGTGTGGGGCCCATGTTTGTTCTTTTCACAGCTATATCCCCACTCCTAGGCACTATTCATTCCTCCTACATACTTGGCACTCAGCAAATATTTGTTAAATGAATGAGTGCCATGGGTCAGATTGAGGAAAAGGTTTTTCATGAGTATAGAACAATACAGTCTGATGCAGCAATGGGAGGGGCCAAGGAGTTTGCTAAAACTTCTCACCTGTCCTGTTCAGGCAGGAGGGAGGAATGAAAAGCTTCATCCATAGACGTTTGTGAGGAAGCCCTGTCTTTTGGGGTGAATTTGAGAACAGTTGAGGCACGTTGGTTAAACGAGCCTTCTATAAAAGAAATTAGAGTGCATTGCAGTTAATGGAACGGAAGTTCTAAAGAGGATAGAACGTAGGTGGGAAAGCAGGATGCCTTATGATGAAATTACAAGGGAGGGCAGAGGGTTGTGTTATAGATGGTGGCTGAGTTTGAATACATGAGAGGCGTTCTGTGAATGACCCTTAGAGGATTTCAGAGGTTTGAGAGAGAGAGATTTAGTTTCCAGTTCTGTCACTTACTGGCTGAATGGCCTTGGGGTGGTTCTTTGGTCTGTCTGATACTGTTTCTTCATCAGTGAAAATGGATATATGGATAGTTGCCTGGGGTTGTGATGGAGATTAGAAATAATACACAGAAACAACACAGTCCTTGGCCCACTGAGAAGGAACACAGAAGTTGTAGCTGCGATTGTTAACCGGTCACCCTGATAGTATTCGAGGTCTGTAATTTTGGCTTCTGGTTTAAAAGGATTGTTGCTGTCAAGTGTTCTGGAGCTTCAGAAGAGATGTTCTCAGGTGATTGAAGAATAGCATTATTGTCAACACTGATGCTTATTTTTATGGAATCAACAGTGTTTTTGGAGGCTTCAGACTTCCAAGAGTAGAATTGAAGGTAATCTCTTGGGCTGTAGTTCTCAAAGTTGCTGTATTTTAGGATCTTTGTAGATGTAAAAATACAGGTTTTTTACCTTTTCTGAGACCCAGTGATTTCGAATCTCTTGTGGGTGGAGCCTCGGCATCTCTGTTTAACATGTTATCCTATCCAGGTGATTTTCCTAGAGCTGCTGGAGACAGCAGGCTCAGGAGACCAGAGCTCTGCAGCTGCTTGGAGGCAGTGTGGCTGCTCTGAAATCCACTTGCTGTGGGATTGATCAGAGGAGTGTATGTGTGAGTTATTTGCGAGAGAGTTTTCTTTATGGGCTTAAAAACTAGCTGCAGAGGTTGAGTGGGGAGATCAATGATTTTAAAGTAGTTATTTAAAAGATTTTAAATTTAAATAAAAGGATGTTTTCTGTGTGGTCCTCTTTGATATGGATTAAACAATTAGCACATATGATGACTTTATGACTGAAGATGCATTTTGACAATATACTGGCATCAAAGACTTATTTTTTGTGCACTAAGCTTAATACGAGTCCACATCATGTACCCAAGTTAAAAAAATAAGCCGTGTGTGTTATCATGTTGTTTTAATAAATGCATGTTCAGATATATGGGTATATGTGCATGTGTTTGTACCGCATTTTGCTGTGTATAATGGACTTTTTTGCCCAAATTTTTGAGGAAAAATAAGGATGGGCATTATACATGGGTAATAGCTGAAATACCTTGTACCTGTTCTTGTATTTTGTAATTATTTGTTATTACATAAAATTTTTTGTACCATAATATGTTCACAAATAAATGCTAAAAATGCCTTTTTAGCATAATACAAAAAGCAAGTACCTAAATATAAATAAATAAAATATTAAATTAAAAAATTAAAATGAAAGTTTTTTTCCCCTGGAAGTTTGGGCCAAAAAATGTGGATGCACATTGTACACAGGAGTGCATTCATTATACATGGCAAAGTACGGTACATATTTCATCTCATTCACTGTGGTAAAGGTCTTTTTTCAGTTTTGAGGGAAGTTTTATTATGTTGTAGTTTTATTATAGAGATACTTTCTTTAGATTTTTAATTTTCTGATTTTTAGAAAAGCTAATCATAAACACGTGTGGTTTGAATATGAATAGTAAATGCAAAAATAGGATGGTTAAAGGGTAATTAAAGGTGAGAAAGGGAGGAGAGGAAATCAGATAAGAGATTAATATGGAAAACCAAAAAGTAGGAGGGAAAATATAACAAAAGGAAATAGGAGGTGAATGGAAAAAGAAAAATATATTACTGATATTTGAAGAGAATATGCCATGTTTGGTTTTTAGGGAGTAGACATAAATGTTTCCCTAATTTTAAGCAAATTTTCCTAAATGAGACTGTACTAGAGAGTGAAAGATCGGAGATGATAGCAAAGGGGGGAAAGTATTAGGAGCTCCACATCCCCCTTTCAACTCGCTTTTTTACCTTTAGGGTTTTAGAAGGGATGGTATGGTATGGGTTTTAAGAGAAGGAAATGCATTAACTTTCCTGATTGAATTAATCAAATATGATCTCGGACAGTGTGTCTAGATTTCCATTTTTAATAATTTCAATTTCTGTGTTAGGATTCTGGCTGCTTACTGTCCATTGGATATTGTGCACCCTGGAATCTTTGCTATGGGGATTTAATATAGGTCGATCAGATAGCGTTCAGGTCCGCTGAGGATGGGCTGGCAGCAACATCACCATACTTCCAGAATCAGGGAACTTGATTGCTAACAGACGCAGAATTCTTAACAAGGTAGATGTGTTTGCCAAATTGTAGTTAGCCTGGTAGTTAGTAGTATTATTTCTCTAGTAATTCCTGCAAAGAATTGGTTCAGCTGGGGCCACACCATTCCCCTCTAAAAAACACTGTTTTTTTTTTTTTTGTGAGATTGAAGCCATGGGTCAGGTAGTTATTGTTTGCTCTGGGTGAGTAGCTGGGAGAAATGTCTTCTCCCTTTCTGAGTAGTTTCTGCTCTTCAGTGAATCTGGGTAACAGTGTGTTATTGCTCCAGCTTAACTGCTCATTACCTTGTTCGTGTCCAAAGAGTGAGTAAATGAACCTCCAGTGCAGTTTATACATAGTTCTTGTAGTGGGTTTTTTTGGCATAATCATAATAAGGCTTTTACTTGGTTGTAGCCAGAGTAATGGCATTATCTTTTTCGTCAACCTTCTGATTCATTTCACATTGATAATGTGCTTTTATCAAATGCCTCCCATTGTTTCCATGGCATCATACATTTAGCTTATTATATGACCACCTGTAGCCCTCTTCTTTTCTCTGTCATCATCAGCAAGGGCAATTATGCTTTTGTGTGTGTGCCTTGTAATTTTACCAGAATTCTTACAGCTTACTTGCAAATTAGTATATGAATGCCATTTCCCTGTTTCCCTTTCCTTTCCCTTTCCCTTTTTCCTCCCTGCCTCCCTTCCTTCCCCTGGCTTATGGACCTAGTGAGGTATGTTGTGTTCCTCTTCCTTTTTTATGAGTAGTTTTCCAGCCTGGCTTTTTAACCACCTCTTCTTTTCTTTGATCATGATTGTTGTTTTTTTTTTATTTTTAATTTACCCCCCTCCCATTCCTGTTCATGCCTTCACTGGCAGCCCTGTCCTTGATTCTTCTTTATTATTTTCTGTTTAAATTGAGATCCTAACAGCTTCCAACACTGCCATTTGTTTTATCTGTTGATAGAAGGGCTCTGTTGATATGAAAATGAATCAGAAGATACAGTCTTCAAGGACATCCTTGTGTGGACACTGATGCATATATGCTACTTGTAACTTTCTTATGTAACCATTACATTGTATACTGTTTGCTTATACCTGTCTCTTCCATTAGACTGTGAGGGTTAAGTGTTCAGCCAATGTTTATTGATTGAATGAGTGATGTATATATGTATGTGTGTGTAATGATAAGGGGTATAAAAACTGAACAGAGTGCTATGGGAAACAAATGAAGTAGTAACTCTGTTAAAGAACAGTCTGGGAAAGGTTTATAGGAGATGACATTAGAGTTTGGCTTTGAAGTGTATTACTGCCAGATGAAATTTAGGAAAAGAAGATACGGAGATAATGAAAATTTCTGGGTGCTTGGAGAATGCTCTCTGGGTATGGCTAGGAGGCATTCTGGTGACAGGAACGATTAGTATACAGTGAAGAAGGAGAGCAAGGGGCTTGGCTGTAAAGTAAGGTTGTGAAGACTTCCCAGTTGGGCACTTTGTCCCGTAGATGATAGTCATTGAAGAGTTGTAAGAGCAGATTTGTGAGGTCCTGTTTTAGAAAGGTAACTTTGGTTGCAGCATGAAGAACAGATTAGGAGCAGAATAATTTAGGATCTTTTCATCATAATTTAGTCTAAAAATGATGCTCTGAATAGAGGCAAGGGGAAGAGAGAGAAATTGGAGAAATACCTTACAATTTTTTTCAACAGGTTTATTGAGGCATATTTTATACACCATAGCAGACAGACATTTTAAAGACAGCATTGTCTACCTCTCTTAATTCCTGATAGATTAACTAGGCAAAAGAGAACACGCAAATATTCAGTAAATAAATAATTCCCAAATTCCTATATGATTATAGAATAAATGTGTTGTCATGTTGTCTGTAAGACATTTAACTGGGAAGGTAGTTTCTGTATTGTCCAAGAAATGATTTTAACTTTAATCTGCTTGATATGGTAAATACTGTAAAGTGGTTAGAAAAGGCATTTGGCAAATTGATATTTGTACTTTAAAGGTAGAGTTTTGACAGATTAGATTCTCTTCTTTCTATGAAGAGATTTTTTCATTGTACTTTTTCCACAATAATTTTTCTATTTTTATAGAAAATGGTGATTTTTATACATACTCCTACATAAAGATTTATATATATTCTTACATGAAGGATAGACCTACTTAGAATATCAGGAACTCTTAAGAGGGTGTGAAGATAACTTTTAGAGATGACAAAATCCTTTTCTGACTTTAATGAAAGGCAAAGTAAGTCAGAGCATTTTCTTTACTAACACTGTAGTATTGATACTCAATGAATGCTTGATGGTATGCTTGCAGGTAAATTGGCAGGATGAGGAGCAGCAAATCAAAAGAGGTGCCTTTACCAAATCCAAGGAACTCTCAAAGGAAGGATACTGTTCAAGGTATGATTTGTATTTTTTAAACTGAACTTAATTCCTTGTGTAGGTCATATGTATAAAATTCTGGGCTCATTAATAAATGAAAATTATATACATGCTTTGATTTATAAAAGGGGATAAATAATTTTTAAAATTTAATTTTTTCTTTTTTTAAATTTTTATTGCTTGGTGAGAGAGAGAGAAAGAGACATTGATTTGTTGTTTGTCCTAGAAGATCGAAGTCTGGAGTATTCTAATCTTTACACATTATAATGTGAAATATCATACAATGCAAAATTTTGTATTTGTTCAGCTCATTGGGGTAGATTGTTGGAGATGTGTAATGGGAGTGTGGGTGGGCGTTAGTCCAGCTGTGCTAAGGACTAACGGGACCAATGTCTAATGCAGCTCTGAACCATATATCAGGAAGCTCAACTTTATTGCATGGGAGAAGAACCATGTTTTGGCCCTGGCTGGTGTGGCTCATTGGATTGAGTGCTCGCCTGCAAACCAAAGGGTCACCAGTTCAATTCCCAGTCAGGGCACATGCCTGGGTTGTGGGCCAGGTCCCCACTAGGGGGCGCATGAGAGGCAACCACACATTGATGTTTCCCTTCTTCTCTTTCTCCCTCCATTCCCCTTTCTAAATAAATAAATAAATCTTTAAAAAAAAAGAACCATGTTTTGGCTCTATATAATAAAGTTCTGCCTAGTAAAGTGGTTCTCAAACTTTGAGTGCATTTGGGATCTTATTAAAATGCAGATTCTAAGGTCAACTTCAGAGATTGTGATTTAATAAATGTCAGTGTTCCCCAGCAGATATAACCACATCGTGGGATGCACTTTCTCAGACCAAGGCTGCTGTAAGTAATTATAGTTCCATTTATTTCTTTCTGTTTTAAAGTTGATTACTTGTTAATGATTGAATAGGATAAATTTTTTCTATAGTTCTTTTTAGTAGAAAATAATGTTAATGTTTTGGTAAGAAGTTATGTGCCATATATCACAAAATGAACATTAATGACAGCTATTAAACAGTAAAAGAAAATCACACTTTAGGTATCAGGAACATTAACACCATGACATATGAAATATTAAAATACTTTGTGCTATTTATTTTTCTGTATTAACTTTGCTCATTTGGTATGTTGAAGTGAAGATTTAAAACATAGAATGGATTTAGGAAGGTGAGACACTATGTAGAAGGCTCAGAGTCAGGGAATGAACAACTACTTTGTGAATGGACTGCGAGTTGTCTTTCCTTTTTTGCGGCAGCCTTAGCGGGGCCTGGCAGTGGGGCCTCTCTCAGCGCTGCTGCGGAGTGGCCGTGGGCAGCCTGTTCCCATTCGTGTTCCCTCCAGTTTTGCCGGGAGTTTAGGAGTCCAGCTGTGGCGGGTGATGCAGAGTTCCTTCCAAGGGAGACCTTTCCTTTTCTTTTTCATTTGCTTTCTGGCCCATTCCTTTTCTAGTGTGTCCTTTTTGTTTTCTTTTGTATCTTACCTGAATTTGAATCATCTGTTTCTTTGCTCTTTGAATGTGGTATTTTCTATCCCCTAATCTTTGGAACTGCTTTGAAAATCAACTGGAAAAGGTAATAGTAGAACCTAGATTTGGTCATAATACAGAGTATTCGTGTTGAACGAATGACTTTTCGCCTTCTGTTTGCCCTTTTTGGTAAGAAGTTATGTGCCATATATCACAAAATGAACATTAATGACAGCTATTAAATTTAGACCCTATAAATAGCAAGATATATTCTCTCTTTCTACATTATAATGTAGGGACAGCTTCTGTCCCCAATTTAATTTAGAGCTAAATTAATTGCGAGCTGAACTGTTAGTTGTTTTTCAAAATGATTTTTTTTTTTAAGAATTTTTAAGGGTACGGGGCTCAGTATAGATGGGGGAGGGAGAGCCTGATACAGAACTATTATAGGATTAGTGTAATTTTGTGAGTACATTGCACTGCAGACATTCAAAAGGAGACAAGTTAGAATTTTATACAAAGCTTTCTTTTGAAATCTCTCTGTGGTGGAATGTTGATGATTTTAATTTCTTTTTTTTATACCTTTTCTGTTTTCTCTAAGTTTTCCTCCATAAGCATATAATACTCTACTATTTAGGGGAAAATGCTTCTTAAAATCATTGAGGACATTGGTGGTTACACCAAAAGTTAACCTCTGTTGTAAATTGTGTGGGAACCTGAATTCTATCTTGTGACTTTTATCCTTACCATGAAGCCTGCTTTACAGACATAAGACTATAAAAAAGTTGTAGCTGTTTGAATAAGTGCTAAGTTTTAGTCTAGCTGAATCATTCTTTCTTCATTTTTGCATGTAACATGCACAAGATTTTATATATTTGTGTATATATATGATATGTAGCATATAATGTCAGAAAATTTTTACTGCTTTAAAAACTCAATTAAAAAATAGGTCGAGGCAAATAGAAACTTTTTAAGTCTTCAGAATCTTTTTTATTTTCTTGTTTAAATTTGGGCAGTGTTCTGCCAGCTGTTAGTAGAGCTGAAAGTAGTAAATAATGAAAAACACTTTTTTTTTGTTCATTATAGTAAAATACTCTTTAGATTTTTTTTCTACTTTTGAGAAAGGTATTGGACAATATAGTTTTAAATAACTGTGTAAATTGATAGTAGCTGGTTATTTACAGAATTAACCTGTTTGTTGTGATGGTGTTTAACTTTAGCTGAGACACATTGAAAACAAGTTAGAAGTAACCCCTACAAGTACAGCTGTGTTCGACTCTGTCATGGATGCCAAGAAACCTTCTGCAAGTGCTGTCCGAAAGATAAGTAGAAAAGGTATGTATGGAGTGACTGCCGAAGATCTGAATGTATTCAGTATACCTTTTTGATGCTGGTTTCGTTTCAGTTTAATTTCTTTTTATAGTCCCATGTATTTGCTTTCTCTCTTGTTAGAGACTAAACCTCATCAGCACTTAGGTTTTTTTCCCTCGAGTACTGAGTCGTTATCAAGGAGCCTCAAATTCAGTGTCTATGGGTGATGTTTTCCCCACCTTTTAATTAGGGGTTTAGCACCACTCTGTCACCTTTGACAACGAATCTTCATTTGTTTTTAGTGGTGAGAATTTGATTTTGAGGCTTTGGGGTTATATATGTCTTTTTAAAAAATTCTCAGGTCTTTATGTCACTTTGAAATTTAGTTGGGGTTTAAAATCACAAATGGAATGTCTGTCTTACGGATACTCTCATGCGTTCACATGGTGCCAGTGTTTTCTTTGTTGGCCGTTCATGATTCTGTGGTTTCCTAATCAGTGGGCTGAACCTGCAGGTTAGTGCTTCCCACTGAAACTGTGATTTTATTTTGACCTGTGAATCTGTTGTGTTTTTTCTGATATTTCTTTTTTTGAGTGAGAGCCTTTGGCAAAAAGGAATTTTATATGTCGAATTTTATTTTGCATCGTTTTCACATAATCTTTCTCTATAGATTGATTTACTATAATAATTTAAATAAACCCTGAATGTTTTTCATCTACTTCTATAATATTCAACTAGAGATTCCAGCAGTAATAGATACCTAAATTATTTTCTTAGATCCTTGCCAAATTCAGAGACAGTTGTATTTTGTATCGTGTGTTCTCACAGACTTTTTTCCCTGCAGATGTTAGGTACTTGGATGATTCTTGGCTTAACGCTCCAGTCTCTAAATCTTCTAAATCACGGAAGGAGAAATCCCGCAGTCCTCTCAGAGTTACCACCCTGGAGAGTAACGTGAAGAAAAATAATCGTGTGGAATTCCGAGAACCTTTGGCTTCTTACAGGTTAATGTTTTAAAAAAATAAGTTATCAAATTGGGCTAGCCCGGAATATTTACAGCAAGATTATAGTTTAATATCTGAGCTTTTCATAGCGCTTTGGCTCTGGTAATATTACCTTTTCATTAAAAAAAATATAGCACACATCTTTTATATTATGAAATACTGATTTTCTACTCTTAGTGATTAAATATTTCAGGAGGGCCCAGCTGGGTAACTCAGTGGATTAGAGCATCATCCTGATATGCCAAGATTGTGGGTTTGATCTCTGATCAGGGCACATACAATAAGCAACCAATCAATGCACAAATGAGTAGAACAACAAATCAGTGTTTCTCCCTCTCTCTCTCTCTCTCTCTCTCTCTCAAAATCAATAAAAAGCAATATTTGGGGAGGGAAGAAGCAGTAATATTTGCTCCCGGCCACTACTGCCACTGTAGTAACTGCGTTTCCTGTAGACAAATTACTCAGGAAATGTTCCCCCTCCCCCCTTTAATAGCTCAGGATGGATGTTCTACATAATGAATTTTATATAGCTTAGTTTTCTTCTTTTTCTGATAGCATGAATCAGTTACTTAAAATTACTTCTTGAGAATATGGGTTGATATATTGTTTGACCTTAGCCAGTGGCTTTTTTCAGCAGCTTATTTAGTCAGATGTTCAAGCTTGATGTATGAATTTCGATAGTGTGAATGATAAAAAATGCTTTGTGTTTTTGGATAGCTGATAATTTAAGGATATTCAGATAAAATTATTAAATTTTGTATTTGAGGGACATTTTACTAATGATATAAATGTGTTTGTGCTCTTAGGGTAGCAAATAGTAATAAGTAATAAACACTGGACCTTATATTTCTTTGTTTCATTTATAAGCATTTTTAGTATTTTAAAGTGTCAATAAATCAAGGAATTTCATGATGGTGGTTGAGATACAGGGAGATGGAGGTGGATTACAAGGTCAGTCTTCAATATGGTTAATTTGATGCAGTTTTGAAATATCTAGTGAAAATACTTGGTGGACATGTGAAAATTTGGGTAGGAATGTATGTGGAAAGGTCAGGGCTAGGAATATAAATTTGGGCATTGTCACTAGTGTCATAGTAATAAAAAAAGGGTGAAAAAATGTAAAGAGAAGGCCAGGGACTTAATCTGGGTAGAAGTTCATAGTTTAGAAAAAAAAAGAAAAGTAAAATTTGAAAAATAATCACAGTTCAGAATCTTTAACCACAAAAATATTAAGCAAGTTGCCTGGAAACATAGTCACTGTCAGAAGTGAAACTAAATTACTGACCTTTTTTGTGTCTGTTGTAATGTTTTTCTGCTAAGAATACTACTTAGTATTTAAAATTGTGTAAATTATGTATCTTTTATGAAAAAGTACCTTTAACATAGCTGTGAATAGAATGCCCTTCACCTGACCAACTCCCTTCATCACTTCAAACTCATCTTTCATCACCTTACATATGAAACATTGTGAGATCTGTTTCTATCCCACTCCGTTCCCCCAGCCTGTTTAACCCTTCTGTGCTGCTGTAATACTATGTACCTTCCTGTATTTCAAATTACATTATGTTTTGATTCCTTATCTACCCATTGCATAAAGCTGTAAAAAAAAGCCATTATATAAAGCTGTAAATCTATCTTATTCTCAAAGTACTATCTAATGTCTATCATTTACTAAGTATTCCATAAATATTTTCCCAGCATCTTATTATTAAAATTTTCATATTTACAGAAATGTTGAAAGAATTGTATATTGAACACCCTTATAAGTATTTAGCAAATGTTTAGTGAATGAATGAATCAATCCTTCCTCCTTTCCTTCCCTTCCCTCCCCTCCCTGGCTTCCTTGCTCCCTTCCTTTTCAGTGTTCTTCCCTTTTTAAGATTGAGCCGTGATATGTAGCCTATCTTTTTATGCTTTATTTTATTCTCTACATGTGCTAATTTCAGATCTAAATCATTTTAACTGAATTGTTATTACAGTCTGGTCAAAATAGTGAAAATAATTGCAGCTAGTCTTGATATTTAGTGGAAACTACAGGACTCAATTCTCAGCCCCCATCTTATTTAATAATCAGCCACTCAGAACAGAGCCTAATGTGTTTTGGGTCATGGACCCCAGTGATAATCTGATGAAAGCTGTAGACTATCTCCTTAGAAAAATACACATACTCAAATACAATAGATATGGTTTATATAATCACCATGTTATGTGGTAATAATTTTTGTGGCAGAGTTTTATGCCTTTAAACAGAACATCTAGATCAGTGCTATACAATAGGCCCATTAATGTGCCCACATGTGTAATATAAACATTTTTAGTAGTTACATACACACAGAGATGTTTTACATTCTTCTGTTGTTTTAAATCTTTTGAATCATGTAATTTACAGGATAGAACATCACAAGTTGGATTAGCCGCATTTGAAGTGCACAATAGCCACACGTGGCTGACGTCGACTCTTTCAGACGTAGCAGGTCCCGGTCGTTGTTTTGTGTGCTTTTGCAGTTTTGTTGGGTGTTTTATCGTGATTCAAATGCTCTTCTTGCTGCTGAGGCCTTTTTGTCTTCATTAACCTCTCTCTTAATAAGCTGGTTCTGTTCCTAAAATATAACTTATTGGAATGATGTATAAAATAAAAATAGTCTCTGAAGGAAGACTTTTGCTAGTGTTTTTATGAATAGAGAATATGGACTTTGTGATATGCACTTTGGCTGTGTTTAGTCCTTTTGCTTACTCTGAAATTTCTAGGTTTGCTTTACATGGTTTGAAGCTGCCAAAAAAGTGGTCGGTGGTTCAGAGAGGTTTGAATTTACTAACCACATTTATTTGAAGGAAAATATTTATTGTACCTTTACTTTATTTCTGTTCTGTCTATTTGTTAATTTGGTACATTATTTAGAAGTTACACATATGAAATGCCAGTAAAGGAGTAAAATACACATTTTGGTAAAAGGTCTCAAGTGAATATCCAAAATCAGATTGTAACCCTATTTTCTGGCATTCTTAAGGAACTTTCTCCAAACATCTTTTGCATTTTTCTTATTTTATAATATGCAGATTATTATTTAAAACTTGATAGAGGGGTCATTGAGTCTTAATATTAGTAATTGTTTTATTAGTTTTAACTTTCTGGAATTTCTGGGGGGGTTTGGTCTCTAATTTTACTTTAGAGTTCACCATTTTTAAGGCTAGTTTTAGTTCGACTGTTTTTTGTACTTTTTATTTAAAACTTATTATCTTTTAATTATAGGGAAATTCATGGCCTACCTTCCAATATAAGCCCCAGCCCTTTAGAGTCCAAGCATGTATATTGTGTGGATGTTAATGAAGAAAAGCCTGAGAGTGGGAATCGGATGGTAAGCAATCGAGAAGAACGAAATATACGTTGCTGTGATTTTGAAAGTTCCCAATCATCTGTCATCAATGATACTGTTGTTAGGTTTTTAAATGATCGACCAGCAATTGATGCATTGCAAAATTCTGAGAGTTTGATTAAGATGGCAGCTCCTGTGAGAACTGAGGAAGAAAAGCCTAATAGGACAAAAGGAAATGAGAACAATCTGAAGGCTTCTGTCAGTAACTCAGGCCATGATGTCGATCCGAAAGTGTTACAGCTGGCTGACTCTTCTCCCTCTTCTACTAGTACTTCTAATTCCCAAAGATTAGATATCTTAAAGAGGCGACAACATGATGTCAAACTGGAAAAACTCAAGGAGCGGATTAGGAAACAGTGGGAACACTCAGAAGAAACAAGTGGCCGGGGCCAGAATCTGGGTCACGTTGACCACCCAGTAATGGTTGTTAATGTTGATAGCTCAGTGACCGCGAAAGTCAGGAAAGTGGCAACAGCACCGCCTGCTCCTGTGTATAAAGGTTTGTGACCAGTCCTTGTGTCTTTCTCTTTCTGCCTCCTCATCCCCCGTCTCCTCCCAATGTGTTTGAGTAGACTAGGTGATCCTCTTTAGAACAGATAAGAAATTAATTCAAGGAGCAGATTAAAAATGCAGACTTCTGGATCCTACCTTGGACCTAAATCAGAATTTCTGGGGATAGAGCCCAGAATTGGAATTTTTAATTAGTCCAGCAGGCCCACTATATGAACCATTTAATAAGATGAACAAAAGAAGAAATAAGAGCTAGTATGTTTTCAGAGAACTAAAAGAGTATTCTCTTATTCTGTCATTGTATTTGGATTATTATTAGGAGTTCTTTCAGAAGTAATATTTAAAAGATAATTCAATCAGTTTGAGTTAATATTTGGTTACAGAATATTTTGGCACTGACATTTGGTTCACATTGTTTTAACTTTCAAGTTTTGACACGGGTTTTTTCCCCTGTGTTTAAGAAAAATATTTAAGTCACATTTATAACAACAGTAATAGATTTCCATTGAGAAAAAGCTTTTCAGAGAGAATTTCTGTTTTTAGCCAGCTCAAGTGTTTATGTATGGTGGTTTTAAGGAGTTTGTATTTTTATTTTCCTGAAATTAATTTCCTAGGGTCATCATGTAAAGTTTCTAATAAAGAGTTAATTCATAGATCAGGTTAGTCTGTGTTAGACTTTTGTCATGAAAACATCTGCCTTTGTAACCTTTCTTTTGTGCATATTTTTTAAAGTTCAGTTTTTTCTAGATAAATGTGTGAAGATCAAATATTGTCAGAATTTGTTCTGTTAATTTTAAGTTATGAACAAACCAAGACAGTTTTTGCTGTAGTCAATTGTGTTTTGTATTTTTACTAAGTCTAATTTTTCTCTGACCCCTTTTTAAATTTTTAGTCCTGAAGTGTCTTTAGTCATTTTTTCCTGCAGAATAAATTTTACTGTATACAGTTAGAATAGTTACCAGCTTTATTTTGTTGCTTGCTATGTTTTATTAGTGATATACATTGTAAATTAGATAAAAATGGGTAATTTGCATTTTATTCTAGCTAATTTGTGATGAAATCTTGAGCAATTCCCTTTTTTTTAAATTATTTTTACTTTTTCTTTAAGATTTAATTTATTTATTTTTAGAGAAAGGGGAAGGGAAAGAGAAAGAGAGGGAGAGAAATATCAATGTGTGGTTGCCTCTCATGTGCCCTCTACTGGGGACCTGGCCTGCAACCCAGGCATGTGCCCTGACTGGGAATCAAACTGGCGACCCTTTGCTTTGCAGTCCGGCACTCAATCCACTGAGCCACACCAGCCAGGGTGTGAGCAGTTCCCTTTAGAAAGAATACTGAAAAAAAAAATTGCTCTGTTACCCATGATTGGTCTGATGCATTATTAATAAAATTCTCTTCATCCTTTAGTTAGTTGTGTGCCATGTAATAATTGTCCACACTGTTAACAGAGCAAATAGCAATGGTGGGGTCAAAATGTTCATGTTGGTTCTGAGATAGTGAGTGATTATCCAAAACTTTTGCTATACTTGTATCAGACCCGTTAAATGCATATGGTACATTTAAGATTTGTTCATTCCAGAAGTTCAAGTTCTGAACTTCCAGCTATTCTACTAAGGCAAAGTTAAGATGGTCAGTTTGAATCCATATGTTATTTAATAATTTATAAAAATCTAAAGTGAAAGTTTCATTTGTTCAAATGCATAATAAAAATTCACTTCATTCCGAAGTCAAAAGATGAAAAGGGTGGACCTTCAAAAGCTCTTTGCTCCACCCACCTGGTCCCTTTTCTGGAGGTTACTGTGTATTTTCCAGAGATATTTTTTTCCCAGATAATTTTTGCATACATAGAAAAAAGAGAGAGAGAAAGTTTATTTAGTTTCTTTCTCTTTTTTTTTTTATACAATTGTTGGCATACTAAACCAATTTAGATCTTGGTTTTTCATTTATGTTTTTGTGCACTTTATTTTAAGGAGACTTTAGAAATGTTCTGTGATTCTGCTTTAAAATTTGAAGTACTGAACAGAAATGGTGTTTATGTGATCCTTTCTTGTCTTATACTTAGTTACTGTTTGCACATCTTTTTTTTTTTTTCCTGGTATAAATGCCCATGAATGTTAAGAGCCTGTATAAGTCATCCTTACTTTATTTCAGGGCCTAATATAATGTCTTGGGCATAAGTGCCCAGTAAATTTTTTATTCTATTCAATCAATTCAACTAGTAAGAAAAAAAGTGGAGAAAGAATGGAAATAAAGACTGGAGGATGGAAAGAGAAACTGATACAGACATTGAAAGCTTCTTGAAGTTAACTTACAAGTAAAGATGCAAACATAAAGAAAGGCTCTCATGCAGATAAACAGTTCTTAAAGAGGAGAGGAGAAAGAATCATAGTGTTAAATGTAGAGAGATGGGAGGCAGTTGATGATGAAGACAAGTCTCGATAGAGAGGAGACTTGCATGTAATTGCTACACTTTCTTACTACAAACTAGTTTATAACAGACAGAACACTATGTTTGTAAGTTTTTTTCTTAAACAGATATAGGTATAATTGTGTGCCCTTTGCCACAAATGTTAGGTGAAATTAAGTTTATGCTATTATGCCCAGGAGCTGAATAGATTATTTACTATTAGACATGAAATTAACTTACTAGTACATTTCATCTAACACCTCTAAAGTGCTTTTATCAATTTCAGTTCAAACTTATTCTTTATATTGATTTAATTTTACAAATATTTATTGGCTGCCAAGTTTTCGGTAAGTTGAACCATCTGAAACTATAAATCTTTGCACTGTTCTGGGTAACATCCCTATTCATTGTTTTATTGTTTTGTAAAGTAACACTCCAGGTTCAGTGTATTTCTTAAAGAGTAGTGATAAATTTGAAGTAGGAATTCAGAACTAGGAAAAAGCACATGTGTAATGGTTTTTGAGAAATTGGATAAGTATGTTTCAGAGATACATTTTTCACACTTTGGGTGCATTTTGCCTATGTAGGCAGCAACTGATCCATTAGTTCAGCCATAGGCAAAATCAGACAGATGTTAGCAATTAATGCCTGTCTTCAAAGAAGAGAATAAGTAGTATAGTCTTTCTTTTAGTCTTGAGACAGATAGTTTATATCTCTGAACTTTATAATTTATGATTAGCATTTTTAATCACTTAATTTAGTGTTTCTCCATTTTTAGTCTTTTTTGAACAAATGTACTATGTATTGCTTTATCTCACCGAAGCTTGCTTTTTCCAAATAGTATTTGTCAACACATTATGTGGTAGCTAATGATGCATTCCTCTCTTAAAAGCTTATAAAGCTGCCCAGCCTTATTAGTTACTAGGGAACTGCAAATCAAAACCACAATTGAGATACCATTTCATACCTGCTAGGGTGACTGTAATAAAAAAGACAGACAATGACAAGTGTTGTTGAGGATGTGGAGAAATTGGAACCCTCATATATTGCTGGGGAGAATGTAAAATGGTGCAACTATTTTAGAAAACATTTTGGCAACTCCTCAAAAAGTTAAACAGAGTTACCATATGACCCAGCTATTCCACTCCTAGGTATAGTACCCAAGGGAATTGAAAACATATGTCCACACGAAAACTTGTACACAAATGTTCATAGCAGCATTATTAATAATAGCCAAAAAATAAATACCCCCAAATGTTCATCAGCTGATGAATAGATCACAAATGTTTGTACACCGGTACAATGGAATATCATTCTACAATAAAAAGGAATAAAGCTTTGATACATGTTATACGGTGGATGAACACTGGAAACATCATACTAAGTGAAGAAGCCAGACACAAAAGGTCATGTATAGTATGATTCTGTTTACATGAAATGTCCAGAATAGGCAAATCTGTAAAGACAGAAAGATTAGCAGTTGCCAGAGAATAGAGATGGTAGCGTGGGGAGTGACAGCTAATGTGTACAGGGTTTCTTCTCAGGGGGATGAAATGCTCTGGAACTAGATGGTGATAGTTGTATAACTTTGTAAATATACTGCAAACCACTGAGTTGTACACTTTAAAAGAGCGAACTTTATACTTTGTTGATTGTATCTCATTTAAAAAAGAGTATAACAAACAATACTTATAAGGCAGCTTTGATAAGAATGTTCTGTACTTTTGGTATGTATTAGGTTTCAATCCTTCAGAGACCAGGATTCGAACACCCGATGGCAAAGTGTGGCAAGAGGCCGAGTTTCAAAACATGAGCAGAGAACTGTATCGAGACTTAGCACTTCACTTTGCAGGTGAGAGGAGAGCTTTCTAAGGGTTTGAGTGTTTCATCATGCATGCTATCTAACTTAAAATATTTAAACATAAAATGGCCACCAAGCTAAAGATATTTCCCTTTTCTAACTACATGGTATACTAAAGTAGTGGTGGTTTTTGGTCTGTCATAAGGCTCCCTTAGCTTCTAGGCTCTGCTCCAGGGTTAAAATTAGCACACATGGCTGATGAGACAGAAACAAGGCTATTTTTAAACTGAAGGGCTTTCAGAGTGGGGCCTGTCTGATTTGAAGAAAATATAGCAGTCTAGTTGAAGTTCATTTTTACCAGACCCCTTAGATGTTTGAAATGGTCAGTAATTTCACAGGCAGCAGATAAGATACTAATATAAGGGCAAAATGCAAAAAGAAAAAGGAACCTTTTAGGAAGGGAATAATGTTAGAGAATTGGAAATATGAGGAACTTCTGGAAAATTAGAAGAAGGAAATAAGGTCATACTCAAAATGCTACTATGTATTGAACATCTAGTATGATTTTGGACAAGATGTTGGGTATTTAGTATTCTGTATTTTTTACAGTTGAGGAAAGAGAGACTCAAAGAGTAATTTTCCCAAGGTTGCATAGAGCAGTTAAGAATTGAAGCCAGTATTCAAAGCCAACTCTGACCGTAAAGCCTGAGATTTTTCTAGGAAGCCCCCATGGAGATTCTACTAATAAATTTTGTGGCATTAAGTGTTTAGTCTACTTTTTCCACTGTTAATTGGAAAACTGTATTTAGTTAACAGTAAAGGTTTGGGAATTAGCTTAGAAGGGTTCAAATTGGGCTCTGTCACTTAATTAGCTCTGTACACTACCTGTGTTAGATAACCTCTCTTCCTTGGTTTTCTCATCTGAAAAATAGGGGTAATAACAATATACCTCATAGGACAGTATCATTATAGACAAGTAGAATGCTGTATGTCAAAGAAGTCTGAAAGAGGTTTGTCTGTTACACTCGTGTTATGGTAGATGATGAACTCTGTGCTCATGGCGAAGACCAGTTCATCCGCTTGTGTTGTAAGGTCCATGTGCTCTTGTGTCTTTAAGAACACAACTTGAGCATGTTTCCTTCCTTTTACATCATCAAATGCTCTCTCTCTACAAGGTCATTTTGTCAACACACTGTTTGATAACATGCCGCCGTTTCAGCCATCATACAAGGACCCCTCTCTTGACCCTGCTGTCTTCAACGACTGCCCTTCTCATCTCCTATTTTCAGTAAAACTTCCAAAAGTTTCCCTGTACTCACTGTCTCTAATTTTTCTCCTCCCTGTCACTCTTAGGTCCTTTCTCTTAGGTGTTTGCTCCTACTTCTCTGTGAACTGCTGTTAAGATTATCAGTGACTTCCATGTTGCTAAAACCAGTGTTTAATTCTGATTTGTCATCTCTCAGGAATACTGGACAAGATTGAAACTCTTTACTTGACATTCAGGATACCACCATGAGTGTTTGGTTTTCCTCCTAAGTCTAAGTTGCTCGTTTTCAGTTTTTTTCCCAATCGATACCTTGACCTCTAAATATTGGCACGTCCCATTCTCAGTACATGGATCTGTCCCCCTCTCCTCCTCTCTCTTCCTCTTCCTCCCCCTCCTGCTTTCTTTCTTTTTTTTCTTTTTTTTGGCAGGGGAAGGGCTTTTAATTATCTACATACACATAAGACAAGCTTATCTCATCTCAGAGCTTTAAATATTTGTTGTTGATTCCCAAATTTATGCCTCTGGTCCAGACTTTGCCTCTGAACTCAGGCTCTTATATCCAGCTGCTAACTCCAGATCTCCCTTTGGATGTATAATAGGTTTCTTAAGCTTAATGTAGCTGAAAGGTAGCCGACTAACTAGATGGGGTTGCTGTACATACACCCCTTAAGCCTACTCCTCTGGTAGTCTCTCCATCTCAGGTAATCTATTCTAATTATTCTGGCCTCTTGACCCCCATGTTTTCCTTATGCCTTATTTCTAATATTGCCTGAAATACATCTAAAATAAAACCACTACTTAGCCTGCCTCTGTCACTGTCACCTAGGTCTGAGCCACCATCAGGCCCTTGTCCAGATTACTGCAGTAGCCTTCTAACTGGTCTCCCTCCTTCTGTGTTTCATCTGAGTTTGTTCTCTTCGCAGGTGTTAGAGGAGGCTTGTTAATATTTAATTGATATTACATCGCTCCTTTGCTCAAAATCTCCCAAAAACTTTCCATCTCATTCTTGAATAAAACTCCAAGTTCTTATAATGACCTATAAAGCCCTACGTGGTCTGGCCCTCAGATATGTCTCTGACCCTGGCTATTACAGCTTTCCTCTTTGCCTCTTGCACAGTGGCCTCCTGCTGTTCCATAGACACTAGGTATGGTCTTGCCTTAGAGCCTTGACTCATACTTCCTTCCACTTGCCCAGAATGCAGTGCTCTATGTATTTTAAAGTATGTTTATGTGGATCTGTAATGGAGGTTAACGTAACTCACACACACAGGGGTGGACAAAAGTAGGTTTACAGTAGTGAGTACATGAAACAGTTTATTCCTGTATTGTTTATTTATTATTTATTTGTATTATGTAAACCTACCCCTTTATATATTCCTTTATTAGAATTGAAAAAAATTAGTAATTTATATATGAAATACCTTCACATATTTCACTAGCATAACCATAAAAGGGCCTAATTTAGGAATATTACATTGAGTATTTTACGAAGTTTTATTTTAGAAGTTCACAAATATCCCAGTTATGTAGGAATTTTTAAATGAAGTTGGAATCTGAGAAAGTGCCTACCTCTGAGATTCTATAAATACTGTGGATCCTGGGTTGGAAAGCATTAGTTGCACTTTCTTTCAGTTTGTGAAAACGAGTTAAATTTCTCCAGTGTTTTCGGCGGGTGGGGTGGGGGGGAGAGTAAATAAACAGAAAGAATTGGAACCTAACGGCAGAGTAGTAGTAATCTTTAGACCTTTTCATAAGAGGAGTTGGCATTGGTAGCTTATGGGTCATAGAAATAGCCTTAGTGAAGGTTTCTTTCTCTCTACCTGAATCATATACTTTATGCTGATTTTTCATCCTGGGGGCAGGATGAGTGAGTGGGTAGGAATCATCGTAATATTTGCTGTTTCTGCCTTTCAGATGATATCTCTGTGAAAGAGAAACCTGCTGAAAAAAGTAAAGAGAAGAAAGCGGTCAAGCCAGTACGAAAAGTCCAAAAGGTAGCACAATTTTCAAGTCCAGAATGCAAAACAGGTTAGTTTTTTCCATACCGTGTACACCCTAAAGTTAAGTATTACTGAACTGGCATGTACGTGGAAATAAGTGTCTGTTACCTAGATGTTCTCATTGTTTGGCACATATGAAAATGGAATACAGTTTGTGTGTCATTATTTTGTGTATGTGTATTTAATTGACATATCATAATTTATATGTAGTTAGAACATATAGTTTGATAAGTTTTCGTATATGTATATACCCATGAAGCCGTATGTTCACCATGATACTGATTATATCTATCACCCCCCAGTTTTTTTCTATCACTCTTCATAGAAATCAATCAGGTTAAAGGTAATGATTTTTATATAGTGAACTTTTGTATACAAAGGGATTGCTTATGAATGTCACTAAGGAAAGTGTGGCAATCCAGGCCTGTAGTGGTCAGGCTGGACTCTGAACAGGTCAAGACTGGGAAAGAAAAAGAGAATTCGCTAGTTCCATAGTGACCAACATTTCAGGCTCAATCCAGGTTGCCCAGATTTGTAACCTAGCTTTGTTCCTTTGGTAAATGAGTGGTGTTAGTACCCTTCATTTTTCCCATGTGCAAAAGGGAAGGCAGTAGTGCTTCCCATGGGGTTGTTGTGAGAACCGAATTAATACCTAAAGCACCCAGCGTAGCACCTGGCATATGGTAAGCAGTCAAATGTTAGGATTGATTCATTAATAATAATAATGATTATTTCTGGCTATACTGAAAGTGGCTATTTAGTATGCAATATTCACGTCATTGAGTAATTTGGGCCAAGAGAGTGAAGAAAATTGGGGACTTGTCACTTTCAGCTTGGAGACATTTTTAATCAATCATTCATACATGCATTCATGATGCAGATATTTTTGAGCACTTGCTATATGTGAGGCATTGTGCTGTACTAAGCTTAGAAAATTGGTAAGCAAGATGCACAGAGCCCCTGCCTTTCTGGAGTTTATGATTTCGTCAGGAAAACAGTGGATTCAGAGCTAGAATGAAGGATGATGAGTGTGTGACAGGGGATGTGCAGGGTCTGTGGAAACAGAGCAGGGGTGGTGGAACTCTGGCTTTTGACCAGGCACTTGTTTTTCTGGCCATAGACTAGTTACCACAGTGGCAGATAACGTATTTTGTGACACCCACTGTTAACTTTAGCTGTCATAAGAAAATGACCCACACTGTACACAGATAAAAAATAAAACTTTATAGGAGCATGAATCATCTGAATGTAAACACTAATTCTTATGTTAAAAAATAATCCATGTTATTTTTTCATGAAATACTATGTAATACTGTTGTCAGGAGCATAGTTTGAAATGAAACACTGGAACCACTGTGACTTGGAATGTATTTGTCCAGTTTGTGGTGAGCGAATTTCCATTTGTGCACTGGGGTGACGACTGAGACAGAGCATCATTAAATGTGCAAAAACTGTATTAATAGTTCATTTATAGTGAAAGTCCTCTTTTTCTACCAATGACTGCATGAGACTATTCTAGAAAGCCAGAATTTAGAAATAACCACCCAGCAGATTCAGAAGCCAGCATTTATAAATAACTGCCCACTATATTCATGGTTGCTTGCTTTTGATTCAGAAGATTAAGCTGAAATTGAAGAGAGGCCTGTTTTCTCATTTTGCTTAAGAACATAAAGTTTTTTTTATAGATTGAGCAATAGGCTTCAAACCTTTTAAATGTTTTAGATAGACTGTTTAAGGTTAATAACAAGGTGAAAAATATTTCTTTGCTAAAATAAATAGCACACATTTATAATTCATGTTTCTCTATAATAGATATATTCATTAAAACAATACTTTCATTTAAACTTTTAAATTAAAAGTCCTGTTTAAAGAAACTCTAAATGCAATGTCTTTTATTATAAATACAGTTAAAATACCATGACCAAAAGCTTGAAAAATAGGAGAAAACACAAAAAACCACTACTCTTACTTAAAGTATTAGTATTATATTGTGTACTTCCTTATAGTGATTTTAAAATAATAGTATATAAATATAATCATTATATACATACAATTATAACTTTTTCTCTTAGAAAATTTCCACAGAACATTTGTTATTTCTTATGGAAATTGTTGTTTGAAATGACCACACAATACTCTGTCTGTTGGGAACATAACTAGTTTAATTAACCATTTATCATTCTTTAACATTTAGGTTACTTCTGATATTAAAAATGATACAGTGAACATTTTTGGTTTTAATTTTGTATTACTTCTATTAATACAGTGCTGTGTCTTGGATGTTTTGAGCAAGGTGAGCACTTTTGGGATTCCTGACATGTAATACTACGTTTATTTTAAAATAAAGAAACTATACCCACTTATGTTTCAACAATCAATGCATAAGTAGAATGATTTTATTATAATTTTACCAGCATTGACAATCAATGTAAAAATCTATTTTTTCAAATTTAATTAGATTTAAAATACTTTATTCTGCGAACCAAAGGGTCACCAGTTCAATTCCCAGTCAGGGTACGTTCCTGGGTTGCAGGCCAGGTCCCCAGTAGGGGCTGTGCAAGAGGCAACTACACACTAATATTTCTCTCCCTCTCTTTCTCCTTCCCTTCCCCTCTCTCTAAAAAATAAATAAATAAAATCTTAAAAAAAAATCAACCAATGAATGCATAAATAAATAGAGCAACAAATTGGTGTTTCTCCCTTCCCTCTCCCTAAAAATCAATAAGCTAAAATATAAATAAATAAATAAATAAATAAATAAATAAATAAATAAAATACTACTTTATTATTTTTATTCAAATTTTTAAAATGTTGTTCCCATTTTCTTCCCATTGCTCCTCCCTGCCCCGTCCAACCCCCTTTCCCAAAGACAGTCCCTACCCCATCGTTCTTGTCCCTGGGCCCTTTGCACATGTTCCTGTGCTTGCCCCTCCCTCTTCTTTCCCCGTTATCCTCCCCTCCTCTGGTCACCGTCAGTTCGTTCTTTATTTTCATGTCTCTCTGGTTCTTTTTTTGCTTGTTTGTTTGTTGATTAGGTTCCACTGAAAGGTGAGATCATATTCCATTTCTTCTATTACTTTGCATTTAAGTATATATATATATTTTTTATGTTTTCTGTTTTCTGAACAATCTTTTATATCTTTTTTTTAAGTTACTGTCTGTTTTAAGGTGATGGTCTAATTTTAAATTTTTTACAATATGAAAATAGTAAAGGAAAAGATTTCCTCCTGGTAAACAGTTATATTTATTTGAACATTCTTTTATTTTTATAAAATTTTATAATTAGGACAGCTGAAATGTTGATAGTGTTTATTTTTAAATATCATTATTTTATGTATAAAAAAGCGTGTAGTTTGGTATGTATTTGTAAAATTTAATGTGTAATTTTTCTGTAATATCATCCCCTCCAAAGGTAGTCACGGTTAACTGTTTGTTATATATTATATATTTTCTCAGTTTTTTTCCTGCACTTAGGTCAAGTCATTTGTTTGTTTGGCAGATGCTCATTTTACTTTGTGCCAGAAACCATGCTAGTATTGATAAACCAAACACTTAATGTAGTTGACATATTTTTGTTCTGTGCCAAAATTGTTGGATTCAGTGACCTAATTTTTGAGGTTTCAGTTATCATTATTAATATTTGTACTTTCAAAGCATTTTACAGTTATTTGAGGTATATGGATAAATCAAGATTTAAGCAAACTGTTCATTGAGTTTGGAGACTTAGGGTTAAAAATAAAAGTTGATTGTAAACCCTTTAATGTTGGCATAAGATAAGCATAAGATTACTAGAAACCCTGTGTGCCTGAGTAGGCATGTAATTCTCAGAGCTAGAACTTATGTTTCAGATTCAGTGCAGTATGTGTGTGCGTGTGTTTCAGGTGGCAGTCGTCTGATCAGTACGTCTTCTTGGCGAGATGGACAAAAATTAGTGAAGAAGATTCTGGGACCTGCACCCAAAATGGAGCAAAGAGAGCGAAGAACAGCATCAAGTGACAGAAGTGGAAGAGAAAGAACTACTAAATCTGGTAAGTAATCAAATTATTACATTATCTTAGTAATTAAAATTGAGAAAAACAATGAAAAGTTGCTTGTGTAAGTACTTAGGGTGAAAATACTCTTTTGGGAATGCTTTGTGTCTTTCTATATACAATTGTGAATGTAGTCTAGAAAAAAAGATACTCTACTGGGCTTGTCTGGATAATTTCTACACAGAGGTGTTATGGTGATCTTTATGAAGAATATTTAAGAAAAGATATTAAACCCCAGTGATTGCTTAAGAGCTTAAAATTGAGTGAATTCTAAGTATGGTGGAAACCTCTAAATTGTATGCAAACTGCAGTCATGTGGTTTGATAACTAAATCTTATCACTGGTCTGGGAGCTGTGTTCTCTGCTCACTGTAATCTCTGATCCTGCCTTTATATAAAATCCTGATTTTTTTCATCGTAAGTTGTGACATTAATCTTTCTTTTTAAATATTTCATTAAAATATTTATCCTGAAAAAAAGAATTGTTTCTTATGTTAATTACATATTCTGTCTTTGTGAATAGCAAAGCATCATTTAACCAAATATTATTAGACTTTTAGGGACCTTAAGAGAATCACATCTGACCTCTCTCATCCCTATGTACACAAACACAGGCACACACCCACAAAGTTAATTTTTTTTTTTTAATTTGGCAGGTTAGGAAGTAATCCCTGAGGAAGAATTGAGTATGTAGACAGTGGGTGGCAAAATTTGATCTAGGATTAGTTTGACCTTCGAGTCTATTACTTTCTCTTTTTGAAATGTCTTGAATGCTATTTGCAATAAGTAGTTACTTTTTCATGAATACTAATTTTGGGAAAGGAAATATAAATACCTACAGGCCAGCTTTCTTTTTTCAGCAACAGTATTGCATTAATTTGAACTTCTGGAGTGGATTCAGTAAGAAATGCAATTGCAACTATAATTTTATATACATAAGTCAACATAAACTTTGTATGTGCTCCTCTTCACTTTTGTTTAGCTTGTAAACTCATGTGCATTCTCAGTCTAAAATTAAGCCATATCAACAAATGTCTAGATGATAAATGATTGTTTTCCTAAATATTTTTTCCTTCTGTCATTCATTGGAGAGTTGTGGCAGCTTAACATTGTTGTTTTTTTATCAAACTTTTTGGGGGTTTGGGAGGGAGAGTAACATTAAATAAGTACATGAGAGAGAACTATTGATGGTATTTCCTTGCTAATAGTTAAATATGTCAACAATAATATCTCTCCTTATTTCAGAATATTAAAAGATGCATTTTGTTTAAATGCCAAGGAAGCATCGTGTTTCAGAATGTAGAAATTCTTCTCCTGCTATAAAACAGATGTTTCTGTTTCCTTCTGTCATATTCTTCAGAAGACTTCCTATGATATTTGAATTAAAGTTTAAGATAAAGTGAAATTCCCTAATTTTCTCCTGAATACAATAAATTTTAGGAAAGAATACAGAATTTTAACACATCACTAACAGTTCATTCTTCGCAGGGGGTCATATTGGAAGAGCAGAATCTGATCCCAGATTGGATATTTCACATAGACATCTTCCACGAAACTCAGAGCGTTCAAGAAGTAGAGCACGGTCTGAAAATAATATAAAGAAATTAGCCCCGCCTCTTCCAGATAATAAACAGGAGGAAGATATTGCCTTAAATAAGGACTTTTTACCTGTTGAAATTCGTGGAATTCTTGATGACCTGCAGCTTGAGTCGGCAGCTCAGGCTTCAAGACAAGAGACCAGAGAGTTACAGAGTCAGAAGTCGTCAGCAGCAGTACAGGCCCCGAGGAGTCATAGCCCAGTAAAAAGAAAACCTGACAAAATCACTGCTAACGAAGATCCTCCTGTTATTTCTAAAAAGCGCCACTATGACACAGATGAGGTACGGCAGTACATTGTTAGACAGCAGGAGGAAAGGAAGAGGAAGCAAAACGAAGAGAAGAAGGCTCAAAAAGAGGCCACTGAGCAGAAGAACAAACGATTACAGGAGCTCTACCGGAAACAGAAAGAAGCCTTTACTAAAATAAAAAATGTGCCTCCTCCTGAGCCATCAGCAACCAGGCGACTGCAGGAAACTTACTCCAAATTGCTCCTGGAAAAAACGTTGCTCGAGGAGCCGACACATCGTGTTATGCAGGAAACACAGGTAATCGTAGTGGCAGAAATACAAAGGGAAGTGATTTATCGTCAGGAAAAGTTTATTTGCTATACTGTTTAAAAATTACCAACCATTCCTAATATTCACACATATGCTCAGATAGTATTTGTAATAATGAAGACCTTTCATGAAATGTGTATACTGTATTTTGCCATGTATAATGCACTCCTGTGTATAATGCACACCCACATTTTTGGCCCAAATTTTCAGGGAAAAAAATCTTTTGTTTTAATTTTTAATTCAATTACTTATTTATATTGAGATAACTTGTTTTACAAACTGCTTTAATTGCAAGTTTGTCATAAAGTCAACAAAGCAAATTATCATATTCCAGGGTATTATTTTGCATACGGATATCATTGCTTTCTAGAGTTACATTTTTAATGCATAAGCATAAATAAAAGAATTAAAAACATTTATATAGGTGCATAATTAGTACTACCCATGTATAATGTGCATCCTTATTTTTCCCTCAAAAATTTGGGTAAAAATGTGTGCATTATACATGGCAAAATAGAGTATATGAAAAGTTATTTGATAAATGTGATCTAACATAAATATTGGATTAGAGTTTTACTATTTTTCTGTTACTAATTTCAGTTGGTCTCATCACTGCTCTTAGTTATATCCCTGCCCAGTTTTCGTTGTATACTGAGCAAATGAAGTTAGAATATGATAATGAAAAGCCCAGTTTTGTGATCTGTGCTGAAATGAGAGAATATCCTAGTTCATTGGGATGATTTTGTGAGCATTGCTGATGTTTTTAAGAATACTAAGGGTAACATTGTGTACCATGAGCTACATACTCCAGACTTAAGCTTAGTGAACTTTCATAATCCTGAGGAGGTGTAGGCACTGCTAGTATCTCTACCTACCTGGTGAAAACAGAGGTTTAGAAAGAGCATTACATTCTCCAGGTTATGCAGTTAGTATCAGATGCCCTTGTTGGATTTCAGGTGTAATTTTGTTGTTAATTGTAATGGCTGTTTTTAAGACAAACTAAGTTTGAATTGGTTTTATTTGACAGGGGAAAAAAGCCCCTGCATTTCATGATCTTTGTAAAAGTGAAACGACTTAATTATTTGTCCCGTGTACACCCTGAATACATCTTTGTGGTGGGAGTCAGATAAATGTGATGTCCGTTTCTCCTAGACCAGACCAGGGTATCAGCCATCTGGAGAATCTGACAAAGAAAACAAAGTGCAGGAGCGTCCCCCAAGTGCGTCTTCCAGCAGTGACATGTCTCTGTCAGAACCTCCACAGCCTCTTGCAAGGTACAAAGGGGAGAATGAAAGCTGATCAGGGTCATCCTTTCCGTGAAATTCAGCAGAGTGGTCTGTGCTCAATTGATTTTGTGGACCTGTGTGAGAAAGAGGTTTACTTAGACATTGGTTTATATTGTCTGATGGATACTTAAGCATGGTTGCACCCATACTTGCTGTATCTGCTGTTGTGCAATCTCTGGCTGTCTTTTAGTGACCCAAGTAAATGTCAGTTTCTCCTGGGGGTCACTTGCAGTCGTAAACACTCTGGCTCTGAACTAAACACGCAACACAAGTTTGTTGGATGAATGAACCAGAAATCAGTATTTTGAAGTATTTGTGGTGAATAATTTTGAAAAGGCACTTCTGTATCCATTGCTGCATTCAAAATTTTTTCGCGTGACTCATACCAGTTTATTCATCTTATCCCTCAAAATTATGTTTGGGGATGCATGTGAACTTATGAATAAGGAAGGGGTTTGATTTAATATCAAATTGATGATTAAATCTTGAATTTGGTGATTTTACTTTAAATTTTTGTAAAAAAAATTTTTTTTGCTGTAATAATATTGTTTGCAATAAATTTTAAAAAACTATTTGTGGAAGCAAGTTACAGTGACTTTGAGATTACTTGGTTATAAATTAATCTTTAAAATACCATTTGGGAAAGACAAAGATTTTGACATTCTTTGAGACTGCACAAATAAAAATTGAATCACACACCAGTTTTGGTTTAATACACATGATTCTCCCCCTCTAGTAACACAATAAAAATACCTAAAATTTATTGACTGCTTGTTAGGTTCCAGGCACTGATCTAAGTACTTTGCTCATGTTATCTTATTTAATCCTTGTAAAATATTTTGAGTTAGGTGCTGTTATTCCTGTTTTACAGAAGAGACCTAGAATTTAATTAACTTTTTCAAATATCAAAATGTTAGTGGTAGAGGTAGATTTCAACTTAAGCATTGATTCCAGAAGCCTGTGTTTTTACTCACCCTATATACTACCTCCTAGTAAGTGAAATGTTTCCTGTGATTTGATTAAGGTTGTCAACACATTTCAAATTTTAACCAGAAATAAAGTTTTTGAATTTGAATACCTATAAGTAGATGCACTCTCCCGGTCTCATCAGTCCTATTATTGTTGTCAGGCATACCCTGCCGGCTTCATGTCTTCAATTTTTACCTTTCCCTGAGCTTCCTTCTAGCTCTACACAAGTGACCCAATATTAAAGAGAAACCACACATAAACTAATATATTACTAAACCTTGTTACCATGCACGTGTTTCTCTCCTTTCTTTTAATATAAAATTCTTTGACTTGTGATAGCTAACCTATTGCCTCTACTTTCTCTCTACCTGTGCTTAGCTTCCCCATTTCTGCTAATAGTTTTAACATAATTCAGTTACTTTATGCTTAAAAGCATGGCATTTCTTCTCCTTCCTTTTTATGTCTCATGATTCTCTGTTAGCTACCTGGAAAACTCCAAATTACTTACCTGACCTTGAAGACCTTGAAGATGTAGCTCAAAAGTCACTTGCCATAGCTGGCCGAGTTTTTTTCCCCTTGTCTACACCCTATTGAACTTTATTTACCATTTAAAAATTATTTATTGATGAGAGAGAGAGAGAGAAAGGAGAGACAGAGAGGAAAACATTAATTTGTTGTTCCACTTACTTATATATACCTTCATTGGTTGCTGCATTTATGTGCCCTGGCCATAGATTGAACCCACAGCCTTGGCTTTTCAGACAATTCTCTAACTGAGCTACCCAGCCAGGGCCTGAACTTGATTCATTTTTGCATTAGTGCTTAACACTGTATGTTAGCTGTCTATTAGTCTCTCATCCTTGCTAGATCCTAAGAAACTAAAGAATAAGGATTAAGTCTTAACTGGATAAAGTTGTTCCATTTTTGTTTCCCCTATCCCTCTACCATCAACTTAGTACCTGCTCCCAAAATTGGCATTCTAAACAGTTGAATTTAAAGATTCCGTGTTTTTACTCAGCAAACTTTATAACTTCCTTTGCATTCCCATTACTACCACCTTAGTTTGGGCTCTAATAACCTCACACCTTGCATTTGTAGGGATCTCTATTCTATGGCATAGAACCTATGCACTAGTCTTCCTTTCTTCATCCTGTTTTCGTAGTAGCCCTTCAGTGTAAAAGATGAGAGACTGCTACAACATAATCTCCAGCCAGACCTTGCATGACATGCTTTTCAGTTCCTTTATCACCCTGGTTACCCTCTAGTAGATGATGTTTTTTTAACTGACTTGGTAGGACTTCACACTAGTTTATCCACACTAGTTTGATCTCAGGCGCAGCCTGTCCAAATAACTTTGAGTCATAATTTGATAATTTGTAGGATTATCCATACCTCCCACCTTTCTGTCATCTTCAGATTTGATAAACATATCTTTATGTCGTCATCCCAAAATCATGGGCAAGACCAAGGACAGAACTTCATGTTATTTTGTCTAAGGATCTTCTTAATAGTTAACATCAGCCTTTAATATATCCATAGTATCCCTTAATATATAGGGTGTCAGTGGTCTGGAAACACAGGTGAATTATATAATACTGTCTAGGACATCTTTATTCTGTTATTAGACTTTATGGACCCCTTGCACTGTATTGTATGTTTATTACTGGTACTCAGAGTTTTACGTTGGTACTCATTGTTTTGATGTTAATTTTTTTTTAAGAACTAGATTGTAGTAATCTCCTTATTTCTTTAATATGTATGATGTTAAACATAAATGTTTGGCATTTGTTAAATACTGGTTGATTGGAATAATATGTAATGCCTATGTTAATATTTAGCAACCTTAAGCATTCTCTTTTATTTTTTATTTTTATTTTTATTTATTTTATTTTAATTTATTTTTTTTCTGCTTTTAAAGACATATCAATGTGTGGTTGCCTCTCACTCACCCCGTCCTGGGGGCCTGGCCCACAACCCAGGCATGTGTCCTGACTGTGAATCGAACTGGCAGCTCTTTGGTTTTCAGTCTGTGCTCAACCCACTGAGCTACACCAGCCAGGGCAAGCATTCTCTTTTAATATAACATTATTTTTAAAGGAAAAAGTAGAGCCAGTGCTGTAAAGAATTTTGTCCACACAGTTTTAAGGGTAATAATGCTCTCTTTAATTAATAATTTAAAATGTCTTAGTGAAGAAAGCAGTTGGCAAAACAGTATGTATCACCCTGGCCAGGTGGCTAGAGCATTGTCCCGTACACTAAAAGGGTGTGGGTACAATCCCGGTCAGGGCACGTACCTAGGTGCAGGTTTGATCCCCAGTTGGGACACGTAACCCAATTGATGCAACCAGTTGGTGTTTCTCTGTCTCTCTGTCTGTCTTTCTCTCTCACCCCTGCTCTCTAAAATCAGTAAAACATATCCTCAGGTGAGGGTTTTTAAAAAATGGTAATTTTGATAAGATTTCATCTTTGTGATAATAACACAAAAACACAACATACACATAGGAAAATGCTTGGAAAGATATGATTCTAAATGAAATATTAATAGTGCCTCTTTGTTACTGCTTTTAGCTATGACTGATCTTTATGTCCTCTTTACCTATCCTTTAACAATGGTGGCTTAGCTATGAGTTGCTGTATTAACTAACATACTGTGACTTTGATTTGCAGAAGGGACTTGATGGAACCGGCGTGGATGCAGCCTGACAGACTGAGCCCACGAGTCCACCATTCTCAGCCACAGCCTCTTGTTGGAACAGCTGGAAATTTACTCTCCCATCTCTTGAGTCTAGAGCAGGCAGGGTTTTTGCATAAGGATTTTGAATCTATTTTACCAACCAGGAAGAACCATAATATTGCTTCAGGGCCATTAACTTTTACACCTCAACCATATCTGACCTCACCAGCTGCTCATCCAGATGCCTTGTTAAAACCTAGTGCCAGCCAATATAAGAGTAAACTGGATCGTATCGAAGCCTTGAAAGCAACAGCTGCTTCTTTGTCCAGCAGGATTGAAAGTGAAGCCAAGAAATTAGCTGGGGCTAACATTAATTATGGGTCAGTATGGAACACTGAGTATGATGTGCAGCAGACACCCCAAGAAGATGGGCCTTGGACCAAGGCTCTGAGTCCACCTGTGAAAGAGGATACCGAAGATGTTTTCTCTGCCCGCATTCAAAAGATGTTGGGAACCTGTGTATCTCATGCAACTTTCAATGATGAACTTCCTGGAATAGGCAATCTTAGTGAATTTAAAAAGCTTCCTGAGATGATAAGACCTCATAGTGCCATATCAAGCTTCAGAATGAGATCCCCTGGCCCTAAACCAGAAGGGCTGCTGGCACAGTTGTGTAAGAAGCAGGCTGACTCTTCTAGCTCTGACCTGCAAGCTTGTTCCCAAGACAAAGCCAAAATGTCCCTTGGGTCCAGCATAGACTCTGTCAGTGAAGGGCCTCTTCTTAGTGAGGGGAGTCTCTCTGAAGAAGAGGGGGGCCGAGATGGACAACCCCCTTTGAAGATAGCAGAAATCTTAAAAGAAAAGGAATTTTGTGCTGGAGAAAGAAATGCTTATGAATGCATCAAAGAGTTTCAGAAGGAAGCTGAAAAATTCTTGCCGCTTCCGGGGCACTTAGGTGGTACACAAAGCAAAGGACCATGGAAAGAATTGGCAAAGGGAAGCCCGCATAGTGTCATTAACATTTTTACAAAATCATATCAGTTATATGGAAAAGGTGAGAAAAATAAGTAAGCCTTGTAATATTTGTATGTTATCTTAAGATAAATTATTGCATAATTTTGGAAAGATAATACCAAAGTACAGATTTTCATTGTTAATTAGGAGGAGAAGGGAAACATTGTCTATATTGAGATTACCTGTAAGCTTCAATTAGAGTTGTAATTTATTCTTTACATTTTTATTTTTTAGTATTTATTGTCCTAAAACAATCGTTGGTTGGTAGTTTTAGAAATTTTGGTCCAATTTAGAGAAATCTTAGATGATGTTCATGGTTGGTTTTTATCAAGTATAGCGAGGTTTCCTGTGACCATAGGTAAGTATTTAAATAGTATGTGTATTTCATAATATAATGACTTACTGGGAATACCATGGTCAAGAATTAAAAGGGGGCAACTATAGTAACATTTCTAATATGAAAATAAGTGTATTACTGTTTGTCAAAACTAATTTTAAAAGCAGACTTTGAGGCCCTGGTTGCTGTGGCTCAGTGGATCAAGTGCCAGCCTGTGAACCAAAGGGTTGCGGGTTTGATTCCCAGTCAAGGCACATATCTGGGTTGCAGGCCGGGTCCCCAGTAGGGGGCATGCGAGAGGCAACCATACATTGATGTTTCTCTCCCTCTCTCCCCCCCTTCCCTTCTGTCGAAAAAATAAATAAATAAAATCTTAAAAATAAATAAATAAAAACAGACTTTGAATAGTAATGTACCTCCATATTTGATTCCTGAAACAATAACTTCTAAAGTTTCCTTCTTATCCCTGAGATTCTGCAACACAACTTTTCTGTATTGGACTCACTTCCTTCAAGTCCCTTTTTCTGTTCTTACGGCCATGGGTGGATTCTACCTGTTTTATGCTAACATAACCTTAGAACTTCAGGTTGGAGAGTGAGGCTGAGCCTTATGTTAGCTGTTGATACTGTAGATTTTTATTTCCATTCTATGTGGTGAACAACTTATCTAACAAATGAATTGATTTCATTTGTTCATTTTATACTTAATTGAATATCACATTGCATTTTCCTAGAATTCATATTTAGCCACTTGTTACAACCTTCTATAGACTTACATATACTGTTGATCTCTTTTGTTTAACACTTTCCGGAGATGATAATTTTAAAGTTCTTTTGATTTTAAAGTTCCCTTGATGAAAGCAAAGTCCTTTTAAATCAGCACCTTTGTTTTTTAATAAGAAATTTGGGTTTGTTCTAATATCCTTCTATTAGATTTTCATTAAGATTTTATAGTTGTACTGAAATATTTACAGTTGAAATGATGTTTTATCTGGGATTTGGCTCAAAATAATCTTTAAGGGGAGTGAAAGTTGGGGAGAATTGGAAGTTTAATTGAAACTGGGTTGATCACATATTGGTGATTGTCAAAGTTGTGTGATGGATACATCTGTTTCATGTATGCTTGAAAATGAATAAAAAATTTAAAATGTATTGTTAAATATAAAGATGAATTGAAAAGAAGCACTAATAAAAGCAATGTAAAATATCCCTAAATCTATGTTGTTAATCTCCACGTTGTGGAATGCTTTGCTTGTGGTAATTTTATTTTTGTTTTAAAATGCATTTTGATTTTTTCTTTTGACAGGGTTTGAAGACTCATCGGAAAGGGGGACCTGTGCCCCGAGGCCTGTGAACGCCAGCACGGCCCCTCTAAGCAGTGTTTCCTACGAAGATGATTTCGTGTCCTCTCCAGGGAGTGGGACTTTGACAGAAAAAAAGTCAGCTCCTGAACCGTGGTAGGAATGTGTTCACAATATGGAGAATGTCTGAAGAGTGAGAAAAATGTACAAGTGAGAGCCGTGGTCTGAATATTAGTCAGATTTTGCTGCTTAAAGATACACGTTGAGGGTGCGTAGTGCAGTGGTTACAAGGGCACAGGCTCTGGGTTCAGACTGCCTGGGTTTAAGTCCGGTCTCTTCTGATCATTAGTCTTTTGTGTTTGGGTGTTTACATAACCTCCTTGGGCCTCACTTCCCCCCTCCGTGAAATGGGAAAGAATAATCGTACCTATCTCATCGAGTGTTAAGAATATTCAGTGAAATACGAAGAAAAGGGCCTGGAACATCGCAGGTCGGGAAGTCAGTCTGCAAGTCGCCCGTGGAGAGTCGTATTGGTTTTCTCTGATAGAATTGAGGATGAGGTAGATCCTTGACTTCATGATCTCGGGTAATCAGTAAATTTTTTTAATAATTGGGACAACATCTAAAATTTTGCAAAGCTTTGGAGAATAACAGTTACAATGTTAATATTTGTTGAGCACTTTATGTGCAAGGCACTGAGAAGACTGCATTCTTAAGCCTGACGTGATTAGTGCTATTGTTACCATTCCTACTTCAGGAACTGCGGCACTGAGGTTAAGTTACTTGTACGAAGTCATACAGCACGTGAACCAGACTTTGCAGAGAGCATTTCCTCCCTAAATTTTGTTACTATATAAAGGAATCTGTAATTACTTATATCAATATTATTTTCTTCAAAAATTATAAATTATAATCCATATAAAATGACTGGATGGCCTTTTAAAAATAGTTATGTCTAGTTGGACTAATGAAAATAATTACTATTAAAATTACAGGAGGAAAAGTGTAGTTTTAATTTTGAGCTCTAAAGGAAAGATTAAATTTTAAAATCAAAACTTGTAAGGATTTTATTGTGACATTTAATATCACAAGTCAGCATGATTTATTGCATTTTATTTCTAGGTTGAAGTAGAACATACTAAATCGTTGTTTCCTGTAAGATTATCAAAAGGAAACTAATGATCATATACTAAATTATACATCTGAATAGAAACTGAGGCTACATTTTCTAGCATGCAGCATTACATTTTTTCTCCTATATCTGACTTGTCCATTTTTATTGGCTTCACTTTAGTAAACAACAGCCTGACATTTTTCTTGGTAATAAACTGAGCCATATGAGACAATCAATCCAGGCTTATGGTAGTAAGAAAACGAAAAAGAAAAGTGGAGGGCATCTTTGAGTATAGTTATATTTTCCTTGTGGTTAATATATCTATACTTGAATATATCTATACTTGAATATATCTGTACTTTAGCTGCGTTTTAAAGCTTTCTATTTCTTATTTTTAACCACTGCTATTCTTTGACAGTACTGGTGGTAGCATTTTGGGCATGAAGGAGGACCATTCTAGCAGGAAGTCTGCTTACGATCTTTCCTCTGTGGATGTCACCTCCCAGCATTCATCAGGGGCACAGTCTGCTGCATCATCTCGTTCATCTACTTCTTCCAAAGGAAGAAGAGGAAAAAAGGAAAAGACAGAATGTAAGTGGAATTCTGTTGAGTTGACCAAAAAGTCCATACAGTTTTTTCTGTAAAGTAAAAGACACATTCTTCATTTTTACCAATAACTTTATCGATTTGGATATTTTGAGTACGTCGGCTATCTCCCAGTGGTATAACATTGATTGTTCTCAGTTTATGCCTTGATTTGATCACTATCAATTTCAACTCATCTACCTGACTGTGGAGCACCGTCCAGCAAGAAATCTCCCGCATGAAGCTTCGCAAACCACTTCTGACACTTTGAGTTACTCACAGCACCTTCTCCATACACTGCGGGAATCTTTTTCTGAGTTTCAGTTGCGTTACTTTTCTTGAAATAATGAAGCATAAGATGCCGAAAATGTTGTGTATTTTCTTCCATCTTCAGCGTTAAAATATCTACACAAAAATTCACCAAACTTGATGTTTGTTTTTAAATGCATACTGATTTGACAGCTGTCAAAATATAATTTAACAGAATTGTTTCAAATGAAGTTAAAAACAATTACATGCTATTAGAGCCATCTGACAGGAAAAAACAAATGAACTTTTTGGCCAACCCAATATGTAGTGATTGTTTTTCTCTTACCAATGATTTTGTAGTAGTGATCTAAAGTTATGATTTTATTCCATAAGCAGTTAGGTGACTTTCTTTATGACAATGTAATTGGCTTTTATATTTATTATTACAGTAATACCTTTTGATATATTAACAGTATAAATATTTTCCTTAATACAAAAGGAATACATTTGCAAAGATAAAAAAATTAAGGGTTGTAGATAAACAGGCATACAAGAAATATAAATCCCCATTGAGCCCTCTGCTCAGAGATTACTATTAACCCTTGGTGCCTATTTTTCCAATATGTACATAAAAACACATGCACACACATCTTTATTTTAAAAAGAAAAATAAAATATTGTTTTGTAGCTGCTTTTAAAAAAACTTTATATTGTATCATGTATATATCTGAACATTATATATAATAATCAAATTTTCTTAACTGTAAAATAAAAATAACAATAGATGTTTCATTAGGTAAATTTGAAGCTTCCTTGAAATTAACAGATAGAATGTGTATTTAGCCCAGTACCTGGTCCTTTGGACACTGTCAGTATTTTTGAGTGATAGAGGAGAATACCCTGCAGTCCCCTCCTTCCTTATCCTGGCTGTGTTTGCTGTAGAGGTGAGAAGATAACAGGAATTTAGGCAAAGGTCTCTTAAACTCACAGGATGGTCCTGAGGGAATGAATGATATGCTTCTAAAATGTTTTTTTCTAAATGTAAAATACTGGCCCTGGCTGGTGTGGCTCAGTGGATAGAGTGCCGGCCTGAAAACCAAAGGTCACTGGTTCGATTCCCAGTCAGGGCACATGCCTGAGTTGCAGGCTGGGTCCCCAGTGGGGAGTGTGCAAGAGGCGACCACACACTGATGTTTCCCTCTCTTTTCTCCCTCCCTTTTCTGCTCTCCAAAAATAAAAAAATAAATAAAATCTTTTTAAAAAATGTAAAAAATTGTTGAGTTTTTTAAAAAAGAGGGAGGAGAAATCAGTCAATATAGAAAACTATTTAAAAATTAAAAAATACCTGTACTCCTTCTACCTACAGATAACCAATGTGAACATTTTTTTAGATTTATTATGAAATATATGTAATATAAACTTTATCATTTTAAACTGTTCCTTAGTGAACAGTTCAGTACCAGTTACACATTCACATTGTTGTGAAACGATCACAACTATCCATATCCAGACCTTTTACATCATCCCAGACTGAATCTCTGTACCCATTAAACAGTAACTCCCCTTCTTCTCTTCTCCCTGCCCCTGCTGACCACTCTTTTACTTTCTGTCTCGATGAATTTGACTACTCTAGGTACTTCGTGGAAGTGGCAGCATACAGTATTCATCCTTTTGTGTCTGGCTCGTTTCATTTCACATTATGCCCTCAAGTTTGCTCCCTGTCGTAGCATGTATCACAGTGTCCTTTTTGCATACCGTTGAGTAATACTCAGTTGTGTGTATACACCACATGTTGTTGTCCATGCATCAGCTGATGGACATTTTGGTCGTTTTAACCTTTTGGCTCTTGTGAATAATGTTGCCGTGAACATTGGGGTTTAAACACCTGTTTGAATCCCTGCTTTCAGCTTTTTGTATATATACCCAGATGTGGACTTCTTGGGTCAAATGGTATTTCTGTGCTTAATTTTTTTATCTTCACCTGAGGATATGTTTTTACTGATTTTTAGAGAGAGGGAATGAGAGAGATACATCAGTATGATAGAGAAACATCAATTGGTTGCCTCCTGTACGTGCCATGACTGGGGATCGAACCCACAACCTAGGTATGTGCCCTGACCAGGAATTGAACCCGCAGCCTTTTGGTGTTCGGGATGATGCTCCAACCAAATGAGCCAGCCAGGGCTTCTATGCTTAATATTTTGAGGAACTGCCCTACTGTTTGTCATAGAAGCTGCAGTATTTTACATTCTCACCAGTAGTGTCCGGGGGTTTCAGTTTCTTCATATTTATGCCAACACTTGTTTTCTGTTTTGTCTTTAATAATAGACATCCTAATGGGTATAATATTAACATTTTTAGTAAGAATCCTTTCAGATAACTTGAGGCCTGTGCACATAGAAAGTGTTAAATGTATGGGATCACATCTTACATGCTGTGTTGTTCTTTCAGTGGGCTATAGGTGTCTTTCTGTCAGTACATATGGATCACCCTTTGTAATGACTGCCTCGCTTTTACTATTTGAATATATTGTAATTTATCCAATTCATCATTGCTGGGCATTTATTCCCCCCCCCCCACTATAAATACTGCTGCATTGAGTATCCTTACAAATGTATCTTTATGCATTAGTCTGGTTCTTTAAGGGAATATCCTAGAAGTGAAATAATGGGGCAGAGTATATCAGGTTTAAAATTTGGGTACATTTTGCCAAATAGCCCTTCAGGCAGCTAGTGTCACTTTGTACTTCCAATATGAGAGCGCTAGCAGAAATTATTTCCTCATAATTAACCTAGTAATAACTCTCTCGCAGATTAGAAGCATTCTGAAAGTCTTTTGTAGGAACATTAGACATCGTTTTACCAGCACTTTCCAGAGTCTCTTCTTGTGGAATACCGAATTCAGTGGCAGCGGCTGTGTCACAGCTGTTCCGAGGCTTGTGGAAGAGCTCTGTGGTTCTGTACACTTGGGGAATTCTTTCAAGAATGAAATAGGCCTTTTACCTGCCAGATTCATCAACACTTTTAATATGCTAATATGCATTATTTATTTTAGGAAGAGGGTGAGGCTATAGTATGAAGTATTATCTAAATTTATTTGACTACGGAATCATTCCTTCAACCAGCATGTTATGGCATTAGAAGTCAGCTGTACACATTTTGTGAAATGCCAATTTTGCTCAATTCTTTTGCAATTTCATGCTTTATGTTAATATCTCACTTAAGGTTAGTTATTGGCAGAGCCTGAATTCTGACTTTTGACATTCAGGTTTTTTACTGCCATATACTTACTGTGCAACTTAAAATATGATATATTAAATAGGAGTATAAGCACTATGATTCATTATAGGTTTTTAAAAGTTATAATCTAAAACATTATATGTAGTATAGGTAGTGTTTTATGGCTTTTCATTTTCCAGTCCCCTGTCATAATGCCTTAAAAATTAATACTGTGCCCTTGCTGGGGTGGCTCAGTTGGTTAGAGCATCGTCCCATAACCGAAGGGTTGTGAGTTTGATTCCCCGTCAGGGCACATCCTGGTTTGTGGGTTTGATCCCAGGCCTGGACACATACCATTCATTGCCTGTCCACGTGCATTGGGAAGGCAACCAACTGATGTTTCTCTCTTCCTCCTTCTCTCTCTAAAACCAATGGAAAAAGAAAACTATATATACTTTATTTTTCACAACATCATCTTAAATATAGTTACTTCTTTTTTCCCCTGAGTTCTAAAATCAGTGTAATTTTTGTTGTGTATACTCCACCTGGTGGTGAAAAAAGATTGTCTGCATGCTTTGTACAAAACTCCTTCCCAGTGAAGTTGAAAGAAGTTAGTAGATTAAAGTGGCAAACATCATTCCATACTAAACTCTGTACCCATTAAACAGTGACTCCCCATCCTTTCCTCCTGTACCCCCGGCAGCCCCATTCTACTTTCTGTCTCGATGAATTTCTCTAGGAAATGGAACCATTGTTGAGTGCACGCACAGTTCAGTAGAAGAAAGTACCTGTAATGGTGCAGTTACCATCACTATCCATCTCCTCAACTGTTCCATCGCCCCAGACTGAAACTCTTCATAAGTTAAATAATAACTTATTTTCCCATCCTCCCTGGCCCCTGGTATCAGCTGTTCTACTTTGTGTCTCTATGAATGTGCCTCCTCTAGGTACCTTAAATAACTGTATAATCAGAGTATTTGTCCTTCTGTGATAGACTTAATAGCATAATGTGTTCAAGGTTCATTGATGTAGCATGTTGGAATGTCCTTCCTTTTTAAGGCCAAATGACACTTCACCATACGTGCAGACCACATTTTTGTGTTGGTTTGTTTATACATCTGTCACAGTGTTGAAGGCTCTTGGGTTGCTTTTACCTCGTAGAGTGAAGCTGCTGCAAACATGGGTTTAGAGGATATTTTTTCCCTTTTCCATTTTCTTTTGATCATTAGCCATATATCTGGTTTTTAAAAATTCATTAAGTTGCCATTAAAATGTACATAGAATTCTCTGTTCTGCTTCTTTTAATCTTTTAATGTAACAAATATTTTCCCATGCTGCTATTGAAACATGTCATTGAGATGAATGATACATTAAGTGTAGAGTCATGAGGCCTGGGTCGATGTCCTGTTTCTGCTGTTGACAGTGTACCCTTAAGCAAGTGGTCTCATAGGTCTCTAGTTAAATGAGCATGTGTTACCTACTTCATAAGGTGTGTAAGGAGGTAAGGTAATATACATGGAAAGCATTTTAAATTACAAAGTGCTATCTAAATATTTAAGTTACTGTTATCTATGTAATTTAGACAACTCTTCTGTTGCAAATGTAGGTTGAACTTTTAAAAATTATATAAAGTTCATTGAATATTATACATAAATTTTGTTTGTTGGTGTCAATAATCTCTTTAAGATTATGCCTATAGGTGAGATTATTCTCAGTCAGAGAATATGAACAGTTTTGTGTATCTGGCTGCACAGTTCTTGCCATAAAGTTTTTCGGAAGGATTGTGTAGTCCAATTGACAGTTGATACCTTTTTTCTCCAGCTTTGGGTATCCCTGAAAGACTTCTTTTTTGTTTACTCTTTCATAGGTGTAGAACTGCGTATTCGTCTTTCTAAATAATTTGATTACAGGACTGTTTATTCTTTAATAGCAAATACAGGAAATGTTAATGGAAGAAACTTCACTTAAAGGGGAGCAGAAGGATGAACTTTATTTTAGATATAAAAACAAACTTTAAACATAAGTCAATTTTTAAATATTCTGCTCTGTACTAGTTATCTGTCAGTTATTTTTTTAGTAACTTCTATTGGGAATCAGTTTTATAAGAAACTCTTTCCAGGGCTGGAATCACTCCCTGGAAATGTTCAGAGCTCGCTTCTCGATGAGGAAAAAGTGCTCTCCGGCTCAGAGCGCGGCTCTCATCGCGGGAAGAAACCCGAGACCAGCAGCAAACCCTCTGTCCAAGTCCAGCACACTCTTGACACTGATAGCACTTTGGAGGATCTTTCTGGGAGGTAAAGTGATGTATGTTTTATACTGTGATTCATTTTAATTAAAGTTACAATGTGATCGATGCTCAGAGAATCCATTTAGTAAAGTCCTGTATTCGATGTGTAGATGCTGCAGGTGTGTCTGTAGCTCCAGTCCTCATCTGTTTTAGAGTAGGGCCATCCCTCATCCAAACTGTTAACAGCCCTTCCTTCAGAAGTTCTCTGCCTCTGGCACAACTCTCTTTTCTATTCTGAATACCATTGCCACAGCTGTTTTCATGGCTCAACCAACCCTCTGGCCGGGCAACTACTTTCCTTGGGGTACTTGGGCAGCTCACAAGTCACCCCACAGATGAACTCCTAAGAACTTTATTTGAAGTGTTTTCACTAAGCTACCACAAAGTATCTCATTCCCTTTGTGCATTTTGCTTCTCAACTGTGTTCTTCTGCTCTTTCAACACAACTACTTAGCATTGGTTTTGGTCTCATTATTTATTTCTTCTTCTGAACTTTTCTCTCCTGCTCAATTTATTAGATTATGAAATCTCATTCTTACTCATATATTGTTATGGAGTTTACATACTTTGTTGTTTTTCCTTTTGGGTTAAAAACAAATAATAGAATAGTTTGTGTCATTTCTTAATGCTTAATATAAAATTATATTTTTCTGTTTCACATACTTTTTTTTCAAGACTTGGTCTTTTACATATGGCTGTAATTTTATTGCTATGTATAAAGGGTTTCTCCTCGTACTACAGCACTGATTCATGGTGCATTGATGTTGTAGAGGGAAGAGTTAAGTTGCAGTTTAATCCAGAGGCCCCTTTCCCGTGTTACTGTGGTCAGGGTTTGCCCCGTGGCAGTTTGCAAGTGGCGAGAAGAGGAGGGCTCGGAGCAGTTTACTTAGCACGAGGCTGTGTTGAATGAAAAATGCCTGAATCACAGCTTTTCAAAGCTGATGTTAATAAAGAAATGCATGTTGTTCTTATGAATTGTTTATGTGATTCCTGAAGTAGTTTTCCCTTCTCTTACTTTTTTTTTTTTTTAAACAAATCTTCTAGTATCTCCTCAGACAAGGGAAGATCTCAGAAAACTCCAACTTCTCCCCTATCTCCAAGTTCCCAGAAACTGTTACAGTTTGACCTTCCAGGAACTTCATTAGAAAGATCTAAGTCCTCAGTTATAATGCCTCCAACTCTAACAGGATTTAAGCCTAATGCATCTTTTCCTGATGTGAACATGGCTGCCAGCAGAGCAGCTGTGGAGATGACTTCAACACCAGGCAAGTTGGCCCGTGCAGTTGTAAATTTCAAAATAAGACTTATTTTTTAAAAAATTTCTTTCAGTTGAATCATAAGGGAAAGTTTTTTTTTTTTTTAATGAGTGATTTCTCTCTGAAGTATTAAACAGAAACTGTGCAGGGGAATAAATATTTAGAAGCATGAGAGATTCAGTAGTGGTGATTTTCTTCATCTTGCCAGCATTAGCAAAAGCACATTGAAAAGTGTATGCCATGGATGTACTCCTAAGCGTTTACAGGTATATGTGTATGTATACACCCATGCATCCCCCCACACACAAAATAAGTAACTATTAAAATACATTGTACTCAGAAGTTACTGTCTTTGTTTTTGGCTTTTAAATGAGAAATGAATTTTAGAAATCTGAGATGTAACTTAATTTCACGTTCACCTCTACATTTGGCAACTGTTACGCCCTCCAGGTTCACAACGCTTTTCCCCTGCTGGCCTCCAGCATCGCATGGCAGCTGAACTGAGTTACTTGAGTGCCATTGAGGAGTCTGTGCGCCAGCTCTCGGACATAGAAAGGGTGCGAGGCATTTCGCTTGCTCAGCAAGAGAGTGTCTCTCTGGCTCAGATCATAAAGGTATTTGTGGGGTTTGCTACTTTAGTTCTCTGTGTTTTTTTTCTCTTTTCTCTGCTATTTAAAATAGTCTTAATGATGAATTAAAAAAACATAGTGGGTGGTCACTAATTTTGATAAATGATAAATGGTTGATGTCTATCCTGTTTACTGTCTTCCAGAGTAAAAGTTTAATTGGTTGCTTCAAAAGATTTGTGTTAAGAAAATAGCATTGTATTTAATATAGTCACTGTGTTGTAATAGTTTATTATCTTAGCATTAATGGTTGAGCATTTCTTTCTCATGAAGGCACAGCAGCAACGCCACGAAAGAGACTTGGCTCTTTTGAAACTGAAGGCTGAACAAGAGGCTCTGGAGTGTCAGCGACAGTTAGAAGAAACCCGAAACAAAGCATCTCAGGTGACTTACTTTGTAGCAAGTACTAGCTGTTAAACCTGAATTTGTATCTTTGAAATCACTTTAGTATTTTTTTTAGTTATATAGGAGTAAAACAGAAAAGATATAAAAGTGCCACATGGGTTAATTTCATGTCATTTGATTCTTGTAGCAAAGTTGTGAAATTAAGTAGTCAGGATTTAGCCCCAATTTAGTAAGTGGTACTTGTCTACAGACACATCAGTGCATTGAAAGTGCAGTTAAGGAGGACTCCAGTAGTGATTTTAAGACTCCAAATTTTAAACTTCAGATTTTGAGACATGAGAACTGGATAGTAGTCCAGTGGTTTTTTCACAATACATTTGCTCCGTGAAACAAATGCACAAATTTACAAATTGTGTGATATGACAGGAGCTCTTTCTCACCCTCTTTGTGCGCAGGTCCACGCAGAGTCGTTGCAGCAGGCGGTGAAATCACAGCGGGATGTGACTGAAGTCCTGCAGGAAGTAACTTGTAAAATAGCTGCTCAGCATACTGAGGCTGCACGCCTCACCACGGACGCAGCGCGCCAGATCTGCGAGGTCAGAGCCACGGAGAACTCTTTTCTTTGTAGTCTTTTCATAGTTCTTTTTAGTCGATCTGAGTAACCTTGGCCTTTTATTTCAGTGTCTTGTACATTTGAATGTATAGAGGCAGAAAAATAAGATGAAGAGCTCTAAATGGAGTGAGCTTTTTAAAAAATACTGATTTTACTGATGAGTAATTTAGAAATAACAACATGCACTCACTTTAAGTATAGTTTGAGGACTTTTAAGAAATACGTAGTTACCTGTTTATATTTCTGTACCTTATCCATCCACGCCTGTAAGCACCACTGTAATCACCACTTCCAGCACTCTGAAAAGCGCCCTCAGGCCCCTTCGCAGCCGTCCCCCGGCTCTGGTGCCAGGGAGCCACGGATCTGCTTCACGGGAAGATGTTGCATCTTTACCCAGAGGGGTGGTAATGCCCTCTGCTGTACCGAGGACAAAGCTGGAAATAGTGTTACTGCTGTCTCCACAGAGGGTATCATAATGGGTAGATACAGTTCCAGTTTATGTTAGCAGTTACTGCTTAGGGTTGCTTGTCAAATGATTGTTATTGAAAAGTCATGGACCTACTGTACGTTGGATACTATGGGACTGTGCAAATAAGTGTAGTGTCTTTTTCTCGAAAGTTTTAGACAGCGTTAACAAAGATGTCAAAAACACTTCAAGTCGTCAATGCACCAGTTGAAAAAAACGCAAAATGAGTAATTCATGCAGCAGCGGCACTGCGGGCTGAGGGGGAAATGTACTGCACGTCGTCGCTCGGAAAAGACGCAGAGAGGAAGTAGTAATCGAATTGATTCTTGAGGAATGATTTAATTTTTGGTTTACTATGGCTCATTATATGACTTGAAGGTTTTGTGTCTAATTTATAGACTTATATCTGGGTGAAACCTTACAAATTATGTTGTATATATCTATTTTTGTAAGGAAGCGGTTAAGACTTAAAAAGTCTAAATGACTTGCTCACAATATTTCACCTATTATTGCAAAATTTGCTCGCTCTCAGTCCAGCAGTCTTTTGAAGACACTGCTCTTTCAGTTTTTCATCTACTTATTTGCCTTGTGGATTTTCATGTTTAGATGGCAGAGTTGACTCGAACTCACATCTCAGATGCCATTGCTGCTTCTGGAGCTCCCCTAGCAACACTGTATGACCACCAACGGCAACATGCTCCAGACTTCGAGAAACAGCTGAGGACCAGAGCTGAAACAGACAGGTTAATATTCAGTCCTCGTCAGATACGTAGTGACTGTCTGCTGTGTTCCAGGCACTGCTGTGGGTGCTGGGAACATAGTTGTGGGCATAGAGCCCAGAAGGGAAGGTAAACATTATCAAATAGTCACTTAAGAGAATGAGCACTGTAAACCGAGGTAGGTGTTCATGGAGTAAAGGAACGTTGTCTCTGAGGCATACAGCAAAGGAGTTTGAAGAGCCCGTCGTGGGGGTCCGGGAAGTTCTTCCTGAGGAAGTGAAATGAAGTTTTGGGGAGATACGGTGGGTGAAAAGGAGCCAGTGACGTAAAGGGAGTGAGGGACAGAGAGGTCAGCACGTGTGAACGGAGGAAGAGAGAAGGAGGGGAGACCAGTGGGGCTGGAGGCAGAGAGCAGGCGGGAAAATGGTGGGAGGGAGACGGTGCGGGGGTCAGACCGCGGCAGAGCCTCGCAGACCCTCAGGGTTTTGTTCGTTCCAGAGCAGTGGGAAGTCGTCGGAGGGTTTTTGTGTGGGGCTGGGTGCTGTGACCACGTCCGTGTTTGCTCTTACATCTCCTTTTGACTGTGTCTAATTCATAGATTTTAAAAGTCCGTTCACGCTCATTGATACTTGGGGTGTTTTTTGCTTATTTCTTATAATAAAGCAGAAGATACTTTTTAATATGTTATTTCTATGAATGAATGCCTTCAAATACCTTGTTATTCCATAATTCCTGTTCATTCAAGGTTTTATCTCAATATTAACATTGAACATTATTTAAAATCTTACTCTTACTAAAGACTTTAAATGTTTAATCAGTTTTTATTTTCTTTGTAGGAAAAGTCAATCTATTTTACTCTCTCACAGTAAAGAAGGGACCCCTGACTCAAAGCACCAGAAATACTCTCCTTCATATGATAGTTTTTCTGAGTCTTCGAGGTACAAGAATCACGACAGAAGGTGAAAAGAGTTCAATGTAGTCAAATCTGATAAATGACTGAGAAATTGCTTTTTTTTTTTAAACAACTTAATCTCATTTATTTATATGAAATAATGTCTTCCGTTCAGAGTTCTGGCTTCCCCATTTAATTAGCTGATTTATTAGTTGTTTCATGTAACAATATAGCTGTTATTCCTTGAAAACCTATATTGTATAAGCACTATAGTTTGTTTTTAATACTTAATCTTTCATCCAGATTACCCTATTTTAACATTTTACTGCATTTGCTTTAGCAAGTAGAACTTCTACAAGGTGATAGAGGTCAACACCATCTAATGATGTAGATTTTCAATTGGATTAGGCAGTTAGAGTTTAGGTAGAGTTTATAAGAACAGTTCCAGTAGAGCAGTTGCAGGGGAAGCACACTGTAGTAAATCGTGATGTTGGTGAAGAGCAAGGAAGTGGAAATAACGAGTAGAAGCCCCTTTTCCCAGTCGGCTGGTTTAGAACGAAAGGAAATGTGGGTATGCCAGCCTGAGAGTAGTGCTTGCTCATTATGATAACTTAAACTCGAAACCTTCCTCTTTCCTGCTTATCTTTCCTAAAAGTTTCTTCTCAGACTTACGTCTAGTTGTTATTTTTATGTTTTACCATTACATCTTTCCTCATTTTATACCTTGATCATAAGCCCCATTCCCTTAACCAAATAAGTTCACTTTGAGGTTACGATTCTTATTGTCGCTGTTTTTTGTTTGTTTCTATAATATTCGTAAACAGAAGTAGTAGTGGTAGCAGCCGTCAGGAGAGTCCTTCAGTTCCATCTTCTAAGGAGAATGAGAAGAAACTTCACAGTGGAAAGATGGAGAGTTCTGCTGATGAACAGGCTCGGACGGCTGCGGGTGATTCTCTGCGCAGTGACAGTGTGCCGTCTCTTCCCGACGAGAAGGGTAACTTCCTCTCACGTGTCTGTGCACTTACTTGTTTGGGGAGGCTTCCAGGGCCCTTGGAGATATTTGTGACTGAGCTAGTTAATACAGTTAAACATGATCATAGTGAAGACAGTGTTAGACATCTGATAGTAAGGTGTCCAGGGGAGACGGTTGTAAGGCCACACACCATGCCGGTGATGCTCGCCAGTGTTTCATACGATTGTGCGCCACGACCCCAAGGGGGGGGCAAAACTAAATTTAGGACAGTGTTCGTGCGAATGACAAATACACACTCCACACTGAAAAACTAATTGTGTCCTATTATAGATATGTAACGTAAGCATTAAAAGGATACATTATTAGAACTTTACATGTTAAACAATATAAGAATATAATTTCTTATACATGACAACATCAGATACAATAACTATATTAAAATTCATTACTCAACTCTTTCTAGATTATAAACAAAAGCTGTATTGCTAGCAAATTACGGGCAGTAAATAACAAAGAAAACAGAATTTGGCAGTAAGTGACACCTTTAAGACATGAAGTCAGAATATTATTCCAGTCTAGAAATTTACTTTTATTTTAAATTTTTTGTTTTTACTTTTTTTATTAGTTTACTTTTTATTGTATGTTTTCCCCATTGCCATTTATCCCCCTGTACCCTCTTCCACCTCAACATACCTATCTGCCCCCTTGCAGTTACCACACTGTGGTCCGTGTCCATGAGTTCTTTTTCTTTTTTATTTGGTCCCTCCACTCCCTTTCACCCACCCAGAACTGTCAGCCTGTTCTCTGTGAGTCTGGCTCTTTTTCCTTGTTAGTTCAGCTTGTTCATTAGATTCCACATATGGGTGATATCATATGGTATTTGTCTTTCCCTGACTGGCTTATTTCACTTAGCATGATGTTCTCCAGGTCCACCCACACTGTCACAAAGGGTAAGATTTTCTTCTTTTTTATGGTAGAGTAAAATTCTATTGTGTAAATGTCTCAAAGCTGTTTTATCCACTCATCTACTGATGGTACTTGGGCTGTTTCCATATCCTGACTATTGTAAACAATGCTGCAATAAACATAGGGTGCATACATTCTATCAAATTAGTGTTTCAAGTTTCTACAGATAAATTCCCAGAAGTAGAATCCTCTGTGTTCCACTGTGTGTAACTGGCCCTTACATTTAAGGCCAGTTACATTTTTTGAGTTAACTCCATACTGCATTCCACAGGGGCTGCACCAGTCTGCGGCGTTCCCACCAGCAGTGCACAAAGGTTCCCTTTCCTCACATCCTCTTGTTGTTTGTTGATATGTTGGTGACAGCCATTCTGACAGGTGTGAGGTGATATCTCATTGTGGTTTTAATTTGCATTTCTCTGATGATCAGTGACATTGAGCATCTTTTCACATGTCTTTTGGCCATCTGTATGTCTTCTTTGGAGAATTGTGTAGTTAGGTCCTCTGTCCATTTTTTAATTGGATTATTTTAGGCTTTTTTGGGGGGTGTTGTATAAGTTCTTTATGAATTTTGGATATTAACCCCTTATCATATGTATCATTGGGGAATATGTTCTTCTATTCAGTGGTTGTCTTTTCATTTTGTTGATGGTTTCCTTTGCCATGCAAAAACTTTTTAGTTTGATGTAGCCCTATTTATTAATTTTTTCTTTTGTTTCCCTTGCCTGAGGGGATGTATCAGAAAAAAAATTGCCATGAACAATGTGTCTAAGATTTTTACTGCCTATGTTGTCTTCTAGGATTTTTATGCTTTCAAGTCTAATATTTAAATCTTTAATCCATTTTGAATTCTTGTGTGTGGTGTAAGAAGGTAGTCTAGTTTCATTTCTTTTTTTTTTTTTAAGTTTAAGCAATTTTTTAAAAGATTTTATTTATTTTTTAGAGAGAGGGAAGGGAGGGAGAAAGAGAGAGAGAAACATCAATGTGTGGTTGCTGGGGGCCGTGGCCTGCAACCCAGGCATGTGCCCTGACTGGGAATCGAACCTGTGACAGTTTGGTTCGCAGCCTGCGCTCAATCCACTGAGCTATGCCAGCCAGGGCTTAGTTTCATTTCTTTTTGCACATATCTGTCCAGTTTTCCCAACACCATTTATAGAATAAAATATCTTTTTTTTTAAAGAATATTTTATTGAAGCCCTGGTATATGGTATATATATATACATGGTGTATATATATATACCAATACATGGTATAACCACACTGGAGCAGTGGAGGGAAAAGGAACTGACCTAAGTAACGCTGGAGAGTGATATTTTGTAGTGGAAATTAGAAGCCTAACTACAAAATTGACAGTATACACACACTTTCCCCCCCACAGGGGTACAGGCTGATAGTTCTTCACATATATTTTGGGGTTGAACAAATAAGTATGTAAATAGTTGTTGGATGGTGGGATCCAGATTTCTCAGTGTTGAAGAGGGAAGTCATAGATACACAGGAAAGGAAGAGTAGAATGAACCATGGCACTGAATTAGTTAGAAACATCATTATGAATCTACATTTGGATGGATGGATACAGGAAAGAGTCTGTGTGTAGCAGGGGTGTGTACCTGGGTTAATATACATGCATATGATACGTAGCTCTGCCCATTGATAGAATGAAGAAACAAGAAAATCCCAGTAGTGACAAGGACAACCAGTGCACTGATTGTGGTTTCTAAATACTCTTCAGTAAAAGAAACTAGAGCTTGTTAGAGAAATGAGTGATTTTAGGACTGGGCGGGGAAAATACAAAATGAGCTTGGAGCATCCTGTAGTATCAGAAACTAAAGGTGTCCAATAACCAAAAGGATTGTCGGGGAGTGGCATCTGGAAGGCACGCGGGAGCCAACTTAAAAGAGCTGTTGTGTTTTTTAATTAAGCATAGAATCAATGAGTTATAAAATTTTTTTAATTTGCATTTCTATGATGCTAGTAATGTTAAACTTCTTTTTTTAACTATATTTTGTATATTTATGTTGCTTTGTGAAGCATCCAATCATGGTCATTTCTCATTTTTCTATAGGGGTCTTAGTTTTCTAATTGGTTTGTAGGAGCTGTTTGAAGTACACTGCATTTTTACCATATTTCTTGTACTAATATTTTTAGGTATTTTAGTTTTTTCCTTGTTTGTAAGTGAATTTGAATTTTATTTCTTGCTTACTGCTAGTGATTAGTTATGTGAATTGTTATCTTGTCCCATAAAGAGGCAGTGAGCACTACAAATTGAATACCTACTGAAAACTGTTACAGTGATAAATAACATCTACTCCGTATTCTTTCAGATTCTGCTTCTATTGCAACAGAATATTCCCTGAAATTTGATGAATCCATGACCGAAGATGAAATAGAAGAAAAGTCATTTCGATCTCTACTCCCATCTGAGAGCCATCGCAGATTTAACATGGAGAAGAAGAGAGGCCACCAGGACGACTCTGATGAAGAGACCTCCCCGGAAAAGACTACGTTGTCTTCTGCCAAGGTGGGCGTTGGTGTACCTGGACAGGTGCTTCACGAGTGGTTGTGAGTGTGTTTTCTCAAAGTTGTGAGGATACACTTTGTGCTTGAATTCAGCTGTCAGCCACCAAAACGATTTTCTTAAGTTACCAGTTTTATATTTTACTTTTGCTATAAAGTCTGGCTTTGCCTTCCTTACAAAGTACAGTACAAACTTATTCCTTAAGGCCTTTGAGGATCTGAGCCAAAGTTATCTCTAGCTTTTTTACTTGTTTCACTCTTTAAAAACTATATTCTTCTTAAAAATTTGTATTAATATAGTCCTTACTAAATGGTAAGCTCTTTGGATAACAGGGACAAATTTTTACCCTTTTTATGTGCCTGGGACACTATCAGCCTTACAGTAGTTTGTTAAAATTTTAATGACTGACTAAATTAGCAGATGAATGTTATTCTGTCTCATGTGCCTTTTTGAAGAATGTTTTATAGATGATTGGCAACATTTTTAACTTATATAATTTTTATTGATAGTTTTTTATAAGTGCATACCTCTTTTTCCTTTTTTTTTTTTTTTGCATACCTCTTTTAATGAAGTTAATTACATTCCAAAAGCTTTAGATGATGATCAACTCAAAATAAACTCTGTACAATAGGAGCTGAGCATGCCATTCTCAGGCGGACAAGATAGCTTCTCTAAGTTTACTATGGAGATGGTCCGACAGTACATGAAGGAAGAGGAGATGAGGGCGGCTCACCAGTCCTCGCTCCTGCGGCTCCGGGAGAAAGCCTTGAAGGAGAAAACCAAGGCTGAGTTAGCCTGGCTGGAGCACCAGAAAAAGTAAGTTCTCTCATGAACATAGTTGGTACTATTTAATTTCTCCTTCCATTGAAAGGACATGCTTTGTTTTTAAAGATGTTTTCGTTTCCTAATTTAATTTAATTAACCCAGTTTCAGAAACTAATGGGCCGCCATCCTTGAAGCACTTGCTTTCAAGACCTCCTGTTCATATAACATTTTCTTTGCATTTCTCTTTTATCACTTAACTGACTCTTATGTTATTTCATACTTAATTCACTTATTGTAACTTTTTCAAAGCAGTTTTCTCTGGAAAGGGCACAGTCTAGGGTCTACCTGTGTTCCACAGGCAGGAAAGTAAAGGTTAGGAGGGGGACTGCTGCCTGCAGCCGCTGCTCTCCCCGTTCGTTCCCCTTTGGAAAAGTTTAATTGGCTTAGAGACCTTAGTGGTCGGATTGTTGACATTAGAATAGAAAAGTAATCTAATCTTTGTCTCAATGGGAAATATTTGCAGACATCTACGAGACAAAGGAGAAGATGATAAAATGCCCCCTCTTCGGAAGAAACAACGGGGTTTGCTCTTAAGGTTGCAGCAAGAAAAGGTATGTCAGGAAAAACACACCTTGAAGAGAATTTATCATACTAGCAAGTTAGATTGTGGAATCTATTATTTTGCCTAATCTCTTTTTCTTATTATTACCTTAAATGAAATTTAATTCATGTTTATCACTAGTTATGTCCATACTAATATAATTACAGGAGTTGCTTGGTAGTCTACCATATTTCTCCTAAATTAGGATTGCGTGTCACTGCTATCTTTTTTTTTTTTTTTTTAAGATTTTTATTTATTTATTTATTTTTAGAGAGGGAAGGGAAGGAGATAGAGAAAGAGAGAAACATCAATGTGCGGTTGCTGGGGGTTATGGCCTGCAACCCAGGCATGTGCCCTGACTGGGAATCGAACCTGCAACACTTTGGTTCGCAGCCTGCGCTCAATCCACTGAGCTATGCCAGGCAGGGCGTCACTGCTATCTTAGTACAATGTAGAGTCAAACCTTGTGCCTTCATTTAGTGTGTAAAATAACAGTCCTTTGAAATGCATATTTTAAAAAATTAAGGTATTTGTAAGAGTCTATTTAGATTAATTTTTTACTCACTGTTTTCCCAAATAGATTTCTAAGACACATATTAGTTACAAATGGACAAATATTTTGACTTAGTGAACTCAGAAAGAAAGACCTGGGATTTGAATCCTGGAGACGCAGCATGATGTAGTGGTTGGAAATTCAGCTCCAGCCCTGGCTGGCGTGGCTCAGTGGATCGCCTGTTGGATTCCCAGTCAGGGCACGTGCCTGGGTTTCAGGCCAGGTCCCCAGTAGGGGGTGTGAGAGGCAACCACACACTGATGTTTCTCTCCCTGTCTTCCTCCCTTCTTGTCCCTCTCTCTAAAAATAAATAAAATCTTTTAAAAGGTAAATAAATAAACTGAGGCTAATAATGATAACATACTTTGTAGGGTTATTGGGAGGAATAAATGAATTAATACATACAGTAAACTTAGAACAGCCATTGGCATAATGCTAAGTGCTAAATTAAATGTTAGTTATTATTTGAATTCCACCTTTGTCCCTTGGAATTGTTAGTCATGGTCAAGTTTAAGTAACTCTCTAGGACTTAATTTCCTTATCAGTACAATCAAGATTATATATATTTCACGTGGTGGTCGTGAGAACTAAATGAGGTAACATAGTCAGTCTAGTTTTCTTTCCACTTGCTGACCTATTGCCAGTTACTACTTTGTTAGATGGCCAGTGAACGCCATCATTTGAGTTATATGAGTTAACGCCATCATTTGCTGGGTTACTACTTAAGTAGCCTTTTCTTTTAAGTTTACCCTAGGAAGCATTACTCATTATATGAACTCGAAAGAATTCTGAACTTTGGTTTATGTAAAAAAAAGAAGTTGTATCTTTTTAACCCCGAAAAATTGGGTTTAAAAGACTGTTATTTTGCCCTGGTGGATGTGGCTCAGTGGCTTGAGCATCGGTTCCGTTCCCAGGCAGGGCACGGGCCTGGGTGCAGGCCGGGCCCCTGGTTGGGGCATGTGAGAGGCAGCGAGCATCTCGCCCATCACGGCTTCACTCCCTCTCTGTCTCCCTCCTTTCCCCTCTCTCTAAAAACAAATAAATAAAATCTTTAAAACAGTGACATAAAGACTTTGTTATTTTAAAAATTTAAATAACTTTTTACAAATGTTACAGTAGTTTTCTCTTTGTAAAGTAGAATAAAAACTAGATTTACAGATATTTCCTCTCATTCTGTGAGGTTGTGTTTTCACTCAGTAGTGTGCTTTAAAGCACAGTGTTTAATTTTAATGAGTCTAATATTTTATCACATGCCTGCTGATAACATACTTTTTTAAATTAGGTTTTATTAGGTGTCATTATTTTGTTTTAAAGATGTACTTATTCATTCATTTTTAGGGGGGGAACAGGGAGAGAAACATTGATTGGTTGCCTTCTTGTACGTGCCCTGACCGGGACTGAACCTGCGACCCAGGCATCTGCCCCACAGGGGATTGAACAAACGACTGCTTGCTCGGCGGGACAGTGCCCGACCCACTGAGCCGCACATCAGGGCACGTTTAGTTTCTGTTAGTTAGAAAATGTATTTGTTTTGGCTTAATTTTTGAAGGATGTTTTTCCTGGGTATAGAGTTATTTTCTTTCAGCATTTTTAATGATGTCGATTTCCATTGTTTACTGGTTTCCATTGTTTTTATGGAGAAGTCAGTTTTCTTAATATTGTTCTTCCAAAAGCTGCTTTTAAGATTTTTTAAAAAATGTGTCTTTGATTTTTTAGTAGTTTGCTATGATGCGTCTAGGTATCATTTGTATTCATACTATTCAGGGTTTGCTGAGCCTCTTGAATCTGTTGTTTGTTGTATTTCATCCATTTTTGAAAATTATCTTTTCATAAGTAGCTTCTGTCCTGTTCTCTCCCTCCTTCCTTCAGAGGCTCAGAGTAGACATTTGTTAGGCCTTTTGGCCATTTAGCACATCTCTCTTCTACTCTTTTGTTTTTATGTTATTCTTTGAAGCCATTTTTACAGAAACTCTTGTGCTTCAATTTGGAGAGTTTTTTTAATTGGTCTTTGAATTCATTAGTTAAATGTTATGCACTGTCATGTGGACTGTTAAATTCATTTAATTTGATTTTGTTCAGTTCTATAATATCCATTTTGGTTTTTTAATAGATTTTAAACCTTTGTTGAAATTATATTTTTTAAAACCAATTTTAAGATTTTATTTATTGTTTAGAGAGGGGAAAGGAGGAAGAAGGGGGAGGAAACATCAATGTGTGCTTACCCCTCATACTCCCACTATTGGGGATCTTGCCTGCAACCCAGGCACATGCCCTGACTGGGAATTGAACCAGCGACCTTTGGATCCACAGAAAGTTACCCCACAGAAATAAAAGCATAGTGGTTGAGTGGTTGCAGCACTCAACCACTGAGCCACACCATCCAGAGTGAAATTCTCTACATTTTCATCTATTTCTCTATATTCTTTTGAACACATTTCTAATCATTTTAGTTATTTTGTCTGCTAAGACTAATATTTGGATATCTCTGTGTCTACTGCTATTATTTGCTTTTATTTATTATTTTTTTAAAGATTTTATTTATTTATATTTAGAGAGGGAAGGGGGGGAGAGAGAGAGAGAGAGAGAAACATCAATGTGCGGTTGCTGGGGGTTCTGGCCTGCAACCCAGGAATGTACCCTGGCTGGAAATCGAACCTGGGACACTTTGGTTCCCAGCCCGCGCTCAATCCACTTAGCTACGCCAGCCAGGGCTATTTGCTTTTATTTTTTATCATATTAGCCTTTTTGCATGCCCAGTAATTTTTGACTGCTGGACATTGTGTATGAATAACTGCAAGGCTCCAGGAGATGTTACCTTCCCCCAGAGAGGATCTGTTGTTTGCTCTGCCCTGCAGTTTGAGTGCTCAGCTGTTCACTTGAATCCTTTCAAGGGCTGATGAGCTGAGTTAGTGTTGGGTCGCAGCATTGGTAAACCTCAGTCTACTTACGTTTTGCGTTGACCCTAACTAGGGTGTGACCCACCAGGGATTTCAGCTGAAAGCCAGGCAAACCTTTTTACCAGCACAAAGGACTGTGGGGATGGCTGCTCTGCTATTGAGAAGTTTCTGGTTTAACTCGTTAGCTTTCTGTGTGTGCTGCTACAGAAATGTCAAATACATTGAGGGGGAGACCGCATTTGAAGCCTCTTCAGTCTCCAGTTTTGTCACTTCAGTTCTGTGTTGGTGGGAGTGGTAACTGGTGTAACCACTTTATGAGCAGTTTGACTATATCTAGTTAAGTTCAGGACATGACTCAGCAGTTCTTTGCCTTGGTATAGATTCTAGAGAAGCTTTCACATACATACAGGGGAAAATGGAAACAACTTAATTTCTTCATTAAGAGAATAGATTGAACAAAAGCATATTTCTGCGAGAAAGTGTAATGCTGCAGAAAATGAGCACATCAGATATCAGCAGTGACCAGTAGAGATTTCTGAAATGAAGGTAACCCTTCTGTTCTGTTACCTGTGCTATCCAATACAGTAGCTACTAGCCTCGTGTGGTTTTGACTACTTAACTTAAAATGTGATGAGTACAACCGAGAAACAGAAATTTTAATTTCATTTAATCTTTTAAATAGTGCAGCAGTAGCTCTCCATCTATTAAAAGCATTGCATTTGTTTTTATAGACAAGCAAGATGCAAACGAATATGTATAACATGATACCACTCTCGATAATTACAAAAAATCCCCGATCAGTAATGCATGTTCTGTGGAGCCACTCACACACCAGAAGCTCACAGACACATGTAGGAGTGGCACACGCACATTTCTAGGGAGTGAGTGGGGGAAAGGCACGAGTGGGGCTTAGTTTCATATGTAATGGTTTATGTTTGAAAAAGAGGGATTTGAAACAAGTACAGCACATTGTTCAGTTCCACTGGTAGGAATTTGAGTGACTAGTTTTTCTGCATATTATGTTTGTAGTACTTTAGAATGTTTTTAAAGTAAATGTGAAAAAAATACTCTTTGATCCAACTGGATACCCCTGGGAAGTTACTCTACAGAAATAAAAGCACCAAAGTGTGAAGATATAAATGTACTAGGATATTTATTGCAGCTAAATCAGTAAGAATTATTTTCACTGGTAGTGTTATGGCTGAATGGTCACATTATCTTTGTACAAGTGTATGAAAAAAGAGAATATGTTTTCCTATGTCTTACTCCTTTTTTTTTTTTTTTGGTGAAATGCACATATTAGGAAATAACCATTTTAAATTGAATAATTCACTTATACTATTCACCACTTAAAGTGAACATTTTCTTTATACATCCTATGGCTTATTTTCAAGAGAGAAGAAAATTTTTTCCCTCCTTGAAAAAGTGTCTTCTTTCTTTTGGGCTGAGATTGGGTGAATTTATACATTAATTGGTTCAGAAACTCAGGTCTAAGCTAGTAGCAGTTTTCAAAAGGTCTCTGAAACTTTCCATGTTCATAATGATAATGGGATGTGAATTTTCCCTTTTTGTGTGTTGACATTTTTCACTAAATGGTGCAGAAACAATGGTGGTTGACACTGCTGGTGCCCTAGCCCAAATCAGGGCAGCAGGATCAAATTATATAAGTAGTCAGAATGTTTTTTACTGCCACACACTTGAAACTAAAAAAAAAAGAAAAAAGAAAAAAGCTATTTTCACAGAAAAATGCCCTGGTTAAGAAGTAAAAAAAATTATTGATTTTATTGAGTGTTGACCTTTGAGTGCTTGTTTTTTTTTTTCATATCCTGTGTGATTAGAAATGGAAAGCCCACAATTAAGCACTTTTGCTAGAAACCTAAGTACAATGATTATTAACCAAAGGAGAATAATTTGTACAGTTGTTTGAACTGCAAGCAGAACTAGCCATAGTTTTTCATGGAATTCCATTAGACTTGAAAGAATTATTCAGACACAAAATTCAAACTTTCAAGCAAAAGTCAGAATTTTGAAAAATTTCTACCTACCACCCAATTCAATATTGATGAACTTTTGAGATCAGTGATGATATTAATGAATGTAATTTTTGACCTACGATAATATGTCAGTATTGGAAGAGCTGCATAATTCATTGAACTATCATTTTCTGAATGACGATGTAAGATATTTTTAAAAAAATCAATCCAGATAATAGAGATTTGCAAAACTCGACATAGTATTTTTTCACTAATTTTTTTTTGTTTTGGAAAATGTAGTAACTTTCTTAAAAGTACATATAATGCTATTGTATATTCATGAGAGAATGAGAATGAAAAAGGGCAAATAATGTGTTTTATGAAGGTGGTTTGACCCTAAGAGACCCTCCCAAGGAGTCCCATGGACCATACTTTGAGATCTGCTCCTCCACAGAAACTAATGTGTGTGTCCAAGGAGGCACAAGAAGTGCAAGGATGTTCACTGTAGCATTGTTTATAATAGTAGGCAGCAACCTTATCCAACCATAGGGTAATAGATAAATGAAATACCTGTACCTCCAATATAATTTTATACAGCATATAGGTATAAATCAACACAGCAATATCAGAAGCAATGTCTAGCACTGGCTGGTATGGCTCAGTTGGTTGGAATGTCATGTTGTAAACTAAAAGGTTGCAGGTTCAATTCCCAGGCAGGGCAAATACCTAGGCTGTGGGTTTGATCCCAGTCAGGATGTGTAGGGGAGGCAACCAATTGATGTTTCTCTCCTCCCTCTCTCTCCTCCCTTCCTCTCTCTTAAAAAGTGTTGGAAAATGTCCTCAGGTGAGGGTTAAAAAAAAGAAGCAATGTGTAATAAATAAAGCAAGATTGAAAATATGTATGTATGATATTATTTATAAAATTTAAAAACATACAAACCAAACAGTATATGTTTTTGCAAGTAAGTACAAATATTTATAGAAGAATTTGAAAAGAACGTACTGGAAGCATACATTCCATGAGAGTGGTTACCATGAGGAGTTGGGGTAGGGGATTGCAGGCTGGTTTTATCTGTAGTGCTCAATATTAAACACTAGGAGAAACAATGACAAACTGTTAAAAATTGTTAATTTGGGATTTTGGAAGTGAGATATTTATTGTGAACTATTCTCCATTTTTCATCTAGTTTCAAAAAAGTGTCAAACATTATTGCAAGAAATTATAACATTGTTAATAACTTTATGATGCTTAATTTTATTGACAAGAAAACATTCATGAAAAATGTTAAATTTTAACAATTATTAACAGTGTAGTGTATCATCTTTTGCCCACTTAATTAGCAACAGAGAACCTGATAATATCCTGTGTGGAAAGAGTTTGGTACAGTGTAGCCTTAAATATTTCTGGTGACATTTTAAGTGGAGACAATTCTGTTTAGAAAGCAATTTTTAAAATGATTTTAAGGGCCATAAAAATGATTCATTCTCTGTGACTTATTTGTCCTTTTTTTGGGGGGTGGGGGGGACATGTCTCCTAAAGAACTAATGCTTAGTATGAAACAATTATAGACATTAAAGATTGTTGGTGATGGTAAAAAATGATAAGGGGTTTAAGAGATTAGCAATAGAATAAAGATTATGTTAATGAGTTTACTTGATATGCAATAAAAAATAAGTGTGTAGAACAGGCAGCACTATGGAAGAATGTGAAGGGTATATGACGTTTACAGAGAGCATATGAAATACCAGTCTGTTGTAATTACAGTTATTTAAGGGATTATGTTAAATTACTTTAGATGGATAGAGTTATGTGACTTTTTTAATATTTACAAAGTTTTCCATGTTTTTACCTTTATCTTGAAATACTGTATATGTTTATTTTTGTTATTTGTGATGATTGGATTTTCTTTTTCAAATAATTACTTTGGACTTTTTTTCTTCCAAATCTCAGTACCTTTCCTAACTCTTTAAACCTTAGGCAGAAATTAAACGTCTGCAAGAAGCCAATAAGGCAGCTCGGAAGGAAAGACAACTGATTCTTAAACAGCAGGAGGAGATAGAAAGGATCCGACAGACCACCATGAAACTTCAGGAGAAGTTAAAATCTGCAGGGGAGAATAAATTGGTAAATTACATGAATTCTTATTTCTTTGTTTTCTGCCTCACACTGCTTACTAATACCTAACCTTGCATTACTTTTTAATACGATGAGTATGTTCATCCTAGCACTATGATACAATGATGAACTAGGATACATTTTTATGTATGTGTCTTTATGTATAGTGACAGTATTTTTTTACCATGGAATATTCAAATTTTGGAAGGGGCACATAGCATATATGTAGCTTAAAAATGGTTTCCATTTATGAACTCATTTGGGACAATGAGCCTTTGTTCTTCCTTAACAATCCAAATATATTCCTCAGAATTAATGAGGGAGACTATTTTTGTTCTTGATATTGTATTTATTTCTGCTCTCTAACATTAATATGATGATACATGATTCAAAGGAGATACTCAGATAAAAACAAAATTTGGGTCTGTTCTGAGACACTGTAAAGTGTTAATATAGCTAGTGTTGAAAAACCCAACCTACATTGCAGTATAGTTAAATTACTCTGATGTTCTCTGCTTTGATTTTTAAAATACACTTTAAATTTTGAAACAATCTTAAATTCATGCAAAATTTCTACCACAGTATAAAGAACTCTGTTTTCTTGAGTTGAGAGTATGTTGCTAACAGTTGACATTGATACATTACTACCATGTAATCTTCAGACCTCAGTCAAGATTCTCCAGTTGTCAGAGTAATGTTCTTTTTATCGAAACATGAGCTCAAAAGCACATCCTGCATTTAGTTTTCATGTCTGTTTGGTTGCCTTCGGTCTGGAAAAGTTCTTTAACTCTCATGACCTTGACACTTTGGAAGATTACATGCCAGTTATTTTGTAGAATGTTTTCCAACTTGGGTTTGTCTAGTTTTCCTTGTAAGTAGATTCAGGTTGTGCATCTTTGGCAGGAATATCACATACGTGTTCTTCTCAATGTTGTGGCACCTGATTTAGATTTAACCCAGTAATGATGATGTTGCCTTAAGGTGGAAGGAAGGGAAAAAGGAAGGAGCTGGGATCTACTTTGTTTATATTGTTCACAAAGTAAAAACAGTGACCTCCTGGCTGGGTGGCTCAGTTGGTTGGAGCATTGTCCCAGTATGCCAAGGTTGTGGATTTGATTCCCAGTCAGGGTACATACAAGAATCAACCAATGAATGTGTAAGTAAATGGACCAAAAAGATCAGTGTTTCTCTTTCTCTCTCTCTCTTTCTCTCTCTCTCTCTCTCAAATCAATTTTAAAAAGCAAACAAACTTTGCCCTGGCTGGATGGCTCAGTTGGTTAGAGTTTCATCCCATATACTGAAAGGTTATGGGTTCAGTCCCTGGTTGGGGTGCATACAGGAGGCAACTGACTGATGTTTCTTTCTCTGTCTCTCTCCATTCCTCCTTCTCTAAAATCAATAAACATATCCGCTGGTGAGGATTTTTTTTTAAATCATGATTTTTTCAAACCCTCTTCCTGAAAAGTTGAAAGAATAAGTGACTGATATTTCTGATGAACAAATTCATCAGGAATAATGTATTGATTAAACCAATGGCTCCTAAATGTCTTTTTATTATAAACTTTTTAACTTGTGAAAATATTTTCTGTAAGAAATATTTACAGAAAAAAGATCCATTAATCATTGTGATTAAAATAAGTATGTGTTCCCTTCTTTGTGTCTACTCATATATGTTTTATATAGTTATAATGTGTATAATTTTATATTCCTTTTTGAGTAGTTTCATTTTTTAAAATTAGGACATTTAGATACTGGATTACAAATGATAGAAGTTTTCTTGATTTTTTTAATGTCTTAAAAGTTATTACACTTTAATTATATATAAATATGTGTAAAATATACATAACAAAATTTTTATTTTAGCTAGTTTTAAATATGTGATAAAAATTTTGTTAAGTAATACCTAAATTTTGGCTATTTTAGAAATATTGTTTTAAAGATAAACTTAATTTTGAGGAAGTGTTTACGATCACTTTGAAATCTCAAACTCCAGGGAAACTGTACTACTTCATCCCCCTCTGTTGTAGGACTCTCATAGTGATGATGATGCCAAGGAGAATAAGGCAGTCAGCCCTGGCCCAACCGACCTGGAGACCCGCAGCCCTTCCCCCGTTTCCATCTCCAGCAGCGAGACCAGCAGCATTATGCAGAAACTGAAGAAAATGAGAAGCCGCATGGATGAAAAGTAATTCGTTTTTATAAATATTTTGTGTTTACATTGGAAGTAGCAGCAACAAGTAGTATTTTTAATGTACTTCATTAGATTAGATTGATATAATATTTTATGGTTTCAGTAGCTTCTTAACAGAATTAGTAAGTCTGTCTAGAAGTCAGTTAACTATAGATCTGATTAATAAAACAAATATTCTTGTTTTTCATACAGCCAGGTTTCTTATTTTAAAAATCAAAGTAGTATTTGCACATATGCCCATGACAATGTTTTCTTCTTTCTTTCACTGAAAGTTGTAAGTGTGAAATCTGTACCTTCTCTGAAATCTGAAGACAGGTCTACTGACTTGGGGGAGCAACCGCTTAATGGTGTATCCTGGGGTCATCTCGTCCTGAGGCGGTCCGACAGGTGGCAGGCTTGTTCAGATAGAAGAGTAAGACTTAACCTTGTGAGTAGGTGTGGATTGCTCAGTTGCGACCACAAAGACTGAAATTCTGGGGTGTTGAATGATTCGACACTCTACTGTTCTTTTAAAACGTTTCCAAGTATAAGTTTTTAAAGGTTCTTTTAAAGAAAGCTATGCCTACCTAAATGTAGCTCACTTGTATGTCAGCTTTGACCGTATAAAAGGACATTTATGTGAGAGTTTACTCTTTTAAGTTTGCAATTTGAATCACAGATGGAACTTAAGTTTTATCTTGATATCTTGGTGATGTGTACCACATATTACCAAATTTAATAGTGCTCTGTGTTCATAAATATGCTTTATATTCATGAGATCAATCTATGATTTAATTAGCTTCTGAACAGCCAAGCAGTTGTAAGTCAAATCTTAGTAAATATTTGCTGTAGGTGCAGTGTCTTACATTGGGACTGCATTATTGAATGGAGATTGCATTTTAGTAACAATATTGGCATTTCATAACTTAAATATGCCTAAATTGATTATTAAAATAAGTTAAAAAAAATAAGTACAAACTTTAAAAATAAAAAATATAAGCGGGTGAAACCAAATATTCACCAATGTTTAAATATTCCTTTTGGATGATTTCCATGGAATAGACTAATTAAGGCTTCTTCAAATAGGAATTCATTGAAATTTAAACTAGAGGTGCTTTCTTTCATTCCTAATAAAATTTTCCCATACTCTGTTTCGACATGCTGTCTTGCTCCAAGGATCTTTGAATTCAGAATAATCTCTCATAAATTTTCATAACTGATGGACACTTTACATCTGTCTCCAAATGTCTTTGATAAATGTCGGAGGAACGACAGCTAATGGAGTAGTGTCTTCATTGACCCTTTGTTGTCTCTGTCAGTGAGATCGTCATTGCTGGTCTCTGTGAGCGGTAGCCTAATAAGTTTAATCACGTGTGGAAGAAACTGCGAGTCCTTGTTTATCTGTGAGATAGTCTCAGGTGCTTATTTCAGATTTGGTTAAACCTTGACAAATTCAAGGCTGGATTTATTTATTTGTTCTGTTAATTATTTTCTCAGAATTCAAAATATTAAAAACCTAAAATTTTTGTAGTATTGTTCTCCCTTTCTTTATCAACTATTGCAGTAAACTTCTGAGAAGTTTGTAAGAGAGAATAGGCCTTGAAGCATTCGTGACTATTTTTTTTAAATGACTCCTTGATTTGTTGTTTGAAGTGATACAGTTGTATTTATGGGTAGGGATTGGGTGAGGACAGCAGTGGCAAAGAAATTAGCATTAAGGTTGGGATGATGGTGCTGAAATTGGAGAATGAACAGGAGTATTTTCCAGAATTACCAGTACATTGAAAAATATTATAATTATGCAATATTTTTTGATCTTGAAACAAACTAATGTGTGAAAACTAGTTTTTAAACGCCATTCAGATCATCAAAAGCTTTAGAATTAGATCTTCAACTCAATAAATAGTTAATTTTGCTACAGTAGCACCCAATTATAACAAAATCATTTGAGCCTTATTCTGAGGGAAATAAAGAATCAAACATGAATCTTGTTTCAAAGAGTTGATAGTGTAGGTGGAAAAAAAACAAGTATCAGGTTTCTTTAGAGAAATATATATAAGTCAGTTGCTAAGGAAGTTAGTAGAGGGAAGAAATTTGTAATGAAAAGAGTATATCAAGGAAATTTTCATGGATGAGTGTTCAGAATTAAACATACTTTAGAATTAGTACTTTCTAGAATAAGAAAAACAAACAAACATTATTTTTGATTTGATCATTGTGGATCAAGGCAGCATGGACAACTGAAGCCTGTGGTCACCAAACTTCTATAATATCCCTTTAAGTATTTTGAATATTTAAAAATATTCCCAGTTAGAAGTAAATGTACTTAACTTTTTTAATCGAAAAGTTAAACAGCCCTGGCTGCTGTGGCTCAGTGGATCGAGTGCCGGCCTGTGAACCAAAGGGTCACTGGTTTGATTCCCAGTAAGGGCACATGCCTGGGTTGCGGGCCAGGTCCCAAGTAGGTGGTGCATGAGCGGCAACCACACATGGATGCTTCTCTCCCTCTTCTTCTCCCTCCTTTCCCCTCTGTCTAAAAATAAATACATAAAAATCTTAAAAAAAAAAAAAGTTAAACAAATAGCCCTGGCTGGTGTGATTCAGTGGATTGAGCTCCATCCTGTCAACCGAAAAGGTTGCCAGTTCAATTCCCAGTCAGGGAACATGCCTGGGTTGCAAATTTGAAACCCCATTGGGGTACATACAGGAGGCAACTGATCGATGTTCTTCTCTTACATCAATGTTTTTCTCCCTCATTCTCTTCCTTTCTCTCTAAAATCAATTTTTTTAAATACGTCCTTGGATGAGGTTAAAAAAAATGAAAACACATTTTATTTTTACTTATAACAATATAGAATTAAGGAATCATAGATCCAGAAAAAATTTTAAAATGATTTAGAGTATTAGAGTTTTGTTTTAATATCTTTCAGAACCAAATAATAGTAGAACTAGAGTATCATTTAAAATTTAGATCCTTTTTTTAAGTATATTTTATCGATTATGACATTACAGTTATCCCATTTTTTTCTTCCCTTTATTCCCTTCTGCCATACACTCCCCTCCTACCAGCATTCCCCAACCCCCCTTAGTTCATATCCATGGGTCATACATATAAGTTCTTTGGTTTCTCCATTTCCTATACTATTATTCTTAACCTTCCCCTGTTTTCTATGTACCATTTATGCTTCTTATTCTCTGTACCTTTTCCCCCATTCTACCCCTTCCTCTCCCCACTGACACTTTATTGATCAGTGGTCTCCATGTGATCTCCATTTCTGTAATTCTGTTCCTGTTCTAGTTGTTTGCTTTGTTTGTTTGTTTTTTATCTTTATTTCTTTTTAGGTTCAGTTGTTGATAGTTTTGAGTTTGTTATTTTATTTTGCTCTTTGAAATTATAGCATGGTTTTACAATCTGTTGGAACATTCTAAAGTTATATTAACCCAGGGAAAAAAAGGTTCTCATTTATGACACATGGTCTAGCAGTTTGTCATGGTATTTCAAAACAGATGAGGAGGTACTTCAATGGAGAAAGAAAGAATTATAAAATGATGGAACTTGAAGTGCCCTTAGGGAAGTCACCTAGTATAGTCTTTTAGTTTTACAGGAAGAAATTGATGCCCACAGGGATTAAGTAACTTGTCCCAAGTCACACACACAATGGCAGAGATAGAGCTAGAACCTTGCTCTCTGGACTTTAGCCAGCTGAAGTTAAAGTTGAGCTTAGTTGGCCTATCTGCTTTCAGCATCAGGTTTAAAAAAAAAAAACAAAAACTGCACTGGCCCTGGCCAGGTGGCTCAGATGGTGGAGTGTCATCCTCATACATCAAAAGGTTGCTGGTTTGATCACCAATGGCACATGCATCGATGTTTGTCTCTCCCTTTTCTTTTTTTTTTTTAAGATTTTATTTATTTATTTTTAGAGAGGGAAGGGAGGGAGAAAGAGAGAGAGAAACATCAGTGTGTGGTTTCTGGGGTCATGGCCTGCAACCCAGGCATGTACCCTGACTGGGAATCGAACCTGCAACACTGTGGTTCGCAGCCTGCGCTCAATCCACTGAGCTACGCCAGCCAGGGTTTGTCTCTCCCTTTTCTTCTCTGTCTAGAATCAGTAAAAAATATATATGCCCTCCGGTGAGGATTTAAAAAAAAAAAAACTACATTGATAACTTAAAGTTAGTAGAAACTGACCCTTAAACTGGAAGAGTGCCCATTGGCTGATTGCTGGAATTGAATAGCTACATAGGCCAAGTTTAGAGTATGAAAGTGTGATTTTAAAAATGAATCAGTTACTCATGAATTTCTTTTTTTTTTTTTTATATAATAATTTTTTAAAGATTTTGTTTATTTGGAGAGAAGGGAAGGGAAGTGATGCGTGGGTCACCGGCCAGCAGTGATGACGGAACGCTGAGGATGGCTCGTTGAAACGCGAGAGAAAACATGCACAGAGGCAACCAGGTCCTGTGGGGGAATAGGAACAGCATGGCCACTCCTCACGTGGGGAGCGCCTTGGCCACCCTCTCTCCTGGAGGGCACATGGCCACCCTCCCTGGTGGGGAGAGCTCGCCATTCCCCCTCGGAGAGGCTTTTTATGGTTTCGTTTGCATAAGAATTCAGGTAAAAGCTCATTACTCATTGCTAGGAAGTAAGGATCAAACAATAGATAACAAGGAAGTCTGAGGGCCTATTTTGAGTCAGGGTCAAAGAGGTGTAAGACTTTTAAGGAACAAACTAACTTCCTCCCTGGACCCTTCTCATTCAACTGAGAGCATTCTAAACAAAGAAGGTTTCACAGGAATTTACATGTTCTTTCTTAGGCCTTTTCAGCACAGGGCTGCACCACCCTGTTATTGTTTCAGGCTTAGGTGGAGCAAGGGAACTAAGGCAACCAACAGATAAGAGATTTTCTCCCAGATGATGAGGACTCAGGCTATGTCAAAGCTGAGGAGCGAGGGTCCAACACCCCCTTTTGCTGTAGCCCCCAAAGTCCTTTCTTGGGGGCCTCCCATGTGATCATGCCTGTCTTAGATCGTTCCCCCCTTGGGGAATCCTACCCGTCTTTGGCTAACCAACCAAGCTTTGGGGTTCAGTTATGAATGAAGCAGCGCTCCTGCCAGGGAGATAAGCTTTTGTCTCCTAGCTGGCTTACGCTTCCAAGGGCGTTCCCTCAGTCTTAGCCTAGGCGGGGGTTACAGCTTCTGATACCAGGCAGGGCGGTTCCCAACAGGGAAGGAGAAAGAGAGAGAGAGAGAAACAGCAATGTGCTAGAGAGATACATCGATTGGTTGCCTCTCTCATGCTCCCAACTGGGGGCTTGGCCTGCAACCCAGGCATGTGCCCTGGCTGGGAATTGAACCCATGACCTTTCTGTTCAAAGGCTGACACTTAGTCTACTGAGCCATACCAACCAGGGCACTCATGAATTTCCTAAGATTAAACATTATAGGAACATAATCTCCATTTATACTAAATCTATTATACCTCTAATCCTAAATCCACTGTTCTGTTACCATCAGAGGCTTTGTTGGGGTGATGCCTTAACACCAACTATAAAGTGTATTAGTAGCATTTTCTATTAGTAGTAGACATTTATGTCTCTGATTGACAACTTTTGTTTATTTTGTACTCATGCAGCATCTTGAAGGAGTTAACTCTAGTGTGAAGTACTTCTTTTATCTCTATTCAGCTTTTAAAGGATACTCGTCATTTCTAGAATACACATATATTATATAGAGAACATTGCTCTGGGAAGAAGTTCTAACTTTAAGTTAAACTTTCCTTATACTGTTTCTTAAAATATTTTCTCTTCTTTTTCTGTTGGCCATTTCTTTTTGTTGTTTATTTCTAACCTAGAGCATTTGAATATGCTTAATCTTTGCATGTGAAAAAAGATCAGTATTTGTTTTAATTAGAAAAATTTGTTTTAATAGAAGAAATTATCCTTTATTGAGCTGGACAAAAAATTAAATTGTGTCTTTTTACAGTTTATGTTTCAATATTCTACTTTTTGTACTAGGTCATGCATGCATTTAGCAGTTATACACTTAAGAGGGTGGGTGAAGTTTGAATGTTATGAATAGATTTTTTTGGACCTTTTGCCAAGTACGTGTGTTTTTGCATAATATTTTGATACTTGGCATAAAAATAAATTTATTTTACATTCATAAAGAATGGCAAGGAAGATTGCAGTGTCTTACTGAAATTTGGCAAAATTGTTTTCCCTTGAACTTTGGTGTGAAAATCAAGGCAATCCAGATATATCTGTGTGTGTGTGTGTGTGTGTGTGTGTGTAAATGAAGGGGAGTTAAAATATTAAGTGAAATATTAAGTTGTATAAAACACATTGGTAGTCTGTTTTATAAAGATATACATGTAGGCAAGATTCTACATACTTTTTAGAATCCAAGTGACCGGCTGGATTTATACCTAGATTTTCTCACTTCCATGATGTACCGATACAATTCCTTGCCCTTCCAAGGCAATAAATGTTGCCTTGAGCTGTAAGTTGTTGTTCTGTGCATGTGAACAGGAGCATGCTCTGTCAAAGAGAGTTAACTTTTCCATACTGTGACTGGACTTGTTTCTTCATGTATATAATCTATTTACTGTTTAAAATGGAGAGAAACTAGTGGGGTTTTGCTATTTTTATAACTTTAACATATATAATTTTCTTTTAATGTTATGATTGAGCTGTCCATAGCATGATTATTTTAATGGCAGTATTTATTAGGACTAGCTTAGTTTATTCTTAATTCTTATCCTGATAATTTATAAGATGGGTATTGTATATCAGTATTCAAGTATGCCCTTGTTAAACATAAAGCACGATAACTTCCACTAGGTCCTGTTAGTGGCAGTAAGCTTTATGTTGTAGAGGTGAACAGTGTATTTTTAGTATAAGTTGATTTTTAAAATTCTATTATTTTCAAGTTGATCATGATGGTAAGGTTAAATAAGGCAAATGTAGTGCTTTTTAATTTAAGTTCAAGACTTAAAATATATGACAAGGTACAGATATAAAAACCACTTGTGCAAGAGAACATATGTATGTAGAATTGCTGATATGTAGGGTCACATCCATAGTTGTTGTACTCTTATGTTAAAGCTTATTGGAAAACATACTTAGCTCTACAATGTATTTCTCATTACTTTATTCACAAACAAGTAAATTTACCTGGAAGTATAGATGACGGTTAAGCAATATGTAAGAAGAAAGGCACGTTTATTCAGAAATCATTGGTAAGATCTATAAAAGGTACATGTTTTATATGTCACACAGAATATAATACTTGCTTTAACCAAGTAGCTTGTAATGTTCCTCAGGAAACATATTAAAAGTTCTTCACTCAGCTCTTGTGCTTTCCCTTTCTCATTCTTTCTGCCTCTTGATCTCTTGGTTTTAAAATCTTCCTCCTTATTTTGTAGACACTGCTCTCCTGTTCACTACTTCTTCTCTGTCTTTACGTCTCATCACTGGGCCTCTCTCAGTGTCTGTTTTCCCAACCTTCATCCCAAATTCCAGCTGTATATCTACAACCAGTTGGTCAGGTAACTTTGCACCTTTTTCAGTGCACTCTTTGATAGAGCATGCTCTGTTCTTTTTGTTTGTTTTGTTTGCTGCTTTTTTCTTTCTTTCTTTTTTTTCCCCCTAAGAGCCTAGAGGCCTCTTGTCAAATGTCCCATAGAAACCTTTTTGTTTCTACATTAATTTGATGTGCTGACTGTTCAAGAAGTGGAGTGTGACAGTTCCTGTGCTTTATATCAAATGCTTGTTGGATGCCTGGGTGCATTTTTGTTGATTAGCTACCACTACAGATCTAATACGAGTTACATGAGCAGTCCACCTTTTATGAAGCTGCAACGTCTACTTTTGAGAAAAGTTTAATAATAGCTTTTTAACTACTCAAAGAACTTTTCCTAAATCAGTCATTTCTCCTAATGTTTTGAAGCTAAGATATATTGGGCTATTTAATTTCAGAGATAGGGTTAAGCTGAGAAATTTGAGGCATTTGGTGCATCCTTTTACTCCAATAAATAAAGTTACGTTTTTATGTATATGGCATCTGACTAGTGCTCAGTGTTCTCTCCATGGAAAACAGATTAACACCTGACATTGTATCTCTTAGGTAATGGCTCCCAAACTCACTACACCTGAAGCAAAACCAGATTGAATTTGAAAATAAAAGTCAAAATGGGACATGAACATGTTTTTTGTTTGCTTGCTTATTTGGGGGCTTTGGGGTTTGCTTTTTGTTGTTGGTTTGGCCTTTGTTGTTTTGAGTTTGTGTGTTTTCTAGCCTGAGCCTTCACAAAAAATTCCCCATATGTCTTCTTTTGTGAAAAAGAATCACCTATGAAAAAAGAATATATATTATCAGTCATGGTTGTGCAGATGTTCTGAAGATTTTTTCTCTGAATTTACCACTCTTTTTCCTTTGCTACTCTTAAAATTACAAGTAAAACATAAATTCTCTCGTTTTCTAAATAAGTTGGCTCATCTGAGCTTCTGTGATCTCAAAAGTTTTTCAGATGAGGAGTGAGAATATTCTTTTTTACACAGCTTGTTGATAAGGTGATGAGTGATAGCGCTCGCTGAGTGATTTCTGCCTACTGATTTGCTCTCTCACTGTTCTTCGTGGTGTGACCATAGGTTTCTGACCAAGCGGGAGCAGAAACTAATGCAGCGGCGACAGCATGCGGAAGAGCTGCTCGAGTGGAAGCGACGCTTAGATGCAGAGGAAGCAGAAATTCGTCAAATGGAGAAACAAGCTTTGGCTGCCTGGGACACAGAATTAATAAAGCCTAAAGCTCCGAAGAAAGAACTGGAGGAACAGAGAGCAGAACAGAAAGGTAATGTATACTAACTCTGTTCAGATTACAAATGAAAGCCTAATGTAACAAAAGTTTTACTTCATGATTTTTAAAAAACGTTAATGATTAAGGGTGGTGAAGGCAGTAATGTACAAATGCTACAGAAATGGGAAAGTTGAGAGAATACTGTAAATATTTTTATCCTAATATACTTGAAAACATAGAAGAAATGAGTAAATTCCATGAAATGGAAATGAGGTGTTCCATGACCAAATGGAGTTTAACATGTATTAAAAAATTGATGATGTGGTGAATTACTTAGACAAATTAAAGGAGAAAAAAATACATGACATCTTAATGGATTAGATTCAGAAAAGGCACTTAATAAAATGTAAAAAGCATTTGCAATGAAACAAATCTCAGATCAAAGTAGCAACAGAAGGGAACTTTCCTTGTCCTGATATAGGATGCTGTTAACAAAAGCAACGAGCCAACCCTAACACAGACATCATACTTAATGAGGAAACATAGAAGACCTCTTTGGATTTAGAAATAAAACAAAGATGCTTATTTTCACCTAAGGAGTGAAAGGAAGAAGCAAAACTCTTCATTATTATGGGTCATACTATGCAGGTAGAAAATTTAGCATTCACATGTCAGTTACCAGAATTAATAAGTGAGTTTAGCAAGGTTGCTGAATATAAAATCCATAAACAAAACTTAATTACATGTCTGTAGACTAGCAGAAATTGATTAGAAAAATCTAATTTTTAAAAGATACCATTTATAATAGAAATAAAAAAATGAAATATTTAAGAATAAACTTAACAAAATGCATACAAGATCTTTAATGTTTATAAAATTAAGAATTTTTTGATACATGAAAGAAGACTAAAATAAATGGAAATCTTTTCCATATTCATAGATAGATTCAGTGTCATAAAGATGTTAATTCTCCCTGAATTTATCTATTGATTCATGACAATTTAAATCAGAAACCCAGCAACCCTTATGAAGATTTCTTCATAAGGTTTAATAAGCTCATTTAAAATGTATGTGAAAGTGCAAAGAACCAAAAACATACTCACTCCTAAAGAACTACAAAGTGCAAGAACTTGTTTGATGAGATATCGAGACTTTTAAAAGTATAGTAATTAAACAGTATAATATTTGCACAGAGATAGACAAATAGACTGTGAAACAGCCCAGAGGAAAATCCATGCAAAAAAGGAAATTTGACTTTTGACACAGGTAACTTTGCAGAATAGTGAAGAAAGGAGGGACTCTCCGATACATTTTTGTAGGAGGAAAAAATGTAGTTGGATCCCTGCCTGACAATATAAAAAAGATCCATCTCAAAGGGTAAAGAAAAGCTTGAATGTGACAATTAAAACTATAAAACTTTAGAAGATATTCTAAAGAATATCTTTATGACACCAAGGGAGAACAAGATTTAACGTTACACAAAGCAAACACCATACAGTGAAAGACTGATAAATTCGACTTCAATAAATTAGGAATTTCTGTTCATTAATACACCGTAAAGGGAAAATTAGGTAAGAGATTTGCACCACATCAGACTGGCAAAGGAATAGTATCAAGCATATGTGAGTAATTTCTGTGAATGAAAAGTAAAATGGCAACCATATAAAAAATCGGCAAATGAGCAATCACTTCACAAATGAAGAACTCCAAATGATCAATAAACATGAGAAGTTCGATTTCATTAGTTTCAGGGCATAAAAACCATAAAGAAATACCATTGCATACCTGCATACATTTCCCTAAATTTGCTGGCTTAAATTTTTTTTCCACTTCCGGAAATTAGAAATACAAACTCAAGGTGTTGGCAGAACTCTTGGTACCAGGAGATAATTCCTTCATTCCTTCTCCCAGCTTTTGGTGGCCAAACTATAGTCATTCCTTTTATCTGCGTAACTCCAGTCTCGCATAATCACATTTGTGTCTGTCTTCTCTTTTGTCTCTTAAAGAAACTTGTCATGGGCCCTGGCTGGGTGGCTCAGTTGTTTGGAGTATTAGTCCTGTACACCAAAAGGTTGCTGGTTCGATTCCTGGTTAGGATACATACCTAGGCTGGGGTTTGATCCCCAGTTTGGGGAGTGTGTATGGGAGACAACTGATCGATGTTTCTCTCTCTTCCCCTTCCATCCCTTTAAAATAACATATTCTCAATAAACATACTCTCAGGTGAGGATTAAAAAAAAAACAAAAACTCGTTATTGGATTTAGGGCCTAGCCACCACATACTTAAGAAGACCTCATCATAAGATCCTTAATCATATCTGCAAAGACCTTTACTCCAAATAAGATCACATTCACAGGTTCTGGGGGTTCAGACGTGGACATACCTTTGAAGGGGCAGGGGGGTCATCATTCAAGCCATTTACAAGTAACGTATCAAACCTGTTGGTGTGTAGGTGGAACAAAGAGTACTGTTCTACTCCTGGTTTATGTACTGCAGAGAACTGAAGGCAAGTTTTCTAAGAGCTGTTTGTACCCCTGTGTTTGTAGTAGCATTATTTTCAGTAGACAAAAGATGAAAGCCACCCAAATATCTATCAACAGGTGAATAGATTTATGTAAAATGTGGTACATACATGCAATGGAATATTAGCCTTAAGAAGGAAGGAAATTCTCATACATTGTAACAGTAGATGAATCTTGAAGGCATTATGCCAAGTGAAATAAATCAGCTTCAAAAGGACAAATATTTTATGATTGCACTTACATGAGGAACCTTGAGTAGTCAAGTTCACAGAGACACAAAGTAGAATGGTTGTTCCTAGGGGCTGGGAGAAGTGAGGAGAGAGAACTGGGAGTTACTTAAGAGTATAGAGTTTCAGTTTGGGAAGATGAAAAAGTTCTGGTGGTGATGGTCGCACAACAGTGGGAATGTACTTAATGTCACTGAACTCTGCACCTAAAAGTGGCTACTGTTGTAACTGGGGGCCGCATCTGCAGTGTGGCGACAGGTGGACATGCCCCAGCAGCCAGTGCGGCACCAGCAGGAGGTCCTGCCCCTCCCCCGCTGCTGCCCCAGCAGAGGAAAAGAAAGTGGGAGCAAAGAAAGAAGGATCTGAAGAGTCCGCTGATGACATGGGCTTTGGTCTTTTTGACTAAACCTCTTTTGTAATACGTTCAGTAAGAAGCTGAACTCTAAAAAAAAAAGTAGTTAGTATTGTAAATTTTATATTATGTGTCTTTTACCACAACTTAAAAAATTAAATTTTAAACAAGTCAGGCTGTATAGTACAAGGTCTAGAAAGACACACAACACAGGTTTGCCTTGGGGGTGTGGAAATTGGGCAGATGACGGGCTGGGGATGAACCAATCACTCTCCATCCTTCCACATGGTTTGGAGGTGGTTTCTTTGGTACTGCATTCTTGTACTACTTTTGCAATTAAAAAATAAGGGAAAAGGCCAAAAAAAAAAAGAAGAAGAAGAAGACGACTTCCAAAGTCAAGTCTTCCACAGACAGCAGATTGGAGAAGCTTCCGTAGTTTTCTTTCAGGGCAGGTGACCTTCACTTTTATCTTGATACAATCTTTATATTGTTTGCACTTTTAAAGTGAATATATGTTTACCATTATTGAACAAAAAATAAAGTATATTGAGGGACATAAAGCTGAAATGTGGAGGATTCTTCTGTTGCCTAATACCTAAAAATTAAGTCATTTTCTGAACCATTTTGAATTTTATACACAGTCTATCTTAGAATAGATAAATATCCTTGAGGATATTTAGAATTCCTTTCTTCATTTAACCATTCTGATTATGCTAAACATATATGGTATAAAAATATGCCTTCTTAAATTTTGAACTGAAGTGCTTTTAAATGTCAAGTTGTTGGGCCCAAAATTTTAAGTGAGGTTTAGAATTAAGTATACCAAATGTTAGCAGTACTGACCCAAAGTGGGATAGAACCAAATTTTTGTGGACATTATACCTGTAGAGACAAAGAGGGAAAACAGTGTACTTGTATTACACTTGTACAATCTTAAGAATTTCCTGTGTAGCGTCAAATATATTTGTTTTCTTAGAGTGAGCAGAGGCCACAATGGACAGGAAATTCCAGAGGCAAGACAATGTTACAAATTCTGAAAGTGCTAAGTAAAGTTCATAGTGTGTCTCCACTGATGAGCAAGCGGTAGTTTACTCATTTTTATTGCTTTGTAGCATTTCGTTATATAAATATACCATGGATTATTCATTTTACTGTCAGTAGACATTTGCGTTCATTCCAGATTTTGGCCACTATAACAATTCTGCCAGTGACCATGGGCATTTCTCCTGCAGTCCATATGCAGGATTTCTCAAGGATGTATACTTAGGAGGGTGGAGTTGCTAGATCATAGAGTGTTTTCATGTTTTCCAAATTCTACCAAATTGTCTTCCAAAGTGGTTGGTGGGACCAGTGTTCACTCCAAAAGGAGTGTGTGACTGTTATTACTCTGCGTCTTCACAAACACTTGGGGTGCCAGTCACTATCATAGCTGGTCATGTGTCACGGATAACCTTTCAGTCTGTGTCAGCCAAATTCTCAATTAGACTAACAGACGTCATAGCAAGTGTGGCTCATTGAGTGATGAGATTAAAAAACTGTATCTAGGTGCAGTTAGTGAAATCATGTTAAAAACAAACGTGAAGTGTGACAGTGGAGCATTTCCCTTACCAGGTTGTGTACTTCTTCTTGCTTTCCCCCTCTCATCCCAGAAATGACGAGCGAGGCGGACTCACCAGTCCCTTCGTACTCTCGCCTGCACAGCGAAAGTTCCATCCCAGAAGAGTTGGCCAGCCCGGCCGCTGACTACATGCCGTGCGAGTCCACAGCTCAGGAGCGGCCAGGTAGTCCGGACCACAGCTTACTGACCGAGGACATGGTGTTTTCACAGGAACTGGAATCTTCTACTTCTCTTAGTAAACACGTAAGTTTTTGTGTGTTTGTATCTTAAAGCTTTAGGAAAAAACCTGTCTAAAAGGTATATTAGTAACAGTTCTGTTCTTCTATTAATGACAGTGTCAGCTATCACTCATACCTTTAACACACATATATAACATTTGAATAGAAATAAAGCTTTTCATTGACTCCTAAAGATTTATGTATGATTTTTAGCTTTAGCGACATTTATAAAATTACATGCTATTAAGTCTGTAAATATTGAGGTTATAGGAACTTCTAAAGTCTTTGATAAAGACAATGTGTGGGAACATAACAAGTTGCTTTAAAATCTGTGTTTTTTCATATAATAGAAATAATAAGAGCTTAAATCATACCAGTGTGCCTTTTCTACAATGTAGTTAATAACTGTTCTATAACTCATAATCAGAATAAAAGTAAGGTTTCATCTTTTTTTTGTTTTAGATTTATTATTTAGTATTTATTTTTAGAGGGAGAAGGGAGGGAGAAAGAAAGGGAGAGAAACATCAATGTGTGGTTGCCTCTCGTGCGCCCCCTTACTGGGGACCTGGCCTGTGCTCAACCCAGGCATGTGCCCTGACTGGGAATCGAACCAGTGACCCATTGATTCACAGGCCGGGGCTCAATCCACTGACCACATCAGCCAGTGCTCATCTTTTTAAGGCAGATCTGAAATGGTTATTGATTGTAAATTAGAATAATGGTCACTTTGAGAATAAGAATGTTTTCCACATTGTCCTTAATTCTATACTTCATAAATAAAACTTAGCTGGTAAAAATTTAAGCTACAATCTTAACTTTATTCTTTTTAACTTGGTTTTGTAAAGTACAAAAAGGACTTAACCTAACAATATCAAATATTAAATAAACAAAAATATTGTTAAGGCCTATGTTTTAAAAAATTCACCTAAATTAATAATGGAAAATCCTTTGTTAAAGTGTATTTTCATGGATGTGAAGAGAGAATAGCATTTCCCTATTAGAAAATCAATCAGAGTCACATGTATTACAGCACCTGAAAAATTTGGAGGATAAATATATTTTTTTAATCCAATGAAGAGCCCATTCCATGTTCTGCTGCAAAATATAATGCTTTATGCACATATTTGAAAACAGTGCTTTTAGATTATATAAAGCTTATATTTAAATTATCATGTTAGTAATTTCTTGGTTATTATCTGATAATGGGCTTGTTGTATAGATAATTTACTTGTCACATGATTCCTACCTTTCAGGAATTTACATGTAAACTATGCCTTTTGACACAGTCTTATTATTTTACTACTTTCTGTAAATTGATAAGATTTTACCTACATCCTTACTGAGGTTTGGATAGCCATCATCATCTGATCAAATACCAAAAAATAGATTTTTTTCCTCACAAAAATATATATATATCAAGGAAATCAAAACTAGTGTGCCTTAAAGTGGTTTCTGTAATAAAAACCAGTATCTGTCGAGTGCTTACTTACCAAGTGCCAGGTGGTATGCCAGGTGCCGTATGCAGGTTGCCCTCGCAGTGCTGTAGGTGCTGCATTAAGCCCCACCCTGAAGCCGAGCAGGCTGGGAGCCTTGCCCAGAGTCACAGGGGCACGAAGTGATGAGAGCCACCAATCAGGTCAGGCGTTCTCACTTCCATTTGATGTCAGGGCACAAATTATGTCCTTTGTAATAATCCCTTGTGGGCAGTCTTCTTTTGCTCTATTTTCTTTCCTTCCTCCTTCTCTCCCTTCCTTTCATAAAAGTAGTACACATTTGGCATTTAAAATTTTTTCAGCTTTTTTGAGATATAACGGACACATAACACTGGATGAGTTTAAAGCCTATAGCACAGAATGACATGACGCACATCTCCTGTGAAGTGGTTACCGTGCCGTTTAGTTAACATCCATCACCTCATATAGTTACAGAAATTTTTTCTTCCTGGCTGTAAGAACTTTAAGGAATTACTGTCTTAGCAGCTTTCAGGTACGCTGCACAGCGGTGTTCGCTGCAGTCATCCTGGGGTACGCTGCACAGCGGTGTTCGCTGCAGTTATCCTGGGGTACGCTGCACAACGGTGTTCGCTGCAGTCATCCTGGGGTACGCTGCACAGCGGTGTTCGCGGCAGTCATCCTGGGGTACGCTGCAGCCACAGTATTTACCTTGTGACTGGAAGTCTGCTTCAGACCATCTTCGCCCAGTTCTCCCCTGCCTGTCCTCTGTTTCTGGTGACCGTAAATCCGATCTATGTTTTTGTGAGTTTGGGTTTTTTCAATTCCACATATAAACGAAATCACACAATATTGTCTTTCTCTCTCTCTGACTTAATTTCACTTGGCATAATGCCCTCGGGATCTGTCCATGTTGTCAGAAATGATATATCACATTTCCCTTTATTCATTTATCTGTTCATGGAGAGCTGCCATATGATCCAGCATTTCCACTTCTGGGTATATGTCCACGGGAAATAAAATTGCTACATTGAAGAGATACCTGTACCGCCAACTTAGTATTTTTTAAATTAAAGAGGATAAATATCACTTACAAAATCTACTCCTAGTTTATTTAGTCTTTTAAAGCATGCTTTTTATAACATTTTTCTATACCTTTAAAAAAATTGAAGTCTTATTTTTTGTAAAATTTATAAACTGTTTTCACTTTTTATGTCATAGTTATTTAAAATTTTTTGTAAATATTAGTATCTCATGTTTAAATAAAGTTTACAACTATTCACAGAACAGTTCCCATTTGGTTTTCTGTTTGAACAGTCACCTCCCAAAAGCTGCGCATCTGTGTCAAAGCAAGATACTAGCAAAGGAAGTCACAGGACTGGAGGACAGTGTCGTCTCCCTGTCAAGTCCCATCAGCCCTATTCCAGTTGGTCAGACGAGTCATTATCTATGACCCAGTCAGGTGAGACTAATGGTGGAGAGTTTTTTACTTGGTACTATATTTGAGATTCTCTTGATAAGTTTTCTCTAACTATATGCTGGTATTATGTTATCCTTGGTTGCATTTGCTAAGTGTTTTTTCTTGCCAAGAATAAATTGCATAATTCTTTACCTTTTACTGATAAATACACCTCTGATTACACCAAACATGACAAACTGTTATGTCCTCTGGTGTTCATAGGCATCATGTATTCATCAGGCATTTGTAGAATTTTTCCCACGTGTCAGGCATGCTTCTGTGTCCCCATAGCACTCTGTGCTTCCACCTGTTACGTCAGACAGCACAGCATTGCAACCAGGCGTTACCCAGCAGGTCTCCCCCCCAGAATGTGGACTTCTGGAAAGGAGGGTCTGTGTTGTGTTAACAGTTGTAGCACCGGAGCCTGGCGGGTACTTTGCATTGCATGTGGTAGGACTGTATTAAATGTTTCTTGAGTGAATTAATGACCATAAGGAGAGACGGGAGGCAGAAGAGCAGGATGGCGTGAAGCTCAGAGGAGGAGAAGTAGGGAAGAGACTGCAGCTAGCATTGGGGAGCATTGTCTGTTTTCCCATAACCTCTATCCTATTACAAATCTCTACAGTAAATAGATTTTGAAAGAAGGAGCAGCCAGCCTCTACTTTAAGAGACTTCAAGGAGCTAGTTCATCTTGGAAAGTATATCTAGAGAGACAATGTTCAGTTTGTGTCAGATTCTGAGGAAGATTAATACCGTATGGAGTGCATGCCTTCTGAGCTCATTTTCAGTTTACTTGAGTAAGCATTTAGTAAAGGAAAAGCAAAAAATATGCATATTTTTTGGTCTTTGATTCTATTCTATACCTTCTTTGTTTTCAATGTTTCAAACAGTAGTAAATCATGGAATTTTTCCCACACCTGTATTTATAGACCTCCCTTTTTCTTTGAATAACTGAATAATATTTCAAAGAGTAGATATACCATAGTTTATGTGATCATTTCCCTAGTGATGGTCATTTAGATAGTTTCAAAAAATTTAATTGCATATTATGTTGTAATAAACATTATATAATATGTTTATATGTTCTTGTTCAATATCTCAGTAGGAATAAATTCTCAGAAATGGAATTAATGGGTCATCCCAGTTGAAGAATCAACCAGTGAACGCATAAATAAGTAGAACAACAAAACCCAAAATTTCTCTCGCTGTCTATCCCTCCCTCCCTTCATTTCTCTCTCTAACATTGATTTTATAAAAACCTCTAGTTAAAAAAAAGAAAAATATATTTTATAGATAAAAATTGTTTTAAAAAAGAAAGCTATTAATATTGTTACATGTTTGCTTTCATGTGCTCTGGTCAAGTCCTTGCCTATAGAGTAACACGTCAGTAGACATACACTTGATACTTGGAAACATGGGTTCTTATCTTGGTTTTATTACTTGCTGGTGACTTCACGTTTCTTTCGCGTATTTGGATAATGTCTTCCATCTGGAGCAATGGATAAGTTTATACACCAGGATTAATGATGATATTTATAAGATTCTGTTTCTTTGGCAAGAATAGTTTTAGAAAACTAGCTCCAAGATTTCTGAATTATAGATGCTATGTAGGTATTCATGATGACAGCATTATATATAGTATTTATGGAAGTAATAAATTTTAATACAGCAAAATTATATAATACCTTTTTCACTTAAGTGATAGTTTGTTTTCTAACAAATTAATATAGTCAGCATGTGTCAAATAATCAGAAACTTAACTTTTAATTAAGTTATTCTGTCCATGAGGTTATTCTGTCTTGACATGTTTCAATAAACTGAGGTATCACTTACCTGCCACTTCTGCTTTCCCCCACCTCCCAAAAACCCTGTAGGAGAGAAGGCCGTAAAGACAATATGTTCATCTAGAGAGTTGCTTGGGAAAAACAAACAATTTGCAGAGATTCCCTTATATGTTACTGATGATGAATACTCTGCAGTAATACTAGATTTTGGTAGATATGTAATGCATTCCCGTGTGCTCTCATAGACTTTTATGTTGTTTCTAATTACCCTTAATTTGTACACTTCGGTTTCTTTAGTATTTAAAAATAGAAGCATTTCCTAAGGTCTTTCATCTAAAAACTCCAAGTTTCTCATTGACTACTATTAAATCTTCACAGTCATAGATGATAAAGCTATTTTTATTAGAAAAATCACTGCTGGTATATGCAGTTTTTAAAATACATTAATTAAAATCATTCTTTTTTTTTTTGGCAAAGTTGTAACTAAGCCTGTGGGCATGTGGTGGCTTCCTATGACATTTTATCAAAGTAACATCTCAAGCTTTGGAAGCACATAAAGCTTGCATGCTAAAAGAATAAACAGTTTAGAAGATCAAAGGTATGAGTTTATACTTTATTTTAGAAAGATTGTAATTTTGAGCTCAGCCTGCAATCTTACCCCCAATTATTGTGCTAGAATCATCAGTTGAGTCACTATAAAACCTACCACTAAGAGTTCAGAACCTTTGAACTCTGAAACCAGTTGATTATTTTTTCCAGAAATTGAAAGAAAGCATGAGGGAGATATTCCGTAGCTCTCTCTTCACCACCACTTTTTCCAGTTTTAAATTAAAAATATATTACCTAAAATATTGCCACATAAAAATGTAAAAATGTTTGCTTTACATGAATATTAATACTGCCACCATTTATTGAGCTTTTAGAGTAGTCCAGGTACGTACTGCACTACTTGCTTTTATATACCTTGTTCTGTCTCCACGCCAGTTCGAGAAACTGGTAAGGGTCAAACACCTTACCAGCCAACCAGCAGCAGATACAAAGTTGAAAATGGCTTTTATTATTACTTCATTTTATGAGTGTTCATCAGCAAGTAGTGAGCTTTGTCCAAGCTGAGGGCTCAGGGTGATGCCACTACTGGTATCAAATGGGTATAACTTCCCTAGTATACCTTACGTCAGTGACATAGAAATAACAAAACTTAGATTTCATTATTTCTAATCTAGATATTTGGGTCACATTACAAAATAAAGACTAATCTTTTAAAATTTAAATACATAACTAGTTATACATCTTAATCTGAAGTATCTTGGGGGAAAAAAAAACCCTAGTTATAAACCTGTGATGTCAGTTGCTGTATATCTGCATCTTCAGATTTATATGCAATATTATTTCTAGTGTAAAGCTGTTAAATGTCTCACTCAGCATTTGTGTTTGGAAACAATACCATTGTGATTCAAGGAGGACATGTAAGGAATAGTCATTTTTATTGTATATCATTTCCATATGTAGTGAAATAAGCAGTGTCTTTAAATGATACCTGTTTTCATACCTGTGTGTGACAGTACTCATAATGAAATGTCTTTCTCATAATTTTGCTGTGGCGGGACAACTACTTCGTGTGTTTGCATGGATGTATGTGAACTTTGGGGAAGAAAATAAGATTTAATTAGCTTCATTTCAGTTATTTTAAATATTTTAAGAGCTTCCAAAGAAAGGTTACAGTAGAGTATATTTCTCTATAATTTCTCTTCCCTTTTTTATGGTACTAAGACATCAGCTGATGACTCATCAGTAACAAAATTCCAGTTTGATTTTAATAACTATTAAATTATCTATTAACAACTAAGGGGAATGACAGTTAAATATGATTTACTTGTTGTTAGGAAGTAATTCCTTACAGAATGTCCAAATTTCACTACCCTAATTTTTAATTTTGAATTTTTTCAACTTCCAGTTGCTTATCTTTCCAAGACTTGGTACCTTGAGGTTTACTTACAATTCTAAATACTATTAGGAAGTGACAGTAAGTAGGAGGACCACGCCCACCAAGAAAATAGAGATTAGGGGAAAGGAGGAATGCAGATCACTAACACACTTTTTTCAGAAGCTCAAGTTTATTTTTCAATGTTAGGTTGATTTTACTTTTTTAGAGAGTTATTTTTCAATATTATTTTGTATTAGTTTCTAGACTGGCTTTATTTAAATGGAATATTACATTGCTGCTTTTTATTAGTGGCTACTGAGCTTTTTTGTAAGTTAAATAATCAAAGATTTTGTATCTCTTTCAGAAACCACGTCTGACCAGAGTGACATCGAGGGTAGGATCAGAGCGCTGAAGGACGAGCTGCGGAAGAGAAAGTCCGTCGTGGACCAGCTGAAGAAGGAGCAGAAGAAAAGGCAGAAGGAGAGGCTGAAAGCCCAGGAAGCCAGCCTGATCAAACAGCTGGAGGTGAGGCCTGGGGGGGGCTGGAAAGTGAGGGTCAGTGCCGATGTGAACCCTCAAATGTTTTTAATATTGTTAATGAAGTAATGAATTAGGATTTTTCAGTATGAGCTTGGTGCCACATTTTATCCTAACTCTTGGGGCAAAAAAACCCCACAAAACTTAGGCTATCTAAACAAACTCTTGCTTACAACACTAAATTAAATATTAAGTTAAAATGGTAAATGTTATAATATTAAGGATTAAAGTAATTATTAAAATGAATTAAAGTAATAAAATAAGGATATTTTCTGAATAAGATTACACACATGAAAGATTGATATCCATGCTCTCTTAAGAAAAGAACCATTAGATAAATAATTCTAGCTATTGAAATTATTACTGCCTTTTTGAAAAAAAATTTTTATTGTTAGAAGAATGATGTTTCATACCACACAACTTACTAGTGCAGCTCTTTGCACTATTCGGGTGGCTCCTGAATAGCTGTAAACTTGACTTTTCTTCCAAGATCCGGTAGCCTTCTCTGATTCTACAGGCTAGAACCCTTCTTTTGATAGCTTCCTCATTCTCTTTTCTCCAGTTTACTCAATCACCAGATATCATTGATTCCTTTTTATAATGCTTCTTGCTTGTCCCTTTTCATTCCTACCTACTGCCATAAAACCATTTGGGGCCCTTATGACCTCGTGCCTCTACTGTCTGCTTAGCCTCTTAAACGTCCCTGCTTCTGGCTGCTCCCCTGTTGCCTGCATACCTTCTACCAGGCTGGTGTTCTTTATAGAATCGGTCAGAACTTCCTGCTCATCGCAAGACTCCCTTCTCATGGCATCACCGGAGAAGGTCATTCAGCTTCCCCCAGACACTTCCATTAAGAGGAATTTCACATTTTCACACAGGGGGTGTCCTTGTTGGACTCGAGGTGCTCCAAGTATTAAAAAGCCAAGTATTCTGGCTCCAAGTGTAGCCAGAATTTCTGTTCTTTTAATTGTCCTCATTGTGATAACAGTAAGCCTTTGTTCCTTCTGCATGTGTTAATTCAGTCATCAAATATTCAAATGCCTGTTTATGTGCCCAGAAGTCAGTCAGCTAATTACCGTGTACACATTTTTCATCCTATACTCACAGTAACAGGGCGTGGATATTGCTATCCCTATTTTTCAGATAAGGAACATGAGTTTCAGTGAAATTGAGGATATCCAGGGACACATAACTCAAATGCGGTAAAGCTAGGGTTTCAGTCGAGCCCTATGTCCAAATCCTATGTGCCCTTACTGTTAAGACTGTTACACTGCACTGTCTTCCATCTGGAAAACAGGCCCTGCTAACAGATCACAGAAAACAGACATGCACACAGCTTACGCAATGGGATTGGGAAACATACTGGGCAGTTCATGTTGGAGAGTGATGGGGAACAGGATTTAAAAATAAAGAATCGTGTTTAGGACCTCAGAAAACAGACTGGTAAGTTTGGACTTCCTCCTGTAGGTCAGCAGTTGTCAGCCTAACTACACACTGGAGTTCACTGAGGAGCTTTTTGAAAAACAAGGATTTCCAGGCTCGCTCCCAGAGGTTTTTATTTGATTAGTCCAGGGTGGGGCCCAGGATTTAAATCACTGCTATAGGTTGCGAATCACCGACAGCTGCATGGAATACTAGGAGATCGAATAGCGTTGCTCAGAAATGTCCGTAAGTAGTATGTTAGCCAGAAAGAGCTCTAGAGGGGTGCCATGAAAATCTGTTTTAGCCAGCCTCGTAATAAATGGTTTCAGGAAAGACAAAAGAGTGTTCTGTGTTTAGGCTTTACAAGTATAGTATATGATGGAGAAATACATAATCGTAACAGTTCACATGAAAAAAAACTTACTGATTTTATTTGAACACAGATTTAATAAATCACTTTCAGGTCTGAGACATCACAGTCCTCATGCATACCTAGTGAGTTAGATCATCTAGCTGTAGTAGATGTTTAATACCAGAAGTTACTTGATTAAAACATTGAGAATTCAGAGTAATATAGACAGTGGGAGTCATAAAAGCAGGGACTTTAGCTCCGGTTTTAGGGATCTTTAGCAATAGACAGGCATCCATCTGCTCACTGATTCATTCTGTAATATCTGCTGACAGCCTGCTTTGAGCCAGACACAGTAAACATACAGTGTTGAGCAAATACTTATAGTCTCAAATAGTGAGAAATGTAAAAGTGGGGAATTTAGCCCAGAAAACTATGGAGAGATTTAATAGATGGAGAGCTTGCCTTAGATTTCATACAAATTAGAATTATACATTAGTGAATTTTGTTTATAGCATGGCTAGTGACTGGGAGACATCTTCTGCAATTCTGAAGTACCATACTTCCAACCACGCCCTTCCCTCCCTTCCAAATTTGTATTTCTAAGTGCTTACTCCCTTAAGAAGCCAACATTCATCAAAATTCAACATAATAATGACATGAAAGTATTAGGCCACCCTTTAAAGAATAATTATATCAGCAGCTGAGGAAGATTTTTAATGTGGCAGTGCCTGAGTAATTGCTTCATAAGTATTAAGGTTCTCCAGATTGAGACTTCATCATTTTCTAATTGATATTAGGATGACAATTCTGCGTCTTGCTTATATAGAGAGTACTTCAAGAAGGTTGTGCAAATAACTGTTGATAGTTCTTGGGAATGATACTCATGCTGCGAGAGAGATTTTTACATTATGTCTTCTTTACTGTTTGGATATTTTATAGAATACACTATTTTGTAATTTAAAATAGTTTAAAAAATTCCATATAGTGATTCTTCTGATTTTTCTAAACTTAGTCATATGACGAATTCATTAAGAAAACTGAAGCCGAGCTTAGCCGAGATCTGGAAGCATCGCCGACAGCCAAGCCCCAGATTAAAATGCTCTCCTCTGCTTCTGAAAAACCCAAGATCAAGCCCCTTCCACTACACAGGTAGAAACTTTTGGTAACTTACTTATATTCTGTCTTGTTTGAGAAAAGTGTAAAGAAAGATTTTTAGTAGAAGCTATCTAAAGTAACTGAAATTGTAATGGCAAAAGTTATTTGTTTATAGTTTTAGTTTTACAGAAGTAAAATTCTTATATAATTATAAATCAAGTTTAAAATAAGGTGCAGATTTTAAAATATATTCTTAATGCTGAAACGTGGTGGGTGCAATGAAAATAGTAGTCTCCAGTATTGCCAGTCATAGCATGGTAAGTCTGTATAGACCTTTTGGAAAAACAATTTGTAACTTTTCACTCAATAATTCCACTTCTGGAAATCCAACTTGAGAAAATAAGGGTATCAAAAATCTCTGTTTGCAAAAACATGTTTATCATAATATCCTTTATATTAATAAAACATTGGAAGCAGTCTTTGTGTCCAAAAATGAGTGAATAACCCAGTAAATTATGGTCCTTTCCAGGGTAGAATACTGTGCAGCCAGTAAATGCAAATACAGAGGCACTAAGTAACAACATAAGAATATATAATTTGGTATATTAAAAAGTTAAGTTGTAATATTTGGGCTAGCTTTAGAACAATGAGTAGGGGTTAGGCAGGTCAGTAGGATTGAGAAATAGATGGACATTTAAGAGAAAAGGGTATTCATGAATAACCAAAAGCATATCATAGAAGCTGAACATAATAGTGTTTTGCTGGAGTTAGGAGAAGAAACTAGAAAAATAAAGACCGAATTTTGAAAACTTAATACTCATTTTTAGTAACTTTCTATTTTATTTTTTAGAAGATGTCAAGCCTTTAAAGCTTTTAGAGAAATATTTTGGAAATTTTTTTGTTCGTTACAAAAATAATACAGGCTCATTACAGTTAATTTAGTGTTACCTGAGTTTGAATCTTGGCTGCGGTACTAGCTCACTGTTCCGCTTTGATCAAGTTATGTAACCTCTCAGTGCTTCGGTTTTTAATAGAGATTTATATTGTTGTAACAACACCCGACTAATGTACTTCTTACGAGGGTTATAAGATGTAAGTTAGAACAGAGCCTAACATAATTAGCACTATGTATTAGTTACTATTATTATTGTTATTAGAATATTCAGGAAAGCAGTAAAAAAAAAAAACAACGTTTAAATTATATCATACAAACTATCACCAAAACTAAATGTCAGTAACTAGATTTATTTCTTTCTAGGATTTTTTTTGCTGAGATTTTGTGTGTATTTTTGTTACATATACAGTTTTTCATTATAAACTGTAAACTTTAATTTTTACATAATATACTATTGAATGGTTTTTAGAGTTTTACTAACCAAGCTGCTGAGGGATCTTAATCAGAGAATGATGTGATCATTTGTGTGTAGAGCGATCTTTCCGACTGTAACATAAAGGAAAGAAAAGCAATAAGCCTAGAAGTAGGGAGACAGCAGTCTGAGCCATGCCTCAAATAATTTGCACTAGTAGGAGTGGAGAACAGGAAAGAGATGTTAGGGAGATTTAAGAAATAGACTTGGCTAATTAAAGGGCTGGACAGGGTCGTAGGGGAAATCTAAGGTGATCCCCAGGTTTGTCTTCAGCAGTTGGTCGGACCAAGGTTTCTTTAGCCTAAAAGCTATACAGTGATCCTCAGGTGTCCTTTTGTGGGAAGCTCATGGGTTTGGTTTTAAAATGTTAATTTCAAGATGCCTGTAGTTCATGTAAATGGAATTACCCAGGACAGATGTCAGGGTCAGATGTATGGGGATGCGCAACATGTGAATGGTGGCTGAAGCCATAACTATAGCAGCATCGCCCAAAGAAGGCCTACATTCAGAGGGAATAAAAGGAAGCCAAGTACTAAATACCATAAAATAGCAACATTTAGGAGCATTATGAAAGGCAGGAGTGGAAACCAAGTGAGAGACAATAGCATGAGGTGGAGGAATGAAGATTTGAGGAGGGGGGGATTTTATTTGAGGCTCGAGGCATCCTCATAAGCTGAGGGGGGAGATCTCCAGAGTGAAAGACTCCGACTGTAGGAGAGAGGCTGAGTAATCGAGGCTGTGGAAATGTGTTGGATTTGGGGCAGAATGAGGTTCGAGCAGTTAGCTTTGAACCAGTGTCAAAAGACACACCTTTTTCTTCCCTGTGGACAGGAGGAAAGGCAGTTGGAATGGCTGTGAATTATAGATAATTTTGTAGGTATAATTTTATATCTAAATTATAGATAATTTAAAGGCTATGAAGGCAAGAAAGTTCATGCTGATGGCCTCTGTTTTCCTTATTAAAAGAGGCAAGATCGTGTAGTAAGAGTGATGAGGGTCAGAAATAGGCTTGATGAAAGTAGCGAAGGTTGGAACAACTTCTGTGGAGAAGAAGAAAGAAGTGGTTTTCTAAGAATTGGCCCCTTTTTGTTATTAGTTATTGTTGTGTCAGCCCTACATTTATTTCTGTTCATTAATTTCTACCTCAGATCTGAAACAGCAAAGAATTGGAAATCACTAACAGACTCAGAACGTTCCAGAGGATCCCTGGAGTCTATTGCTGAACATGTTGGTATGTAACTAGAAAAAGTAAAGATGCTGCATCTACCTAGACTGAGGATTTATGCTCATGCCTACACACTTCTCCCTCTTCAGCTTTTTGATTAAAAATGAATATCTTAAAGACAATAGATTATTTAATATTTTGAGTTACTTTTATACTTTAAAGTGATGTATTGATTATGCATAAGTTATGTGAATCACTCTTTATTATCTCAAATTTATGATGAAAAACTGAGGCATAAAGACATTAACCTAAAATGCCTGAGCATGGCAGCAGCATCTCTAAATTCTTCCTTAATCAGCTTTTGTTTCTGATGATGTATATTTTTAGCTTATACTATTTCTCAGGGTAAGAGGTGTTATATATTTTTTTTTTCAATTTAATCGAAAGAAGAATTACTGAAAAGAAAGTATAAGTCAGTGAGGAAATAAAGCAAAACTGAGACATGAAAAGCCTACCTAATAATAATGATGAAATAGCAGTTTGAATTCAAAACATTTAAATCTTGGTTTGTTAGCACATCAAATCTTACTTTTCTTTGCAATATTAGTTCTTAAAGTGCTGTACTTGCAGAAATAGTTGGGTTTTTTTCTTTTCATTTTTTTACATTCAAGAGCTTAGTTAAAATGCCCAGGAAAATTCATTCTTTTAGAAGTACATATAGAATTATATTTGTCCTTCCTTTATTGTTTTACTATTTGAGAATGTATATAATATTTATCACACAATTCTTGTTTTTCATTATTTGAGAATGATCATGCAAATCAATTACTGCATAAATTTAGATTAATTTTTCTTCACTTTTTAAATTAGAATACCAGTTAAGAAATTATTCTAATTTAAAATTTTCAGTCATTTTAAATGTTTGTTTATTGTTGGTACAGTATATTCTTCTAAAGGGAAAACTTACCTAATATAGTAACCAAAACAAATAATACTTATTGACTAGAGTGTTTCCTAACTAAATTTGGCTTTCATTAAATTTTGGTTCTAGAAATTGAGAGATTGAAATTAAACAAATTTTTAAGTGATTGTTTTTTTTTCCTTTAAGATGCTACATTGGCAGGTTCTGAGAGATCAGTATCAGAAAAGTCTTTATCTGCATATGCAAAGAGAGTGATTGAATTGGACAGTCGAACAGAAGAGCATTTTCATTCTTCATCTCCAATTCTTAGATCATCAAGGAAAACCAGAGCAGAATCTGGAGATTCTCTAGAAAATGTACCTTCGTTACCGCTTCTCAAAGAATTAAATGCCCCTAATAGAATTCTGGATGTGTCAGGTGCCAAGGTTGTTGAGGAAGAGGCTAGTCAAAGATCAGAAGTGCAAGAAATAAAATACACAAACTTGGAGGAGAGTCCAGCTGACGAGGCCAGTTTTAAACAGTCTAGGAAGTCGGATGTCTTACTGAAACTGGACCTGGAACAGGGCGATTCATCTGAAATCCTTTCAAGGAAAGAGCTTCCTGTACACGCTACAAATAGTCAGAGAGACTTAATTAGATTAGCCATTGAAAACCTTAGTAAGAAAGAGTTGAAAGAGAGACAATCAGACCAAGATATGGATCATAGTCAAAACATCGAAAGAGAAAAAGATACTCATCAACAAGAGAACGTAAAGGAAAGGGACTTGTCTTTGTCAGAATGGCTTTTTGCTCCTAAAGAAAGAACATACTCAGAAGACTTTGAAGTGTCTTCTTTCAAGAAAGACATCTCAGCTGAATTGTGCAAAGATGACTTTGAGGTTTCATCTTTGCTGTCACTCAGGAAAGACTCAAAGTCTCGCAGAGATAAGTCACAGCCCACAAGAAGCTCTAACAGTAGAGCCACTAGCTTTGGTACTGATGATGACATCAGTGAGTGCCTCAGTGAGAAAAGCCTTTCTGTCCATAGCAATATCCACTCCGAAAGGCTGTTAGAACTCAAGTCCCCTACTGAGCTCATGAAAAGTAAGGAGCGCAGCGATGTAGAGCATGACCAGGGGGTCACCGCATCCTCGTCTTTGGCTTCAGTTTCTGTTGCAGATGAGTTACTTGATTTCCACATTGGTGATAGGGTATTGATTGGCAATGTTCAGCCCGGAACTCTTCGATTCAAAGGCACAACTAGTTTCGCTAAAGGGTTCTGGGCAGGAGTGGAGTTGGACAAACCCGAAGGCAATAACAATGGAACCTATGATGGCGTTGCGTACTTTGTGTGTGAAGAGAAGCATGGCATCTTTGCTCCTCCTCAAAAAATATCCCACATTCCAGAAAACTTTGAAGACTACGTAGACATAAATGAAGATGAAGACTGTTACTTAGATGAACAATATCACTACAATAACCAAGAACAAAAACATACAGAGGGCCCCACACTTGATGGAGAAAAGGATGCAACTGAATATTTGTATGAGAAATCTTTACCTAGTATGCACCATGTAGAAGCCTCAGTTGATAGAAGCCTTAAAATAGAATCAGACAACGTACAGGATGTTTCTGGGGTACTTGAAGCCCAAGTTCACCAGCAATCTTCAGTGGATTCACTGATGCCTTCAAAGGAAAACAAAGACCTTATTTCTGGTGCCACAGAAGAGGTTTCCACTGCTGCAGAAGACGATACTTTAGACAATACCTTTTCTGAAGAATTAAAGAAGGCACAGGAGTTTACAGAAGAGGAGGAGAACCTGTATCCCGAGGTTTCAGAAAAGCGTTCCACCCCATTGCTGGACCTTCTAACAAGAGAAAAGAACCAGCTGGAAGCCCAGCTGAGGTCATCGCTAGGTGAGGAAAAAAAGTCAAAGGAACAACTGGAAACAGTCAGCTTACTAACAGACAGTTTACTGGACGTCTTTCTGGCAGACACAGTCAATCAGCTACAGCAAATCAAAAAGGCCAGGAATGAGAAAATCCAGCTCAGTAATCAGGAACTTCTTGACGATGACCAGAAGAAAGTCCCAGCCCAAGGCCTGTCCCCACCTCTCGAGGAGCGGTCACCAGGTGTTCCAGGTTGCTTCCTAAGGTCTGAATTGGATGATGAAAAGGAAGAGATTTCCTCACCGGATATGTGCCCCAGACCTGTAAGTAGTGTGCCTGGAAGAAATGTCAAGCAGCCTTACCTTTGTAGTGCATGTTCAATACGGATGGCTTTTTGGTGGTGCGTCTGTTAGATGAAGATCACTGTGCTAGTTTGTGAAGACCGTGTGACTGTTTTTCTGTCAGAAGCATAATTGTTCTCTGTTGTGTCATGAGTGGTCACTGTAGGTGGTCACGCACACTGGCAGGTTGATGCCAGTTTGACACCCCTGAGTACTGTTTGCAGACTAGAGTCCCTTGCAGACTCATTGAACAGTTTATTCCATGGAGCTTTCTAATGGTTCTCAACCCAGTTCTGTTTTGCCTGTGAAATTATTTGTCCCCATACCTACTCAGTCATAGTTGCCCTGCAAAGATCACCAGTTGTGACATTGATTCTGGTAAAGCTGAATTATATTCATTGTAACATACACTCGTGCCATCACCTTGTGTAGGTCATCCGTGGACAGTTGAACAAAAGTAATGATTGTGAGTAACTTGACCAAATAATCACTAAAGGTGAGAAATTTCGTATCCCAGTTCCATATATCCCAGAGACAAGACAGTTCTACAGAAACAGAATGATGATGATACAAAAAGGAAACAAAAAACTATATTGATTAACATGTGTTAATCAATAAACATTTATACAGATTCAGCTTACGTAAGCAGACTTATGGGAAGCAGGACAGTTTTTTTCTTATATTATTAGTAGCTACTGTATTGTTTTTATTTGGCTTATCTATTAGAGATATAGTAAATATACAAATAATATATTTGCTTTGTCTTAAAAAAATGCGTAAGTGATCTGAGGCCACTAAGTAGGCTCTATTTGAACGGTCCGGTTTCTTGCAGGAGAGTCCAGTATTTGGCGCCAGTGGGCAGGAAGAGCTTGCTAAGAGACTTGCTGAACTTGAGATCAGCCGGGAGTTCCTGAGTGTGTTAGGAGATGATCAAGACTGGTTTGAAGAAGATTTTGGTTTGAGTTCTTCTCACAAGATCCAAAAAAATAAGGCAGAAGAAACCATTGTGCCTCTCATGGCAGAACCAAAAAGAGCTCCCCAAAAGCCGTGTGAAACACTCTTGGCAGTCCCACACACTGCAGAGGAAGTGGAGACCCTCGTACGCAGTGCGGCAGAGGAACTTTGGAAATGGAAGGAATTGGGTCATGATCTCCAGGGCGTCGGTATCCCTGCAGAGCTGCTCGGCTGTGGCAGTAAGGGGCTGGACTTAGAGAGCACGAGTAAACGGGTCTACAGACAGGTAGGTGGTGGGGAAGGAACATCCTGGCTTCTGAGCTTCCCTCTGGTCGGAAATTCAGGTTCTTAGCCGTTTTATTTTGTTTTATTCTCTATTAAGGCGGTTTTTGACTTAACGAAAGAGATTTTTGAGGAAATATTTGCTGAGGATCCCAACCTGAATCAACCTGTCTGGATGAAGCCATGCAGAATCAACTCGAGTTATTTCCGACGAGTGAAGAACCCAAACGACCTTGATGAAATCAAGGTAAACTGCAGACTTCCTGACCTGCTGTTCTTTCATGCAGATCCATATACACTCTAAACACCCAGGGACTCCTGGGTGTTACTCATCTGTCCGCAAGGCCCGTTCCGTCGTGGGTATTCAACAAATTAATTGAATCCGTGAGCAGTGGAAGGGTGGGGGTGAGAGAGAACCCTGAATCCTCAAGATTTGCACAACAAAACATAACTTTTAATAGAGTTTCCAGATATGTACAATTTATAATGTCTAAGAAAAATTAGGAAATACTCAGGGAGATAAATTATTTCATCTCATAGGCAGTTTAGGTGAGTTTTTGCTGATATAGAAGTAAGTATAATATTCTAGTAGTATACCTGAAAACACATCATGTATCAAACATGCCTGCCCTAGACACATAGATGTTACCTTCCCATATTGGATTTTGGAGGCTTCAGATTGGTAATGGCTTTTGAAATATGTAAGATAGTAATACGACACATAAAAAACATCGTTCATTAACTAAGGAGCCCCGTGAAAAGATGAGGTGCCCTTGAAGCCACAAGGACTCCCAACAGACCAGCGTCGGCGTTACATCGGCGGACACTCTCTGCCTGCTCACTTGTTTCTTCAGTTCAGCACACGCTGTGTTTTCAGCGCAGCGCCGCTCACACTTTGGTGAGCACGCGGATCAGCTGGGCGTCTTGTTTACATGGAGGTTCTGCCCCGGCAGGTGTGGAGTGGGACCTGAAGTTCTGCGTTTCCGTCAGGCTCCCGGTGACGCCAGTGCTGTGGGCTCTGGGACCACTCTCAGTAGCAGGGCTCTGGAGCTGTGTGTTCCACACTTCACTGGTCGTAGAAAGTTTTTCTTTCCTCAGAGAGCATACCTCTGATTACTCACCTTGTTGATGTGTTTTCTTACATCATCCAGGAGTCTGTGTGGACTATCCAAATACATTACAGGAACGTGTACATTATTCTGGTGTATAGTGTGATGGCACTGCCTTAAACAACGGTCTTTTTTTAAATTGAGGTATAATTGATGTATTGGTTGTGGATGTACAACATAGTGATTGTAGTGATTCGATGTTTGCATGCAGGGTCCAGCACAGATGACCTCTTTTTTATTACAAAATCATAAGCATGTAATTCTGTAACATAACAGTATCACACTCAAGCATACCATGTGACATTTTAAGCGAAATGTTCAAATTAAAACTATAAATTATCACACCCATATTATTACCCTGCCAACCCCACTCCAGCAGGTGTTTCTCCTGCCGGACCCTGCGTGTTGTGGGAAGGTCACCACAGCAAGTCTAGTTGTTAACCACACGCAGTTACAAATTGATTTCCTTGTAATGAAAACTTTCAAGCGCTAGTCTCTTAGCAGCTTTCAAAAGTATATAATACAGGGTTATTAACTGTAGAAAGCTTTTGAAAATATTTTGTACTGACAGAACACCAGCAAGTATTTACGAGATATAATGTATGCTTACATCAGGGAAGGCAAAACAGGCTGAGTCCAGCCCACCATGTGTTTTTATGAATAAAGCTTCATTGGACTGCAGCCATTTGTTTACATAGTGTCTATGTCTACTTTCCTGTTAAAATATTTATAATCTGGCCCTTTACAGAAAAAGTTTTCTAACCCCTGCTTAAGGGGTTAGATTAAGGTAAGTACCCCCCAAAAAAGTTTTCAAAGATTAATTTGATTCATTTAAAAAATTATTATTATTTTTTTTAATGATTTTCAACCTTGAGGAATAGAGTAGTAGAACCACCTCGGAAGCTTTCTCAAAACACTGGTGTGCTTCTTTCCTGCCAGCTCTCCACAGGTGACGCAGCCTTGAATGCGCGTGCGTGTGCATGCTGTGCGGGCTGGGAGTGCTGGGGCTTGGGGCACGCTGGTGGTTTGAGAACCACCTGAAACGATTCCGAGTCGTAAGTGTGCCCTTCCCTCCACTAAGAACATTGTTTTTTTAACAAGTAGTAATATTGTAATATATAGACTTAAATACATATTTAATATACTTTATACTTAAAATAGCAGAAATCCAAATTATTTTAATAACAAATAAGTTGAAAATAAGATATTTAATATATATCAACAATATCTGAGTATCAATATAATGTACAGTGATGCTCCCCACTAATTTTAATGTTGAAATAACATTTTGTAAAGTTTTTTCATGATAATAGTTCAAATAGCATTAGCAGTAAAACTGTTATGCTTTTTATACTGCAGGGTTGGGTAATATTTTTAAAATTTAACATATTGAACCTTGGTGCTTCAAAATAAACTACCCCAGCCAAAGCCGTATACTTTGCTCACGTAGCGTTGCTCCCAAATTTATGTTGGGCTTTTCAGGGTCAGAGATTTACGTTAGGCTTTCTTTAACAGTTTTGCCAGCTTGAAGTTAGCTAATAGTGGTTCTTGGTAGAGAGGACTCTAAAGCAATTTTTTCTTTGCAGATTCATCAGTGGTTTTACTTTTTTTAACATCTAAAATGTTTATCTTTATTTTTTCAATAGTTTTTTTATTGTATTTTTTCCATTACCGCATGTCCCCTCTTACATCCTCTCCTACCTCCCCCTGCCTGTTTTACTTTTGCACGTTGTGTAAAAACAAAAATTCTTTAAGTGAATAAAATCTGAGCTTCTGGAATACTTTTCAGATTGGTAAGTGGAAGAAATTTGTATGTTCTTTTGTTATAAATTATATTTGCACAAATCTGCATTACAGCATGAAATCTCAGGAACTTTGTTATTTGTGTTTTATTCATTCCTTTTATTTTTACAGAACTTCATAGCAACTGAAGTACTCAAGTTGTTCAGTCTTAAAAAGGAACCAAACCACAAAACAGATTGGCAGAAAATGATGAAATTTGGAAGAAAGAAAAGAGACCGAGTGGATCATATCCTGGTCGGTGTATATAACTGAGCTGTTTTTATTTTGACCATCTCTTCTGAAATCAGAACATAGTTAGAGTCTAAAAAGAAAAGGAAATAGAATTAATCTTAAGTCTGTAATAGTAAAGTCAGATAGCTTTCATTTGCTGCATTTCTGCCCCTCAGGTTTGGAAATTGCATTCTTTTGAACTCAGTAGATGAATATTTAACCTAACAGTATTTTGGAGGTGTGGAGAACTTGAGAAATAAAAAGTTGAGAGGAAGCCAGGTTTAAGGAACTGAACTGAGCTTAAGGCACTGAATTCAGCCCACGTAGACTGAATGTAAAGCCTGTTCTGCCGCTCACTTGGAGAGGAGCCTTGGGCTAATCATGCGACTCTGTGGTGCCTCACTGCCCTGTCTGCAAAGTGAGGGAGTTAGTAATAGTACCTGCTGAAAAGAGGATCAAGACGATTAAAAGAGTATTTATGTATGTCTATATGTAACAGTTCCCTGTGGGGGAAAAGGAGAATGACATGATTGTTACACTGACTTTTTAATGTAATTTAATTAATTTTTATATAGCACACATTAATTTACATACAGACAGACACCTTCAGGAGCAGGGGGGATGTGGAGTAGAACAACAGACTGTAAACACCAGAAGGAAAGCATGGAAGCAGATCCGCAGGCTCTCAGATCTGTCGGTTGCCTCGGTTGAAGCTCCACGTTGGGGTTGTGCTTTCTGACGGCCAGAGCAGAAAGGAAAACGTGTTCGCTCTCCCCGGCTGAGAAGGCAGCAGTTCGTCTTCCTAAGGAGGAGCCGAGCTTTTGCCGATACTGACGAGAGCGCTGTGGGGGCCCACCGAGGGGGTGCCCGAAGGGGGCCCGCCGAGGGGACGCTGGGAGGCGCAGTGGGTGATGTCCTGAGCTAGTATTTCTGTGGGAAGGGCAAAAACGATTTCATTAGGACAGTGCTTTCTAGATTTTATTATTGAGGAAGAAATTGCTCACAGAACAGATTTAATGCTAAAGGCTGAGATAACAGAAAAAGGAAAGCTGTGCAGCTTTGTTTGAACAAATGAACAAATTCATGGGAGGAGTGAAATCTTTTGTGGGAACACACCTGTGTGTCCCAGAACATGGTTCTCCTGCAGCTCCAGCTTGAGACGTGTTGCGTTAGGCTGTTGCCTGTGACGTTCTTCGTAAGAGAGGAACACCAGTTCCTTGGTAGGTTAAAATATTTCTTATACATGCACACAGAATCACTCTTTGGTCAAAGAAATACAGTACAGGAGAGTCTGAGTTAAACACGTTCATTTACTGATGGCCCATTGCAAAACTTCCAGAGGGAGCCTTCTAGAAAGTATTTGACCATAGAGTCCTTTTGGTGGGCATATCTGTTCATGCAGAGGAAGTCAGGGAACCGAAGAATGGATATTTACATATCCTTCGAACGACCCCCCTCAAAGAGAAAGAACGTAGCAGCCACCTTGTCACACATTTTCAGCCCTGGCCAGGGGTATGTGTTGGCCGTACCGTTCTTCCTTCTCTCTCGCGCTCAGACTCCTGGGGGTTGTGGTCTCTTCCTCCCAAGGGTCTTCTCATTTTCTTCATAATGGCAGCGGTGCAAGTTCCCCTCTTCGCTTCCTCTGCCTTATTCAAGACGCATCTGTGGTCAGGCCAAGTCAGGAGCTGGTTGTTAAGTGTCTTTTTTGCCAAGTTAGACTTCCGTTGGTGACCCCATCACTGCAGTAGCGGCTGTGTTTGGGACTAGGTCAGGGTTTGGAGGCCACGCTCCCCACCTGGGCTCCACGCCACAGACATCACTATGTGTAATGAGCCTTCTGTGTTCCTTTCGTAAGTAGCTTTTAAAGTTTTTATTGTAAACAAGCAAAAAATCTTGAGCAGTTCTCATTGGATTGTGGTTTACCTTAGGAATCCAAAAATCCTAAAATGCAAAAAGAACAAGTATTGCATAACAGTGATCTTTAAAATAAGCTTAAGTGATAGTACATTTTAAAAAACAAATTTTATTCATTTATTTATGATACTCCAGAATCATATCCAGTATTGTCTTTGAGTATATATATGCACTTTATAATTATGAACCATATAACTGGTCATTTGCTTTCTTCTCTCCCCCTTAAGTTCTTATACATATTATCTTATGTTGACACAGACAACATGCTTGTAATCCTTAATAACTATAAAATACTAGGATATTGTCAAATTCCATTTTGACAGATTTGAAGCTGTTTGACAGTTTCAAAGCTACTTTTATTTTAGTTGGCAGTTGAGGTTTTTCACACTTTCTGCAACTTGGAAAGGGATGCCATCATCACATAACCTACCCTCTTTCCCTGTCTTGTGTCCTCAGCCTGTATGGGGCCACAAAGTCAGCAAATGGAATAACTTCTCTAGCTTTTATGGGAATCTCTAACCTTTGTGTCTCTAAACCCTAGGTACAGGAGCTCCACGAAGAGGAGGCGCAGTGGGTGAACTATGACGAGGATGAGTTGTGTGTGAAGATGCAGCTGGCTGACGGGATCTTTGAGACCTTGATCAGAGATACTATCGATGTTCTGAATCAGATCAGTGAAAAGCAGGGGAGAGTCCTACTTGTGTGACATCTTGCAAATAAACCGAACACTGAGTGCTAATACGAGTCCTGGGCCTTTCTGCCCCCGATACACACCCCATCTCCATCATAGCAAGAGTGCTTCCGGACCTGGTGCCTGCTCTCAGAGACTGCTGGTGTGGAGTCCGTGGGACAGTGCGGTACGTCTGGTACTGCAGCCTCTGCCTCAGAGACTGTCCGCTGGATCGATCGTTGGGCGGCACACACCTGGTGTTGACACACAGCCCGGTTCTGCACCTCTTGTTAGCACCCCGACTGGGTCTGCGGTGAGGGCTGCCAGCACCAGACTTACCTCGTAGCTTAGACTAGGGCGTCACGGTCTTGAGCTGAAGTCAGGCAGGAGAGGTGTAGAGATAAATGCATCGTACCATTTTTGACACGTAATCCTGGTCTGTGATAGTCTCTAAACAGTGTTACACCCTTAACCACTTCTGAATAGGCAAGTTTAGTCATGAGTGCCTATTTCATAGTCCGGAGTTCGTTTCGCTTCTTTCTGAAGGCCATTCTCTTCCATTACTGTAGCCGAGCAGCAACAAGCGGACTGTCAAGTTAGCAGACATCAAAGATAGCCTTGCTTTCTGAGCACCATCGAAAGAATTATAAACCTTTGCATTGTTTTTAGTTTTCTCTATCTGGGCATGAAAACAAAGCAATGCCCTCACTGAAGACCGAGCTCAGAGGACCGATGCCGGGCTGGCTTTTCTGCCCTGCGTCTGCCCCGCACTTTCTTGCTCTCCTGAACCTCTGCCAGCTGCTCCCGGAGCCCCAGGCCCTCAGGACCGTCTCAGGCGTCCAGGCATGGCAAAGGTGGACACCATTCATTTTGGCCTTCCAACTTGCAGCTCCCATCCCTCCCCGAGAAATCAGAGACGCTGTTACTTGAATGATTTGGGCAATGAGTGTGTGCACCAAAGACAAAAAGATATTGTCTGTTGTTTGTGTGCTTGTTTTGTGCTATGGAACATTTTTTAATTTATTTTAAGATAAATTATTAAGTTGAAAATGTGTGTCCCTATTCACAAGTGAAAGAATCTTCTTAGAGTAGTTCCACTTCCGTCTTGAAGCTTCTCTGGTTCATAGTCTTTGCACAGGAAACCTGCAGTTTTAACAAACCCATGCACCGTGGAAAGAAGATGGGCTTTTCCAGGACCACCTGCGGTAGCAGGAACGGGATAAGATGATTTAAAGACACTGTAGAATTCAGCTCTGCCTCTCTTGCAGCGTTGCTCCTCACAACTATTACCTTGTCCTGAAAACCTGTCCAGGCTCCAGCTGCTACACTAGAGCATGTGCAATGATGCTCTCCCGAGACCTCAGTGCCCTGCCTTCCCGACTGGTTCCTCTTAATCAGTGTGTCCTTCTTCAAGTATCTAGAAGAATGTGGATAATCTTAGGCGTGAATGTAAATGCCTTAATATGGAAGGTCCTGATTAGAAGCATGATATAAGGCATCCACCGGATTCCTATTTACAAGTATCCTGGAACGTTACTGCTTCAAAATATGTTAGAAAAAACCCAAAGATGGTACAATCTTTGTGTGCACATTCGTTCCTTTCTGCATCTTTCCTCCAAACTTGCCTTTGCATCTCAAATGCTTCACTATGCACACTTCCATTCCTCTTTGGTTTCATCCTGTCATTATGAGAAACTTAATGAAATAACATTGGAATATTTGCATTTTGCACAATGACTGGTATGATAGCTCTTGACAAATAAGGAAAGCACTGAAACGTGGTCGGTTCTTGGGAAATGCTCGGATCGATGCATTGCCAGCATTTCTTCTGGGCGTTGCATGTTGGGCCGTAGTCTCGTAGCCATAATGAGCGAATCGACTTAAGAGAAGCTGGGTACTTGGGGTCATTAACCAGTAGTGTGGGGATCCTATTTTCATGTGGCCAAGGAGAAGCGAGGGCTTTTCTTTGCAGCTCGTGTCATTTGGAAGACAGCAGGCCACCTTGTCTGCATCCTCTGCTGCTCGCGGGATAACAGCTGTCCTTATGACACTGACACTTTTCAGCTGCTGTAAATTTTTTATAAAGGAATATAAAAAAATGTAATAGGAACATAGGTGGTTTTTCTACATCCTCATTATTTGGACCTAAATCAATTTTTAACAAAAAATTTTATCTTTATTCTTTCTGACATTGCGATTTCAGAAGAGGAAGAAATGCTGGGAGCCGGTTGAAGGAGCCGACCGGGCTCACGCCCCCGGCGGGAGTGCCGTGCCACTGAGCGCGCGGCGGTCCAGTTCCGGCGTGCACCGGCACCTTGGCGTTCTGGGTGCCACGCGAGAGATGGGGGCTGGTCAGTCTTACTCCTTGCTAGAAGTAATTACCCATAGTTAGGCAGCAGAAAACAAAGGAACCTGTGATTAGCAGGTTTCTTCTTATCTTAACTCTCTGTTTATAATTGGAAGGGGTTTAGTGTTAGGGTTGAAATGATGAATGCGGACACCCGGCCACTTGTTCCTTCCTGGGATCTTTTTAATCGTCTGCCTCGAACCACGAATCTAAGCACCCCCTCTTTGTAATCTGTTCCTTCGCCCCACACCCCATCCTCTTTCACTCTCTCCATAATTCCTCTGAGAAAAAGATCTTTGCATCAGCAGTAATCTCTTTTAAAATAGCACTCAGAATTTAGTAGTAAACCAACATACAGGCTTCAGATTATTTCTGAGTCCAATACAGTTTGTGCTGTCCAGGGTGCTTAACTCTGGGTTAAATAAGTACAGGGTAGATTCCCTCTTCAGGTCTAAACAGGAATTTTTACTCTAGGGAAAAGCGCGAAGAGCTCAACAGTAGTTAACAGGGAAGGTGATTTGTTTTTCTTTTACCTAAAAGAAAAGAAGATTCCTTCTGTGACTACAGGTCTCTGAGAAATTATCTTTCAGAAGAGATTTCATTGCTCATAAGAGTGTTGTGGCCTATTGATAAAAACAATTTTGTTCACTTTCTTGTCTTGAAAAAAAAGTGGCCTTAGCTTTTTGCAATACTTGAATAAAGTGTGTACTCGCACAGCATTAGAGACTCGTAACTTTTCTGCAAGAAGTTCAAACTTACATCTTCTTTTACTACCTTAAGAATACTAGTGAATAAAACATTAATTCAAAGAGCAAATGATAGAAACTACAATGATGTTTAATGCAAATTGTAGGAATTTACATGTTTACAAATCATCTTAAACTGGTTGTGCAGCAACTCAATAAAATATCTTTGTATTATAAAAATGTGAAGAAAATGTAAACTGATGTAAAGGAGGTACTGTCATTTTAATTAACCTGATGTTTAATAGCTTTTCCTTCCGGACTTTGCAAAGCCTTCTCGGGAAACACATTGCAAAGCATTCTCTGGGAGGCCTGGCCTCCGTGTGTGTACTGTATCGTGCAGACATGAAAAACAAACCCGTTTACTGTGTATGTGTAAATAGCCTGGTCATCAGGCCGTTTTCAGCCAATAGTCACATCCCGTGCAGCTTTGCACAGAAGACTTAGGGTGTGGTTTGTAAGTATGATCTGTAAAATAACTGGGATGAGTTCCCATGTACACCTGTGTAAATAGATTTGTTAACTGAAATGTACTTTAAGAAAAGATAAAAATCTGTAAATAAACTGATTTATAAGTTAATTGCATGTCAGGTGTCCTTTTTTCACGCTTTAAGCCCAGTTTAGAAAGCTGGCCCCTGACCGGGCAGCGGAGCACCTGCGCTCGGCAGCACAACAAGGCGACGACGGTGTGCGGGAGCTGTTCGCTCTGCGCGGAGACGCCTCGCCCCACGCGTCGGGGCAGTCGGATGATCGTCACTCAGGTGTGCATCACACCTTCCTGTTCCCAGCCCTGTGCGCAGTGCTGGGGGCAGCTGAGATGCAGATGTGATCCCTGACCTCGTGGAGCTTCAAGTCCAATGCGAGGGTCATCAAAAAAATTTCAAAAACAAGGCACGACAGGTTGCAACAAATGCTGCAAAGGAAGCAGACCTGGGTTTGAGAATACATAACAGAAGGACCCAAGAAGGGTAGATGGAGGTGGTTGGAGAAGAGCTCAGGGTAAATTAGGACTTCGTGTTCCGTAGTGCTGGGCTTCTTCCCCGTCGTCCATGACAAACAACTTCAGTTCTGGCTGATCACCCTTGCAAAATGCCCAGAAAGGCGGCCATCTGATGCCTTGGTACAGAGGCTATAATTTATTCCTAGAACTAAGAGCTTGGAGAAGAGCTAGAGATACAAAAGAATAAAACATTTGCAGAGGGGGAGCACCCTGAAGTATATGGAGCTCAGGACAGTGAATTGTCTGCTCCAACAGACCGGAAGTAACCACCGTAATCTCACCTGAGTTCCATCCCTGCCACACCTTTAATCCCTACACAGCCATGGACGTTAAAAGAAGTTCTGCAAAAATGACGCTGTGTTACAGCAGATTCTACGAATTCTTTGACTCATAAAACAGTTGAGTATCCACTGTGAGCGACATACTGTGTTTGGTGCTAAGAACTTAACAGGAATGGCAGGCTGAATCTTGGAAAAGGCCCAACAGCTGTGCCCTTCACTCAGAATACATGAAGATGGTAGCCAGGAGGGTGGCAGCCGACGTAGCAGAGCCAAGAACGGTGAGTACCTACCTATAAGAAGTAAATGCTGTCAAGACAAGCAGTTGCCCTACGACATCCCAGAAAAGCTCGGAAATGGGAGGCTGTGACTGCTATAGGAAAAATTGTGCAGCCTGGGACTGTTTCATTGGTCACTAGGTGGCCAGGCTGTGAGGCCAAGGTTGAAAGCCAGATTAGTGCTACCCAGGGAAAAGACCTGTGCGAGACATGAGGTTCCTGAGAACAGACAACAGCAGCCTGGGCTCAAGTGGTACTGCGTTTCCTTACAGCAAGAGAGGAGAGAGTCACAAGATCCAGTCCCTGCAAAGCATCGATCCCCAACGGCCAGCGGCTTCAGTCCAAAGCCGAGAGGGTGGTGTGACTGCATGCACCCCGCTTCCTGATGCAGTGGTAGGAAATACAGAAAGCTGAGGGTGTGCCTGAGGGCCACCGCCACCTGTGCTTAAACAGAACAAAGGAGCACACAGTCTGAAGCAGGAAAGGCGTTCCCACACAAGGGGACAAGCCCGCACAGGCGGTGAGGGCGCTCTCTCTCAGCAAGTAAGGAAGAGTCCCAGGCCCAAGGCCCATTGGGATGTGGCTGTGCAGGGGCCCTGAAACCCTGCCTTTCCCGACGGCACCCCCCGCCCCACCCTGTGCAGTCACGGAAGTAGCGAGGAAAGCACACCCCTCCGGGTGGACCGTCATTGCCTTGAACGTGTAAGTGGAGCTGGGTGGATGGGCCCCTGAGCAACTGGATGGCTGCAGTGCTCACAGAGCCAGCTCGTCATTTTGAGGGCACTTGGCCAGGTCACTAGGAGAACCAGACCCAGGACGATGATGAGGTCTCTCTGCAGGATGCCCCCCCAACACACACACAAGAATCCCCCCCATTGCCTGGACTAAGCTAACTAAAGAGGTAAAAAAGTGAGCCTGGGTGGACTGCGGGTACACAGGTGATAACCACCTCACCTAAGCTGGGCTTCTACCCCCATCCCCACCCCGCTGCACTGTTCATAGATCGCCAGCAAGGGGTGCTGGCAGAGACACAAGTGCCACCCGTCTGGCAGCAGACAACTGAGGGCTGTGCAGGTGTCCGTCACTACCTTGGCTAGCGACTCCAGGGATTCTTGTTGGTCTGGAGGGAAGTCCAAGTCGCTGCGTCCTGGCCAGGCCATTAAACCGGCAGCATGGGACAAGACAGACTTGACTCTGGCTGACAGACAAGCCCGGCAGTGTTTGACTTTGCCTCTTCGCCCCAGGCCATGCTGATTCCCATCGGTGCTGCAGTGCCAGGCCCCACACAGGCTTCTGTGTAGGAGAGAGAAGAAGACAGGCGCCAGTTCCCCCCTTGCTGAGCTCCATGCCCTCCTCAGGCCCAAGATGCCCCTCTTCCACTTCCTCGGGATCCACAGCCCCTGTTGCTTGACCCAAACCTTGTGGCCCAATCGTCCAGTCTGGAGAGGGAGTCACACCCTGAGTGAAGTCACACTTGGACATAGCCTCTGATATCACCCACCTGAATCAGAGGTCCTAGCATGACCAGGGAACCCTAGTGCCCTGATGTTCAGTCCTCCCCTCCCCCATTCACACGGGGTTCTCCCAGGAGGGAGGCACCCAAAAGGTGGCACTGCCTCCTGTTTGAACTGGGAGGCCCTACTGGGGAGGCCACGTGGCCCTGAGCACAGGCCAGCCCCAGGGAGGGTGCCCCAGCGGAAGAAAAGTAAAGGAATGACTGGGAATATCGAGGCTGGAACTCTGCCTTCGCAGCCTAATCAGGCGCCCCTGGTCCTGCACCCGCTCCAAGTTCAGAATCGCCCACTGTATGATGAAGCTCAGTGCTTGATGTTTGAATGACTTTTCTTAGGCAGGGGCTGTTCGATAAGCTGCTTTGTCGATGGCCTTTGTGCGGTCATTGCCCCATCCGCTCGTTTCTGTGCTGTTCTGCTCCGTCCGTCCGGGAGCGTGAGGCTCCACCTTGTGTCGGAGGAAGAAGTCCCCCGCTGTGTTGCTAGGGCTGTGACTCTGGTGTCGTGATCCGATGAGAATGTTGGCGGGTATGAGCATGGGGCAGAGGTGTTCTTCACGCCACGACAGTGGTCTGTGTCCTGTGTGGCCACTGGGATGTATGTCCACGGGGAGGGCAGCTGACTGGGGACTGGAAGTCCAGTGTGGCCCATTTGCCACATCTGCTGGGGGCCTAGGCCCGCTTGATGGAGCCCAGGCCCCCACGTTGCACGGCCTGTGCACGCTGGCCGGGGGAGTCACAGGACTGTGTTGCATGTGTGGCTTCCATGTTTGGAGCTGGGTCCTCATAGATTCTGTCCACCTCTGTATCTGGGGTGCCTTTTACGTTCCATTCTATGGCAGACCCAGCGGGCAAGCGTGACGATTTGCTGAGCACGTTAGGTTACCTCGTGAGTTCCTTAGGAAGTTTTATTTTTCTAATGGTTCTTTGTTATAGGTAGTTAATGGTAACAACTTGTCGGTTACCAGATTGTGTAGCGACGGGGTCTGTAAGGGCCCCTGAGCCTTGAAGTAGGTGGCAGGAAGTTGCTGCCGGAGTGGCCTGGGCAACGCCAAGGTCATATGGACCTCGGCCCGTTGCGCAGTTTTCCCGTCTGGTATGGGTTAAAAGGAGAGGAAGCTGGTCACGGGCTCAGAAGACTCCATCAGCTTCGAGTTTCACAGTTGGGGCGTCTGTGAGCCGTGGCCTCACCTGGTTAAGGAGGGACGGGGGCCCCCCTGCAGCTGTTCAGCCCCCTCTGGCAGAGCAGCCGCTTGTGTATGGAGTCAGCCGGCCCCACGGGGTCTGGATGGGCTCCCACTTGGATCTACTGTCTTTATTTCACGATGGAGCTTCGCTGAGCCCTGAAGATGGGCAGCTTGGGTGATGAGGTCAGACACTCTGTGTTCAGTAAAGCGTAACAGCAGGCCTGCAGCCTCCCTTTGAAGGGAGTGTGTCTGGCCGCTGCCTCTGGTAATTTATGTGTCCAAGCCCGACAGACAACGCACACCAGCAGCAGCAGTCTCTGGGCATCACGGCTCCAGTCTGCGTGGCTGGGAGTCACGGAAACGTGTCGTTTCACAGGGCTGGCGGGCTCTCCGTTGGGCCAACGGCAGGGCTGTGTCACTGTACGGTGCTCAGCCTCTGGGACCTGCTGTTGGGGGAGACCCCATTCAAAGGTGGCCGCCACCTGGGTAACCTTGACAGAAGAGGCTAAAAGAATACCCAGCCCCAGCCAGGTGGCTCAGTTGGTTGGTAAATTGTCCCATACTCCAAAAGGTTGCAGGTTCGATTCCCGGTCAGGGCACATACATGCATTGCAGGTTCCATCCCAGTCAGGACGCATACAGGAGGCAACCAATCAATATTTCTCTCTTTCTCTCTCTCAAATCAGTAAAACACATCCTCAAGCGAGGATCAAAAAAGTAAGTACTTGAAAGAAGAAGACCCAGATGTGGGACATGTCGCCACACAGGCCGACCAGCGTCGAGTCTTTTTTGTTGGTGGTGGGAATTGTCAGGAGCAGTAAGTTCTGTTTGTTCTTGTTGGGAATATTCTTTTGTTTCTATTGCTGGCCTATGTGGTTCCCAGGAACTGCAGCTGTCAAGCAGGTCCTGGGCCTTATCAGGGCTGGTGACCCAGCCTGCATGTGTCAGAGTGTCCATGACCTTATGCAGGGCGTGGTCAACTTGTTCCTTAGGGGCTGGCAATGAGGGTGTCGCCAATAAAATGGGCGACAAGTACTTCTCGGTGGGGTTGGATCATTGGACTGGCTACCGATCCAGCCCTCCCCGCTGTGGCATGTTGCAGGGGTCTTCAGGTTTCCCGGAGGAGCTCGGGGAAAGCGCACTGCAGGGCATTCCACGTAAACGCAGAGCGGCCTTGCCCCTCCTCCCACAGAGGAAGCGAGGACAGGTGTCAGCCGGATCGACAGCAGCGCATCTGTCTCCCGTGTGTCCTGAGTGACGACAGTGATGTCGGTTCTGGGGGGCCACGGGTTAGCCACCAGGTTCTTGAGGCTTTTATCTTTCTGGT